CCGGGCAACTAAATTACGCGATGTGATTGGCTCGTTGCCAAACACACTGCCAAATTCCCCTGGAAATTTCGAATAACAGCGGTTTCCGCGCGTCGCAGCCATTACTTTTGTGCACGCACAAACACAACAACACACCCTATCAAAATGGCCAAGCCCACCTCCAAGAAGCCCGCCAAGAAGTCCCTCAAGGGCGGCAAGAAGGGCGGCAAGAAGTCCAAGACGGAGACGTACAAGATCTACATCTACAAGGTCCTCAAGCAGGTGCACCCCGACACCGGGATCTCCTCCAAGGCGATGTCCATCATGAACTCCTTCATCAACGACATCTTCGAGAAGATCGCCACCGAGGCGTCCAAGCTCGCCCGCTACAACAAGAAGCCGACGGTCACGTCCCGCGAGATCCAGACCGCGGTCCGCCTCATCCTCCCCGGTGAGCTCGCCAAGCACGCCGTCTCCGAGGGCACCAAGGCGGTCACCAAGTTCACCTCCGCGTAAGCGACACGAGGTCGAACGAGGTTGATAAACCTTGAGCTTCTACTACTACATCAAAACATCGTCGAACGCTTCAAAAGCGCGACGCAAACACAATGGTGATAAATAATCACCACCACTTCACGAGAACTCTCTGCCGCTGGACGCCTCCGAGCTCGGAGGCATCCAGCGAAGAACAGAAAAAAATAATATCTTCCAGTTTCCCCCGCGTTTGAACTTCGATCGCCGCGACGCGCGCGTAGCTCAAGCACACATCAACACTCGATCGTGCGCCATCGATCGCGCGCGTCGTCGTCCCCCGCCTCGATCGATCGTTCCCTCGCGCGAGACGGACGAGTCGCAGACCGCGCGACAGGACGTCGAGGCGCGTTCGAACGCGCGCGTTTGAATTTATTTGAACTCAGCTGTCTCGCCTACGCCCTCGCCTCCCTCAAGAACGTCCTCGCGGTGCGTTCCGTTCGCGCTAAAAACCCTACGAACCCGTCCCTCTCGTGACTACTCCCTCCCTCGATCGCGCCCTCGCCCGCGAGCCCGTCCCCGCCGCCGCCGAGCTCGGCCGATTCCTCCTCCACCAGGCGCTCGTAAAACGCGCTCGCGTCTTCCACCGCGCCATTTACGAATCGCACCTTGGGGGTGACGCGCCGCGTCTCCCTCGCGGCGTCCACGACCGCGCGCAGTTTCGAGTCGCGCGACGGCGGGAAGATCACGTCGCCCGGCGCGGAGCCGTCGTCGCGCGGCTTCAAAAACACGACGAGCTCGGCGTGCGCGTCGAGCAGCCACAGCGGCGCGTCGCTCGTCGCCAACGCCGCGCGCGTTAGGCTGCGCGACGGACACTCCATCTCGTCCGCGCTCCTCCACGAGCTCAGCGACGGGTACAGCGTCCTCACGAGCGCCGCGGGTTCGAGGCGCGACGTCGTCGCGCGCAGCCACGTCCGCGCGTCCGCGCTCGCGCCGCCGGGTCCGACGCGAAGCGCTGGGTGTCGAAGCAACGCGTGCACGAGACGCGGGACGACGCGCAACGGGAGGCTCGACGTGAACTCGACGTCGAGCGCGCGCGCGTCCGCGTCGGGCGCGCCGAAGCGGAGGATCCCGCACTCGTGGTTGTACCTCGCGGTCAGGATGCAGAGCCAGTCCGCGAGGAGGAGTCTGGCTTCGCCGAGGCCTTCCGCGTTCGCGGCGGCGAAAATTTTATGCGACAGCAACGCGACGACGACGTCGCCGTCCGCGGCGTTGAAGACGTCGCGCGGCTTCCCGGACACGCGCGCTTGCACCGTGCATATCCTCCTTCGGCGCTGGCGCAAATATCTCGCCGGCGGCGGCGACGCAGACGCGGGAGACGCTTCTGGATTTTCGGACGTGGACGCCGCCGCGTCGCCGCCGCCGCCGCCGCCGCCGCTCGCGTCTCCCCGTCCCAGCGGCGTCAAAACCGTGTATTCGAACGCGAGCTGAATCGTCGGCGGGCAGTCGCCCCTGTCCCCGAACCCCTCGCGATGCGCGTGCTCGAAGTCGAACGCGAACGCGTCCTCCGCGCCGCACCGCATGACGTGGCACAGGCCTTCGTACTCGTCGTCGCGCGCGAGCGCGCCATAGACGTTGGCGACTTTAAACTCGCTCGACGTCCGCAACCTGAGCGAGCAGTGATGCGCGGAGACGGCCGCGTCGCCGTTCAGGAGCCGGAAGACGTCCCGCGGCAGCGGCGCGTCGCTCGCCGCGCCGTCCTCGCCGATCGCGCGCTCGTAGTGGTACAGCGTCCCGCCGCTGCGTTCGGTGAGCGGCGCGATAGAGGCTAAGTCCGCGTGGGCGCCGCCGTCCGGAAGGGAAAACACGTCGACGACGACCGCGGCGACGGCCGCTCGGTCGCCCGCGTCCGCGTAGAAGTCGCTCTGCGGCAAAAAGAGCTCGTCCGCGGCCGCGGCGGCTTCGTCCGGGTCCAGAGACGCGAGGGACTCGGACACGGCGTCGTGCCGCGCCGACGACAGCGCGCCGTCTCCCGCGTTTGGAATCCCGCACAGGAACGACAGGACCCGGCACGAGGGGTGTCTCAACGTCCCTTCGTTCCCCTCTCTCGCGCCGCCGCCGCCGCTCCCTTTCAGCTCCCCGACGCCGTCCGCGCCGAGCCACGCGAGCACGGCCTCGAGCGCGGGACCGAACGCCCGGCGCGGAGTCGCGTCGCCGTCGCCGTCGCCGCCGCCGTTGCCGCCGCCGCCGCCGCCGCCGCGTCGTCGCGTCGACCGCGTGCTCTCCACCGCGTCCACGAGTTTCCCCTTCCGCTCCCCCACCCGGCACAAAAACCTCTCGAGCGGCAGCGCGTCCTCGAGCGGCACGGCCACGGCCCCGGACGGCGCGAGCCTGACGTGCCGAACGACCGACGCGCCGTCGCCGGAGACGTCGTACAGCCCGACGCGGTCGTCGAAGGACACCACGCCGAACAACGCGTCTTCTCCCACGGCTTCGATCGCGGCGACGACGCCCGCGCGAACGACGTCCAGGACCTCTTCCGACGCGGTGAGGTCGATCAGCGCGACGTACACCGGGCTCGTCCCGATCGGCGCGTCTGGGCGCGCGGTGAGAACCTCGGACGCGACCAAGGACTCGTGCTCTTGTCTGCAGATCTCGGGAAGGGAGTTACGATGCGGGTTCTTCCGGTACCGCGGCGGACCGACGCCGTCGTGCGCGCGAGAGTCCCAAGGCACGAACGCGCCGCACAGGATGCATATCCACCCGTCTCGTTCTAACCCGCAGTATCCGTTGACGTACCCGAAGCACTCCTTGCATCGCGCGATCGCGTCCGCGGGCGCGAGCCGATCGATCGACGACGGATCGAGGTCGTACTCCGCGAGCGGCTTGAACGGGCGAACGACCGCGCCGAACGGCAGGCCGGTCCGCTCCTTCACGTCCGCGTCTCGCGGCGCCTTGCTCGTCGTCAACCGCATGCACAGATCCGGCGCGGGGGTCTCGTCCGACCCCATCGAATCCGCGGCGACGCGCGCGCGAGACTGACGCGAGACCGAAAACACTTGGTGCACGTGCCGACTCGCGCTCGGGACGGCGGGCCGCCGGCTTTTTTTATTCCGTTCGGCGCGCCGCAGCCGAACGCAGCATGGCGAGCCTCTGAGCGTGGCATCGCGTGAAAGACGTACAAAATGGACGATCGCGTCCTCGATTATCATGACATACTCCTGCGCGTGCGCGACGTCGCGCTCCTCCGCGGCCCGCAGTGGCTGAACGATCAGGTCCTGTCGTTCTACTTCGCGCACCTTCAAAACGACGGGCGATCGCCGGCGGACGTCGCGTTCGTGGACGCGTCGATGTCGTTTCTGCTCGGCAACTTGTCCCCGACCGAGGTCTCGAGCGTTCTCGCGAGCACGAAGGTTTCCTCCGCCAGCGTGATCCTCGCGCTCGTGAACGACGAGTGCGACGTCAAGCGCGGGGACGGGGGATCGCACTGGTCTCTGCTCGTCTTTCGAAAAGGGATCGGGTGGAGTCATTACGATTCGTCGCAGACCGGCGGGTCGCGCGCGAACAAAGCGAACGCGAACACGCTCGCCGCGGCGCTCGCGCCGTACGTCAGAAGCGGCGACGGCGACGGCGGCGTCGTGAACCACAAACCACCGGACGCGCCGACGCAGGTGAACGGGTACGACTGCGGCGCGTACGCGTTGGCCACGGCGGAGGCGGTTCGAGATGCGCACGTGGAGGTGACGCGTAGTCATAGGAGCGGTAGTCGCGATAGCGGGTGTGGGGACGCGTACGATGAGAGGCTACGCGCGCGGTTGAGGGATATCACCCCAGAGTACGTCGCCGAGTTTAGGAGAGGGATCTTGTCCCTGATCGAGGAGCTCGCCGAGGACGACTTGAGTATTTGATTCATCAGTTTTGACGATTTAGGTTTTTGATTCGAACACGAGAGACGCGACCACGCGTCGAAGACGTTGATTAAAAACTACACTCCTAATCGCGGTTCAAGTACCCCGACACCGACCCCCGACTCGCCTTCCACGTGATCCCCGCGGCGACCTTACTCTCGAAGAAAGCCTCCAGCCGCGTCGCGCACTTGTAAAACATCGTGTCCGGGGCGTTATAGAGACGGCAATTATTGAACATCACCCTGAAGTCCGCGGCGAACATCTCTAAGGTGACGTAATACTCCCCGTTCTCGACGCGATCTTTGATCGTCTCCATGCATATCGGGTCCTTCACGACGTCGTAGTAGTCCGGCACCTCCTCCGCGTTCACCGGCTCCAAGAACGGCCACACGTCGATGTGATTTTGCACCAAATTCACGAGCGCGCGCATGAATCGATTCAGATTCTCCGGCGTCGGCGCGCCGTCGCCGCACCCGGGGTGCACCAGCCGGTACTTCGGCGGCCCCGGGGGCGTCCACCCCGCCTCTTTCACGCCCTTGATCCGATCCACCGGTATGGGCTTGTACACGCCGCCCGGCCCCGGGGGTTGTTCGAACTGTTTCAACCCCGGGTACACGACGTGCGCGTTTGACATCGTCTTCACCACCTCGTCCACGCATTTTCTCTGCTGACGGATCATGATCGGGAACTCCGTGTACGAAACCTGCGCGCTGAGGGAGCACTCCATGATCGTCCCGCCGTCGTACTCTTTGATGTATCCGACCCACTTCTCGCGTTCCATCATGACGTCTTTCGTGAACCCTTGCTTTTGGAAATACCCGACGGCGTTGTTATCCGCGAACGTGATGAGGTGCGTCATCGACTCCTTGTCGCAGACGTACTCCTTCAGGTGGTTCATGAGCCGAGTGCCGTACCCCTTGACTTGCTCGTTCGCGCTCACCGCGCAGAACGCGATCTCGCCGACGTTCTGTCGCCAGAACGGCCGGTACGTGATCCCGCCGATGACCGCGTCGTTTTTCAGGCAGATCATCGAGTGATGCCTCGGGTCGAACACCAACCGAACGATGTACTCCTTCGGCATGTTCGGCAGCTGCTTGCTGAAGATGTTCTTCAAGTGCACGAGCCACTCCGAGTGCTGCTCCTTCCCGTCGTTCTTGATCACCTTGTACACGAGCTCGCCGTCGTCCTCCTGCTTCCGGAGGTGGATCTCGCGCTGCGCGTACTGCCCGAGCGTGTCCCTCGCGCCGCCCGGGTTGTTCGCGTTCCCGCGCGCGCCGTCCGCGCCCGGGTTCGCGCCGCCGCCGCCGCCGCCGCCGCCGCCATCGTCGTCGTCGTCGCCGCCGCCGCCGCCGCCGTCCGCGTCGGAGTCAGAGTCGGATCCCCCGATCGACGCCTCTTCTTCGTCCCTTCTCGCGCGCTTCGCGTCCGGGGGGCCGTCCGAGTCCCCGCCGCCGGTCCCCGCGGACGAGCCGCCGAAGAACGACCGGATCGCTTCCATCGTGGAAACGCCGCCGCCGCGCGGGTGAAAAGCACCGCCGCGCGCGCGCGATCTCTGCCGCGCCCGCGCCCGACGCCCTCGCGAAATCGCCCACACTCGCGATCGGTTTGAACTGTCCCGTCAAGTGAGAGTTCAAGTTCGAAAAACCGCGAGCTACGATCGCGCGCGCGCCACAGAGGGTTCGCCGGCGCCGGCGGACGGCGAGGCGGATCGCGCGCGGAGAGACGGATCGCGCGCGCGCGGAGACGGCGATGACGTCTCCAGCGCAGGACGACGCGGCGGCGGGAACCGTCTCCGCGACGGTCGCGTCCCTGACCGATCGATGTCGCGAGCTGCAAAAGACGCTGAAGCGAGGGCTCCGAGGAAAGGTCTTCGAGCAGTTCGAGGCGCCGCGCACGATTTCGGAGGCGTATACGGAGGCGCAGGCGTTCCAGCAAGCGCTCGTGGACGAGACGACGGGGAAGAAGCGCAAGATCGAGGAGGACGCCGCGACGAAGCGTTGGGCGATGAAGGCGGGGGAGTCGCGCATCGACGAGAACCACGCCCCGTTCCTCGCGTTCAACGAGGAGCACTTCCGTCACATCACCGCGATAGACGTCGCGAATCTCGTCCTAGAAGGGCCGTCGAAACCGGAGGACGACGTCGACTTCAGGGTTCCCGAGATGGGGAAGAAGCCGTATTGGGAAGGTGCGACCCCGCGCCGCAGATCAGATCTCAAAACCAAACGCGTTCGGTTCGATTCGAGCGCAGCTGTCGCTTTTTCTCGTCCCGTCCTTCGGATCCGCCCGCTCTCGCGACCGCTCGCCCCGCGCCGTTCGCTCGCTGACTTCGTGCGTTCACCCGAACCAACTGATCGACTCCGACAGCGTGGGCGGAAGAGGACGTCGTCATCCGCGAGCGAGAGCAGCAGAGGAGGCTCGAGGAAGCGAGGGCGGCGAGGGAGAAACCGCCGACGCCGACGCCGAAAAAGCCGAAGAAAAAATCAAAGAAGAAGCCGACGAAGAAGATCGAGTCGCAGCCGATCGGACCGATGACGGAGGAGGAGATGGCGGACGCGTGCCACGTGTGCTGGAACGGGGAGTCGTACGACGACAACGTGATCTTGTACTGCGAGAAGTGTCTCGTCCCCGTGCACCAGGCGTGCTACGGCATCAAGAAGATACCGAAGGGCGACTGGTTCTGCAAGGCGTGCGTCAAGACCAAGGCGGATGGGAAAAAGAAAAACGCGAAACCGCCGGCGTGCTGCCTGTGCCCCGTCCCCGGCGGCGCGCTGAAACCGACGTCCAAACACGGGAAGTGGGCGCACGTGTTTTGCGCCAACTGGCTCCCGAACACGTGGATCCACGACCCGGACGGCGCGTTCGAGCCGATCATGGGCGTGGAGGAGCTCCCGGAGGAGCGGTTCAAGCTGACGTGCTCGGTGTGCAAAAAGAAAGACGCCGGCGCGTGCGTTCAGTGCCACTACGGCCAGTGCGCGGTCCCCGTGCACGCGATGTGCGCGTTCCGATCGGGAGCGCACATGGAGATCCAGACCGTCGTCGGCGAGGAAGGGTGCGACTACAAGTTTTACTGCTCGAAGCACTCGAAGGTGGTTCAAGAGAAGCGCGAGCGAGAGCGCGCGCGAGAGGAGAAGGGCGCCGCGGGGTCCGAGATGGACACCCCGGTCGCGACGCAGGAGGACACGGACACCGCGGGCGCCGGGAGCGACGACGACGACGACGACGACGACGACGACGACGACGAGTACGACGCGCGGAGGCGCGCGCGCGGGAGGAAAGGGTCCACCGCGTCGGCGTCGATGTCCAGCCGCCCGACGCGCGGAGGCACCGGGACGGACGGCGGTCCCGGTCCCTCCGCGGGGGAGAAGCGCGCGCGAGACGACGACGACGACGACGACGACGACGACGACGACGACGACGACGACGACGAGAAGGAGAACGACGCCGGGACGGACGCCGCCGCGGACGGAGACGACCCCGCGGAGGTGAAGACCGAGGTGAAGACCGAGGAGACGACGGTGAAGAAGGAGGAGGAGGAGGAGAAGAAGAAGTCTGAAGAGTCCGACTCGGAGCCGCCGACGCCGCCGTACGTCCCGCCGACGCACACGGAGATTTTACACGCGCACACGTCCCGGGTTCTCTCCTCCGATGCGCGGTACGAGATGCCCACGGAGCCGGAGTGGAAAAAAGCGGAGGAGAAGGAAGCCATCGAGGTCAAGGACAAGCCCGCGGTGGGCGGACGCGCGCCGAAGTGCGCGGTGTGCGTGATTCACAAGAAGGGCGTCTGCGGCACCGCGTCCGCGCCCATGAAGTGCCTCCGCCGCGGGAAGGGCAACAACTCGTCGTCCTCGCTCGCGACGGGCGTGACCTCCGCGGCGGAGGTCAAGGAGCAGCAGTACGACCCGCCGGCGCCGCGCGAGGAGGAGATGGAGAAGACGTTCGCGGCGACGGCGTTGATCGGACTCGCCCCCGAGGATGAAGTCGTCGGCGAGTTGCTTCACGCGCAAGCGGCGCTCGCGAAGGCGCTGTGGGTGACGCGCACGCTCGCGGGTAAGGCGCTCGAGAACGCGGCCGCGGCGGCGGAGGACGAGGAGAACGACCGCAAGCGCCAGGACGAGTGGATCGAGGAGACGGAGAAGTACGAGGAGCGCTGGCGCGGCGGGCGCTGGCGCGAGGAGTACCTCCGCAAGAAAGGGTTGCCATCCGCGGAGGGCGGCGGACACGCGTCCGCGGTGGACGCGTCCGTGGAGCTCGTGGACCCGCTCGTGGAGATTGGCGCGATGGAGGACGCCCTGTGCGCGGTCTGCGGCGGCGGCGACTCCGAGGAGCCGAACGAAATCCTATTCTGCGAGCGGTGCGAGATGGCGGTGCATCAGGACTGCTACGGCGTCGCGGAGGTCCCCGAGGACGACTGGCTGTGCTGGCCGTGCAACGTCGCGGAGGCGAACGAGGTCGCGAACGGGCGGCCGCCGTCGCGGCCGGCGCGGTGGCTGCGCGAGGCCGGGGACGGATCGCTGTACGACCCGCGGCCGTCGTGCGTGCTGTGTCCGGTGAAGCGCGGCGCGTTGCGGGCGGTGATCGAACCCCCGAAGCCGATCGCCGCGTCGGTGAAGTCGCCGCTTCGCCCGGCGGCGACGCCGGCGGCGGCGCCGGCGACGGCGGACGACGCCTCGAAGGCATCGAGCGCCGCCGTCGACGACGAGAAGCCGCCGTCCGACGGCGTCGCCGCGATGGACGTCGACGCCGTCGCCGCGGACGCCGCGGACGACGTCAAAGCCGAGAGCCAGGCGGCGCCGGCGGAGGAAAACGCCGCCGCGCCCTCCGCCGCCGCGCCCGCGCCCGCCGTCGCCGCCGCGCCCGCGCTCTCCCCCGCGGCGTCGCGGCGCGCGAAGACGATGGGTCACTGCCTCCCGTGCGATCCGTCCGCCCTGGACGACGACGACGCCCCCCAGGGAGGGACGCCCGCGCCCCCGGGGACGAAGAACGACGTCCACGTGCGTTGGGCGCACGTCGTCTGCGCGCAGTGCGTCCCGGGCGTGGAGATCGCCGCGACGCCCGAGCCCGGGCCCGCGTCCGCGGTCGTCAAAGGCCTGGACCGCGTCCCTCGCGAGTGTTTCGAGGGCGAGTGCGCGGCGTGCCGCCGGAGCGAGGGCGCGGTCGTGTCGTGCGGGTATTACGGCTGCGGCCTGCGGTTCCACGCGTTGTGCGCGCGTCGCAACGGGTGGCTGCTCACGGAGTGCGTCCGGCAAGACGAGCGACGGTTGGCGTACTGCGCGAGGCACTCCGTGTCCGAGCGGCGTCGCATGGACGGCGGGTTCGGCGGCGGGCGCGGTCGCGGTCGCGGGCCCGGTCGCCCGCCGATCCACGGCGGCAGAGGCGGGCGCGGTGGGCGGAGCAAGGCGGCGGGTCTGGCGGCGCGGCGGCGGCCGGCGCCGACGCGCGACGAGATGGAGCTTCTCAAGCGCACGCGGTTCGGCCTCGAGAAGCTTCGCCTGCTGTGCGAGCGCGTGCTTCGCCGGGAGAAGTTCAAGCGCCAGGCGATGGATCTCAACGCGGAGTTGTGGACGATGCAGATGGCCGGGATGGACGACGGGAAGGCGGCGGCGACGTCTCCGCCGCCGTCGCCGAGCCGGCGGACGACGTTGTTGACGCCGACGCTCGCGGCGGCGGCGAACGAGCAGCTCGCTCGCGCGGGGTACGAGTACACCCCGGCGACGTAGGGTCGGGATGGACGCGACGCGCGGAGAGCAGCGCGGAGAGAAGCCACGACGTGGGCGGGCGGCTTTGCGAGACAACAATTCGTAATTCGTCGACCGTAATCGTCGCGCCGTCGTCGCTCGTCCGTCTTCCCCGCGCCCCACGCCCGGCCCCACGCCCGGCCCGGCGCCCGCCGCGCCGGGGAAAGTGAACGCTCGTCGCCGCCCTCGACGAATCTCCATTTGTTCCGCCGCCGGCCGGCATGGGCGACGGCGACGCGACGACCGCGCCCGACGCCGTCCCCGAGGGCGCGACCCCGTTCCGCGTCCCCGAGGGCGCGACGTCGATGGAGGTCCCGAAAGCGTTCAGCGCGCTGAAGGTGGTCCCGAAAGAGGGAGAGGCGAACGACGCGAACTTTCCTCCGCATCTGCACGCCGCCGTGGAGCTCTTCTGCTTCGCGAAGATGCCGGAGTGCGCGAAGAAACTCGCGACCGCGGTGAACGCGTACTTGGCCATCTTGAGCGCGGGGCCGGACGGGAAAGGGACGAACGGCATGGGCCAAGCCGCGGTGTGCTGGGAGTGCGGACACTGCGGCCTGCCGGGGAATCAGGACGAGTGCGGGAAAGGGAAGGACGCGAAGTGCGGGGACTGCGGCTCGAGCGCGCAGACGAACATGGTGAAGGTGACGCAGCCGGACGGGACGGTCGTGCCGTGGATAGAGCCGAAGCAGGCGCCGGCGGGGAAGGCGGAGGAGGCGGCCGCGGCCGCGGACGCGTTGAGTTGACGCCGCCGGGAGCATCGTCGAGAATGATCAAACGGATCAATATTACGAATCAAGAAAAAAGCGACCGCGTCTATTCGCTATCGGAATCGATTTGAGTGTGTGACATCCCGTTCTTCCCCAGGAGCCCGGTCTTGAAGTCCGCGCCGGACGGCGACATCGACGTCTGCTCCGGCTCCGACGGCTTGGGCGCCATCTTCAACCCTTCCCAGTCCAGCCACGGCCTCGCGTCCTCGTCCTTGCCGTGATCCGCCGCGTCCATGTCGAGCTCATCGCACGTGACTTTGATGTGCCTCAGGTCCGGTTTGATCACCCTGAGCGCGAACAGCAGACGCTCCGGGAGTTCCGACGGGTCGTCGCCCTGAATCGTCCCGCCGACGTCGAGGACGAGCCTAGAGAAGTAATCGCCGCACGTCCGCAGCCCGTTGAGCGCGACTTGACCGAAATTATGCACGTTGATGCCGCACTCGAAAATCCCTTTGCCGTCTCTTCGCGTGAAGTACCCGGTCTTGTTCACCATGAACGGCTTCCCGTTCCCCTGCCCGATCGCGACGCGGACCGCCCACGGCAGCGAGGCGGCGCCGTGCGCGACCATGGCCACCATCTTCGTCTTCGTCCTGACCTCCTCCTTGTGCGGGGGATCGTCCAAGCCGTTCTTGTCGTGCCCCTTCGCGCGAAAGTGTCGAACCATCAACCCCACGGCGGGGTCCATCTTGGACGTGTCGCCATCGTGTTTCTCGATCTCGTCCCGCGTCTCCTCGCTCATGCGACAGAATATCGTGATGTGGTTCGACGGTCCGTCCGGGCCGATTTTCTTATCGTACGACCCGAAGATTGGATTCGGCGGGGGGTAGTCCGGCAGACAAAAGTTCGCGACGTACACGGTCGGGCACCCGTGCACGAGCTCGCCGATCTCGCCGCCGAAGAATAAGTCGCCGAAGTCCAGTCTTTTGCTGTTCGCTTTCGCGACCAGCACCTGCACGACCTCGAACAAGGGCTTCTCGCTGTAGAATTTTTTCCCATCCTTCTTGTAGTTCCTCCCTCGCAGACGAAACCCCATGCCGAGCGGGTTCGCGCTCCACGACAGCGCCCTGCCCGCTTCCGGGGTCTCGAACGGGATGTCGTGCCGCGGGATGACGCATCGCCCGACGCCTTCCTCCGGCGCGGGGCGCGTCTCGAGGACGATCCCTTTCGCTTCGAGGATCGAGTTCGCCGCTTTCCCGCTCTCCGTGCGCTTCCACGACCGCGGGATGTCCACGAGCGTGTCCTCCGCGTCGAAGTACTCGTCGTCGTCGCTGCCGAAGGACAGCGAACGCTCGCGTCCCGGACCGTCCGGGGCGTACGCCCCTCTCCCGTGCTTCCTTCCCTTCTTCCCTCCGTCGCGGTCCGTCCCAGACGACGACGGGCCGCCGTCGCGATCGGCGCCGGACCCGCCTCCGAAGCAACACGGCATTCTTCCCGAGCGCTTCTCTCTCTCCCTCTAAGACGCCGACGCGATCCGCGAACTGGGTCGCGTCGATCGCGCGCGCGTATCCCGCGCGCCACCCTCTGTGCGCAATCAGGCGCGTGACGAGGCGTCCCTTGCGAACTTGTTTACTTCCACGCGTTCCGCGGCAGGAAAAGGAATCGACGCTTTTGAGGGTCTGTGACCCCAGGAAATCGATCGACTCGAGATCCGCGAAGGGCGCGAAAAGGCGCACGAGCCGACGACTGCAGCGGTTGAAAACCGGCGCTTCTGTTCGACAAATAATTTTCCAGAAATTTTCCACAGGCGGGAGAGGGAGGCAGGGCGTCGGAGTGAAGTGATTTTACAGCGCGATCGAGTCAGACTACTGCGCCCCCTCGCCCGCGCACACCGCCGCGGCGTGCGCGATCCCCCTCCGAAGATACTCCACCTTCTCCTCGCTCGTCTCGAGGTACTCCCACTCGGACACGGGCACGGACACCACGGCGAACCCTAAGCTCCGCAGCTGCCGGTGCTTCAGACGCGTCTGCCCGAGCGACGTCGTCGCGTCGTTTCGCGCGAAGTGGCTCGGGCCGTCCACCTCCACGGCGACCCCGGCGCGCGCGGCAGCCTTGTGCGTCGCGTCGTCGATCCCGATCGGTTTCGGGATGTGCAGATCGACCCTGTACCCCGCGCAGACCGCCTCTTCCTCGTGCTTCTCGCCCATGTACGAGAGGATGGACGCGACGTCGCGTTGGTACCAGGACACCACGGGCGGGCGCCTCTGCGCCATCCACGCGTTCGACGCGGCGACGCGCAGCGGTTCCGCGAGCGGCGCTAACCCGAGGGCGTCGCACCCGCCGCACGCGTCCACGGACACGACGCACTGGTTGATCTGGTTCAGATGTTTCCCGCGCCACGGCCCGAAGACGATCTTGTCCCCGCTCTCCGCGAGGAGCGCCTCCTTCGCGACCGCGTCCGCGTCGTTCACCTCGCCGCCGAGGCGTCCGATCTCGCCCCAGAGCGCCTTAAACGCTCTCGATCGCATCGCTTCCGCGCCGATGACGGACAGCGACCACGCGGTCGTGACGAGCGCCTGCGGGGTGAACTTTTTCGCGAGCGCGGAGGCGGCGGCGGCGGCGTCCGCGTCGCTCACCGACTCCGAAGACGCGCCCACGAACCAGTCCTCTAACCCGTCCCTCAGCCCGTCCGAGCCGTGCCCGAGGTGCGCGAACGCCCACACGAGCGTGGAGACGTCGAACACCTTGAACTTCTTCAAACCCTCCGTCGCGAACCGGACGTCCAGACCGTTGAAAAAAGCCGGCGACGCGTGCCGGCACGACGCCAACGCCCACGCGAGGTCCGCGCACGCTCTGGGTTTCATCTCGCTCACGACGAGCGCGGCCCTCTCCGCGAGGACCTCCATCTCCGCGGAGTTCGCGCGCTCGCCCGAGATGATCGCGAGCGACCACGCCGCGGCGGAGAGTTTGTTCGGGGTCAACGCGTCGCTGTTCCGACGCGCGGCGGCGACGCACGTTCCGAGCAGATGCGCGACCCTCGAGTCCCTTCGAAGCCCCGCGAGCTCTTCCCTGTCCGTCCGCGCTTTTTTCGCGACGTCCGCGATCATCTTCAGCATACCCGCGGCGATGTCCGGCGAGACGCGCCGTAAACCCGCCTCCTCGAACGCTTGAAGCGCGGTCTGCGGGTCGTTCGCGTTCGCTTTCACCTCCTTCTCCAGGGCTTTAAACTCCTCCAGGGTCATCGTCCACTGCGTCGCCCAGTCCTCTTCGGACAGCGCGGCCATGTCCACGCGCCACAGGCCGTCGCCCTTCGTCGCGGTCATCTCTTGTTCTTCCTCGTCCTCGTCCTCGCCGCGTTTCGATCGCGGCGGAAGATCGTCGTACCCTCGCGCGGCTTCGAATTGGCCATCCGCGTACGGGTCGTTGGCGTCCGTCTTTCGCTTCCTTCGCCACGTGTTCGGCGCCACGGGGGGTGCGCCGCGCTCGGTTCGGAACTTCGCCGCGCGCTGGTTCGCGAGCTTGCGCGCTTTTTGCATCCATTCCGTGTCGGACAAGCCTTCGGACCCGCCGGATTTGCCTTTCTTCGACGAGCGCTTGTCGCCGTAGGACGTCGCCCTCGCGGCGACGGCGAGTCGCGACGCGGACGCGAGCGTCATGCCGTTCATCGCCTCTTGTTCCCCCCCGGGAGCTCGGCCTCGGAGAGGTAGTCGAACCTACGCTTGAACTTCGCGACTTGACCGGTCGCGGCTTTGACTTCCTTCTTCCCGGTCCAGAGCACGTGCGTGTCTTGATCGGTCTGGCAAAAAAACTTGCCGGCTTTGAACGGAACAGCGGAGAGCCACGGGAAGGTGGCGCCCTTGGTCCCGACGATGCTGATGCGATAAAGGAGAGGATGAATTCCTTTCCTAGGCTGGAATTGGGGGGGACGACGGGAGAGGAGGTCGTCAGCGTCAGGGGGAGTGGGGGAAGCGCACGTCGAGGGGGCGGAATCGGCGGCGATTTGCGGCGGCGGGGCGAATCGTCGTCGCAAAAGGGCGCTTTCAGCGGACGCGTCGGGGCGCGAGGACGAAGCTAGGATCGCGCGGGCACGAGACGCACCATGAATTAGATCGATTCGGTCAACGCGGCGTGTGTACGCTGCGTTTGACTCGTGGCGTGGTGTGGACGTCGCGCGAGTTGGTATGCGCGGCGCGCTGGTCGGGCGACGCGACACGTATCACGAAATGCCTCGTCTCGGACGACGACCCGGGGAAAATTGCTGGTTCACGAAACCCCGACAGCTGAGATTTGGCGCCAGAACGAACGACGCGCCCGCCCTTGGGAGGGATGGCACGGAAGCGCGATTAGAGCGATGGACCGCGGCGCGCGCGCTCGCTTCAGACCCGAGGAAGCGCCCTCCGCGGGGATGAAGCCGAGCGCGCTGAGGCAGCTGTCCCCCGAGCTCCAGTCGAAGCTTCGTTCGTGCACCGTCATTTCGTCCATCGGACAGCTCGTGGAGGAGTGCGTGTGCAACAGCATCGACGCCGGGGCGACGAAGGTGTCCGTCGTCGTCGACACCGGGTCGACGCTCGCCATCACGGTCTCGGACAACGGCCGCGGGATGAGCGTGCGGGACGTCCGCGACGTCGGACGGCGGTACCACACGAGTAAATGCCATGATTTACAAGATCTGAGTGACAACATAAAGACGCTGGGATTCAGAGGCGAAGCTTTAGCGTCCATGTCCGACCTGAGCGTCCTCGAGGTGACTTCGCGAGCCGCGGGGAGCTTCGAGACGTATACGCGGATATCCACGAAGGCGGGCACGGCGACGCTCGCGTGCGGGCCGGCTCGGTATCAACTCCCGAAAGCGGGCACCGTGATCACCGCGCGCGACTTGTTCCACAACCACCCCGTGCGGAGGAACATGATCCGGCGGAACCTCCAGAAGCAGCTCGAGGACGCGCGCGCGAGGGTGTACCGACTCGCGCTCATTCATCCTGCGGTCGGCGTCTCGCTCACGGAGTTCAACGGCAGGAGGAAAGAGCTCATGAGGCTCCCCCCGGGACGGTCGCTCCTGTCGGCGTTGTCCGACGCCTTCGGGAGCGCGCTCGCGTCTTCGCTCGTGCCGGTCGGTTTGACCGTCGGGCCGTTCCGCGCGCGCGGGTACGTCACGCCGAGTAATCGCGCGCTCAACTCCCCGGAGGTACAGTTCTTATACGTCAACCGCCGGTTCGTGAAGAAGACGCCGCTGCACAAGGCGGTGAAGGACGCGTTTAACGCCGCGAGGGATCCGTACGAGTCGCGACGGGGGCCGGTGACCGCGCCGCCGGGGGGTCATCCGGGATACGTCTTGTGCCTCGACTGCTCCCCGAGCGAGTACGACGTGACGTACGACGTGGAGAAGACGCTCATCGAGTTCAGGGACTGGGAAATGCCGCTGCGGGTTCTGAACGAGGCGCTGCGAGAGGCGTGGCCGCCGATAAAGGAGAAGGAGAAGGAACCCGATCCTCTCGAGCCGCCGCCGCAGACGCGCGAGCCGCCGGTCACGCCGCCGCCCGCGGTCGCGGTCGGAGGGACAGAGACTCCGTCGAAGGACGCGAACGGGAATTGCATCTGCTGCCCTCCGCTCGCGCGACGTCGACTCGGGGTTCCGTCGATGGGAACCAACGATGACGACGACGCCTTCATCTGCCAAACGATCGAACCGTTCGAAGATGCGCCGCCGCCGCAGCAGCAGCAGCAGCCGCAGCCTCCAAACGACGTCCGCTCGCTGCTCGCGACGTGGAAGAATCCGGTGCCCGCGGAGATGTACCAGCCCTCGATGCCGTCGTCCACGGCCAACGCGGTCGTCACGCGCGAGTCGCTCGAAAACGCGACCGTGCTGACGCAGTGGGGGAAGAAGTTCGTACTCATCCGCAGCGCGAGCGGCGATCTCTTCGCGCTCGATCAGCACGCGTCGGACGAGCGCGTGCGTCTGGAGAACCTTCGGAGAGACCTCACGGCGCGCGGTGACGCGGTGACGTCGAAAGTGCTGCCGCACCCGGTGCCGTGCGAGTTAAGCGCGGCCGAGCTCGCGACGTTACGCGCGAACGCGTCGTCGGCGCACCGGTGGGGATGGCGGTGGGAGGACGACGACGCCGGCGGCGGCGGCGTCTCCCTCACGGGCACGCCCGCGATAGAGGGGACGACCCTCGGCGGGGACGCGCTGGGCGAGTACCTCCGAGAGATCGCCGCCGTCGGTTTAACCTCCGCGCCGCCCCCGGCGCTGCATCGGCTGCTCGCGTCGAAGGCGTGCCGCGGCGCGATCATGTTCGGCGACATGTTGAGACGGCGGGAGTGCGTCGCGCTTCTGGAGGAGTTACGGAAGACGCAGCTCCCGTTGCAGTGCGCGCACGGGAGGCCAACCGCGGCGCTTCTCGCGCCCGGCGCCGTCGTCGATGAGGACGCCGCGCTCACGCCGCGGAATCGACGGAAAATGCTCGCCGCCGGGGTCTTGAAGACGTGGCGCGCGAGCCAAGAGAAGAAGAGACACGCGCCTCTGAAGCTTCGCATCGGCGCGAAGAAGGTGGTGCGCGCGTGAACGAATGAACGAACGAACGAACGAACGAACGAACGAACGCTAATACTGTTGTATATCGAATGTACTCTGTACTCTACTCTCCCGCTCACGCCCCCGCGACGTACAGGGACGCGCTGAAGACGATATCCCGCTTGATCGCCGCGGACGCTTGCTCCATTTTCTCGTACAACGCCGAGTCGCCCATTATTCGAGCCGCGTTTCGAACGTCCCTGCACATCTCGTCCAGGCGCACGATCGTTCGTACGATGCTCCCTTCCTGGACGTCCGTGATCGTGCAGATGTCCGAGAACAGCGTTCCTTTCGCCCACTCGTTGACGACCTCGGTGAGTCCGAAACGAAGCGTCGTCGTGACGTATTCATCAGGGGCGATCGCGAGGCCTTTCTTGAGCTGCTCCTCCCCGGCGAGAAACGCGAGCTCCTTCGAGCGCTCGCACGCTTCCAGGAGCGACCCGTGAAGCTCCGGCGCGGACGCGTTCTTCTCCTGGAACACGAGCGCGGCGAGGACGGCGACGGCTTCTTCTGGTGGGAGGTCGCGTAAGACGCCGTCGAAGATGATCTCCGTGCCCACGAGCTCGTCCCCGGTGGCGATCTCGCACGCGACGCGTCCCTTCAGCGTCACCGTGCGATCCTCGTCGAGGTACCCCATGGTTTGTAACACTTGGACCCTGGTCTCGAAGTCCGGCATCTGCTGGAGGTTCGCGTCGCTGAGGTTGTACTCCGCGTCGTCCACGCGTTTCTGCAGCTCGCGCCGCGCGTCGAGAAGCGCGTGCCACGCCCTGAGCCTCGGCGCGACGGACGGCGGCAACGGCGGGAGCCGAGACACGAGGCGCGAGTGCTCGTGGCAAAGCTCCACCGCGGCGACGTCCGCGAGTTTCAGGTCTTTCACCGGGTGAAGCGCGGCGGGTGAACCGTTCGATAGCGTCTTCTCGAGCGCGGACAGCGCGCGCGCGGCGGCGGCGGCGGCGGCGGGCGGCGGCGAGGAGCCATCCGTCGGCGCCTCGAGCAACGCGCCTTGTTCCACGGGTATTTTCGCTTCCGTGATGGCGAGGACGGAGTCGAACGGGACCGCGCGGACGAGGTAGTCCATGCCCGCGGACGAGAGCCGCCACGGCAGCGACGGCGGCATCGGGCCTTCTATTCGAGCGTCTTCGCTTCCGCCGCCGCCGCGTTTGCCCCCTTTCTTGCCGTACCCGCCTCCTCCGAACACGTCGTCGTCGTCGTCGTCGTCGTCGCGTTTGCCCTTTCGGATCATCATCATCGGCTCCGACGGCTTCCTTTCTTCCTCTTCCTCCGCCCTCGCCGCCGCCGCCTCCTCCGCTTTTTCCTCGTCCGTGAGCGCCGGGTGTCCTTCCGGACACGGCACTAAAACGACGTACGTTTTCCCCGCGGCTTCCTCCGACGCGACGGCGCCTCGCGCGCCCGCGGTCGACGTGCTCACGATTCGCAACAACGCCCCGTGCTTGTCGATGTCCCCGCCGCCGCCGGCGATCAACAACACCCGCCCCGCGGTCATCGCGGCGATCCCGCCTTTGCTCGTCAGCACCGCTGCTCTAACCTCCGCCGCGGCGTGCCTCACCGCCGCGCTCGCGTGCTCGTGCGCCTCCGCGGCGGCCCATCCGACGATGTCCGACGCTTCTTCCTCCGCGGCGAGGTGGTTCACGCGCTTCAACGCCGCGACGTCGAGGGCCAGACCGGCTCTCTTATCCATCACCCCGCGCTGCGCGTGGAACTCCGCGAACGACCGCGCGAGCATATCCTCCACGCGCAGATCCTCCACGCGCATCAGGTTCAGGATCATCCCGAACGTTAACCGGAACTGCGACTGGAGCTTCGTCGCCTTGCCGGCGAGTAAGTTACGAACTACAGACTCGGTCGGGAAGTTGTCCCACGCCGCGATGATCACGGTCCCGACGGGGTCTAACCCGCGTCGACCCGCTCGGCCGGCCATCTGCGTGTACTCCCCCGGGAGTATCCCTCGGAATTCGCTCCCGTCGTGTTTCCGTAAATCTTGGAAACACACCGACCGCGCCGGGGCGTTCACGCCCATCGCGAACGTCTCCGTGGAGAACAGAACTTTCAAAAGCCCTCGGCAGAATAACATCTCGACGATCTCCTTCACGATCGGCAGAAGGCCGGCGTGGTGCACGCCCAGGCCGCGCCTCAGCAACTCCCGGACGCGAAGCACCTGCGGGAGCTTACGATCCGGCGGCGACAGTCTCGAGAGGCAGCGCTCGCAGAACACGTGAATCTCGTGTTTCTCCGCGCCCCCGGTGAGATCCAACCCCGTGAGCGAGTCGACCATCGTGTCGCACCGCCGCTTACTGAACGCGAAGACGACCATCGGGAGGAGATCGCGTCGTTCCAAGTTCCTGATCAGCTCCGTCCACACGGACTTGTCTCTCCCGCGCGCGCCTTGCGCGCCGCCGAAGACGCTCCCCGTGTTCCCCCCGCGTCCGGGGTGCTTGTTCCCGGCGTTGCCCGCGCCGCGACCGAACCCGCCGCGACCACCGCCTCGACCGGCGGCGGCGACCGCGCCTGGTCCGCCTTGCGGGGCCGCGCCCGCGCCGCCTGGTGGTTTTTTCTTGCTCTTATTCAGCGCGTCCGCGGCTTTTTTGTACCCTGCCGGGAGGAACGCCTCGCGTTCGCCGACCTTGTAGAAATCCTCCTCGGAGTCGCCTCCGAAGTAGAGCATATGCTCCAGCGGCACCGGCCGACGCGTCGTGCCGGTGACGTACACCTTCTTCCGTTTCGTGCGTCCGACCCAGTCCGCGAACTCCCACACGTTCGGCACGGTCGCGGAGAGCAAGACCAAGCCGACGTGCTCGGGGAGCATGATGATGACTTCCTCCCAGACCACGCCTCTTTCAGCGTCGTTCACGTAGTGCACCTCGTCGAAAATGACCCACTCCACATCCCTGATGAGGTCCGCGCCTCGGTACAGCATGCTGCGAAGGATCTCCGTCGTCATGATCAGACACGGCGCTTCCGGTCGGATCGAGACGTCCCCGGTGAGTAAGCCGACGTCGAACCCGTCCTTCGTGAAGTCGCGAAACTTTTGGTTCGAGATCGTCTTAATCGGCGACGTGTAAATCGCCCGCGTGCAGTGCTTCGACGCGAGCGCGAACGCGTACTCCGCGACGACGGTCTTCCCCGCGGACGTGTGCGCGGCGACGAACACGCACTCGTTGCGCTCGAGCCTGTACGCGGCTTCTTTTTGGAACGAATCCAACGCGAACGGGAACGTCCGCGCCGGGTGCGGCACCTCCGCGGCGAACGCGGCGTCGACGTCCGGGAGGCGCGCCATGACCGCCCACTCGTCCTCTCCCGCGCCATTCTCGCCTCGCATCGCCGCGCGCTTCGCCGCGGCGCGCGAGCTCGAGGACGTGGAGAGCGATTTAAGAAGCGCCTCGAGCTCAGCCTCCGGGGACGCGTCGGGTTCGGGCGCGGTCGCCGCCGCCGCCGCCGCCGCGTCGTCGTCGCTCTCGTCGCTCTCGTCGCTCTCGTCGCTCTCGTCGACCACCGCGGTTCGCAGCGCGCCCATGAGAAGGTCGTCGTACGTCATCGGCGCGTCCTCCCTTCCCGATCGCGTCGTCGCGGCGGAGGCGTCGATCGACATCGCGTCCAACGCGTCGCCGAGCGAAGCGGTCGCGTCCGCGTCCGCGTCCGTCGCCGGTAAAACGCTGGCGTCGTCTGTCCACGGCGACGGGTCGAACCCCGGGGGCGTCCCCGCGTAGATCCCGCGCTCGTACTCCTCGAGCCAGCGCTTACTCGCGCGTCTCGCCTCGCGCTCGCGCGCCTCCGCAGCCGCCGCCGCGCGCTCGTTCCACCCCGCGCCTCCCGGGGTGAACGGCGCGTTGGACAGCGACCCGCGCACGAAGTCGCCCGCGTCGCCGGGCGCGCGCGCCATGGACGAGGACGACGCGCTGTCTCCCGCGTGCACGCGCGCCTCTTCCTTCCACCCCACATTCCGCGCCGTCGACCGCGGCGATGACGCGTCGAGAATCGCGGGACCCGAGATGGCGCCGTCGAGCGCGATCTTGGACGGGTCGAGTCTAGGGAGGATCGGCACGACGCGGTGCCGAGGCGCGGACGGGCGATGCGTCTGCGTCGCCCCGCGCGAGCTCGCGCGCAGCAGATCCGTCGAGGACGCGAGCTTCGCCGCCGCCTTGGACGCGAGCGCGGCGAAGTACGCCTCGGATATCGGCCGAGCGTGCGTCGCCTCGATCGTCTCGCGCGTCGGCGGCGGCGACGGCAGCGGCGGGAGCGGGTACGGATGGGCTTTCGCCATCGTCGCCTCCCCCGATCCCCTTTCCCCCGCGTCGACGAACTCGACCTGCGCGACGACGTCCCCGCTCGCGGTCGGAGCGAGGTTGAACTCGAGCGCCTCGATTCCCGGGATGACGAACCCCATCGCGCCGGAAGGGAAGGGATGCGCCCCTCCGGCGGGTGTGACGAGATCGAGGAAGGAGGGCAAGCGTTTTCATCCTTCGGTCGGGTTTTTTTTTTGCGTGTTGAAAGTCTGAAGATGGTTGCAGTGGTTTGCTACGCGCGCGGGCCGCGCGTCGTCTACTTCCTCGGTCGCTTCTTCCCCGCCGTCGCCGTCTTCGTCTTCGCCTTGGCACCCTCGGTGTGATCGAAGGCGAGACCGAGCGCGTCGCCGTTCTCGTCCTTCTCGTCCCCCCACTTCTCCCTCAGACGTTGGAGGTGCTCCCTCATGTCCGCGCGGCTGTCCGGCTCGAGCCGAGCGAACCCGACGTCCTTCTTCCCCGGCTTCTTCGCGTCGTCCGGCGCGGCGGCGAGCACCCTGGCCCACACCGCGCCCAAGCGGCTCAGTAGCTTCTGCGCCTCTCTCTTGTCCGCCGCCCACGTCGCTCGCGCGTCGACCTCCCCCATCGCGACGGTCGCCGCGAAGGCGTCAGCGAACTGCGCGTCGCTCGCCTCGTCGGCGCTCTCCGCGCCGGCGACGAGCTTCTCCGCGATCTTCACGCCGACGCCCGGCACCGCCTCCGCCATCGTCATCGTGAGCTGCGCGGTCTCGAGCGCCTCCGCGGCGGCGGGGGGGACGAACACCTTCAGCGCGTGCGCGAGCTTGCCTTTCAGGCCGAAGTCGTCGACGCGCCACTCCTCGTCGGAGGAATCGTCCTCGTCGTCCGAGCCGTCGTCCTCCGCCGCGTCGAAGTCCGCGTCCTCGTCGTCGTCGAAGTCCTCGTCCTCGTCGAGGTCCGAGTCGGCGTCGGAGTCGGAGTCGGAGTCCTCCTCGACTTGCTCGAGCATCACGCACACGAGTCCGGTCTTGGCCTCTCTCTCCTCGACCATCTTCGCGAACTCGTTCGCCGCCTCCAGATCGTCGGCGGCCTGCATCTCTTTGCCCATCTCTTCGAACCACGCCTTCGTCTGCGCGAGCGCGTCCGCTTCCATGGCCGCGATCTTCTCTTTTTCCGCGGCAGATATCCGCGAGGACTTCCTCGCCGGCTGCGTGCGCGCTTTCGGCGTGGATTTCGCTTTCGGGGTGGACTTGGAGCGCGCCATCTCGCGCGGCTATATTATGATGGCGGCGGCGGCGATCGAACCGTCGTCAGGTGCAGGTGGAGATCTCGAAGATTTTGCAGTGTTGGCGGCGAGCGCGCGCTCAGACGCGAACGCGCGAGCACGCGTCTCGATGGCGGCAGCGGGAGAAGCGATCGCGGAAGCGATCGCGCGAGGCGACGGCGCCGCTGGAACGACCGAGGACGCGATCAAGGCGGCGATGGAGTGCCCGTGCGTCGCGGACCTGAAGAACAGCGCGTGCGGGGAGGCGTTCGCGGGCGCGCTCGGCTGTTTCATGAGCGCGGACGCGGAGGAAAGGGGGAGCAAGTGCGTGAAGGAGTTCGTCGCCATGCACGCGTGCATGGTAGAGAACTCGAAAGAGTTCGAGGCGTTCACCGCGGAGCTCGTCGAGGCGAAGGAGCGGCGGTGACGCGCGCGACGATCGAGCCGCTTGCTGTTGTAATACCCCACGACTTTAGACCTTCCGATCCGACTACTAGTCAACCCTCTCTCGCCCGCCTCCGCCTCGCCTCTACGCCCCGAGGTTCAGCGCCGCGATCATCTCCGCCGCGGTCTTCCCCTGCTCCGACGTCGCGGTCTCCATCGCGTCGTCCCCGGCCGGGAACAGCGGCGGCGGCGGCGGCGTCACGTCCACGAGCCGTCCCTTCTTGTCCAGCGTCCTGACGAAGGGGACGAACTCCACGCCCATCGTCCACGGCCTCAACGCGGGCGGGACGACGAACCCGGTCGGCGTCTGCCAGTTCTCCAGGATGCAGCACAGCGACCGCTCCGTCGCGGTCAGCGTGCTGTTCAGGAGGTGGACGTACGACTTCTTCTTCTCCGGGCCCTTCTGCGCGGCGCCGCAGCGGACTTCCAGCCGACGCGACTGAAAGTCGAGGCAGTTGGAGCACGACACGAGCTCGCGGAACGTCTTGCTCGAGGGGAACCACGCCTCGAGGTCGTACTTCTTCGCCGCGGCGTCGTTCAACTCCCCGGACACGATGTTCACGACGTTGTACGGGATCCCGAGGGACTGGTAAAACGCCTCGCTGTTCCCGATGAGGCGTTCCATCTCCTTCCAGGACTCGTCCCCGTCGGGGGACACCGCGATGAACTGCTCCACTTTTTCAAACTGGTGCACGCGGAAGATGCCGAGCGTGTCGCGCCCGTGCGAGCCCGCTTCTTTGCGGAAGCACGTGGAGTACCCCGCGAATCGCATCGGGAGCTCCTTGGGTTGGATCCACCGCTTCCTGAGGTACGAGCAGCACGTCTGCTCCGACGTCGCGATGAGGTACTTGTCCTCGCTGTCCTCGCCCGATGAGACTTTGTACAGCTGTTCGTCAAAGTCCGCGAGCTGCGCGCACTCGGCCATGCGATCCTTGCGCATGAAGAACGGCGTCGCGAGCGGGGTGTGCCCCCTTCCGGCTAAGAACGTCAGCGCGTAGTTAATCAGCGCCTGGTTCAGCAACACGCCCGCGCCCTTGAGAAAGTACCCGCGTCCGCCCGCGACGTCCGTCCCGCGTTCGGTGTCCGCGATGTCCAGCATCGCGATCAGGTCCACGTGGTTCGGCAAGTTCTCCTCCGTTCGCTTCGTGTCCAGACCGAACGTGCGGTACACCGCGTTGTTCGCCTCGTCGTCGCTCACGGGCACGGAGTCGTGCACGAGGTTACCGATCTTCACGAGGAGCGCGTTCACCTCCGCCTCGCATCGCTTCTCGTCCTCCTCGAGCGCGGCGCGCTTCTCGATGAGCGTCTTCACGAACGTGATCGCGTCGTCCGCGTCCTCGCCCGCTTTCTTCTTCTTGCTCACCTCCTTGTTCGCCTTGTTGAACTCCTGGTTGATGTTGTCGAGCTCCCACCGCGCGTCCCTCCACTTCGCGTCCAGGGCGATGACATCGTCCACGTCCTCGACGCGCGCGAAGCGTCGTCGCTGGGACTCGCGGACGAGCTCCTGTCGATGTGAGCGAGCGCGGGGAAGGGGCGGGGGGGAGTCAGTGGCGGTTCACGGCGGGAACGCGCGTAGGGGCGCGAAGACGCTGCCCGCGGTCGCGGTCGCGGTCGCGGTCGCGGTCGCGACGCGACCGATCGACGGACGCGTTCCGGAGGAGCCGCCATTTCGGAGGACGAGAGACGCCGCGCGCGCGACGACGCGGATCGCGAGCTCGCGCACCGGGTTGCCGCCCTTGTCCTCTCTGAAGAGGTTGATGTCGAGCATTTCGAGCGGTGTGGCCGCGGCTGTCGCGCCGTCGCCGAGCGTGCGGGTGGATATGACCGCTCGCGCGCGCCGCGGCGAGCGGATACGGCCAAGCCAGCCGGAAGGGCGAAGAGGGAGATCGGCAGGTCGAAAACGCGACTCTTTTTTCCCCTCAGCACGCGCCCTTTCGCGCACTTCGGCGACGCGCAGCGCACGTCGTCGTCGACGCGCGACCCGCGACGGACGTCACCGCGCGCGGCGTGGGCGTGATCCGTCGCGGCGTCGAGGCGCGGGGCGAACCCGGCGCGGGGGGCGAACGCGGGCGCGTTCGGAAGGCGGCGTCGTTAATCTGAATCACGCGACTCGACGACAGATCGATCGATCATGTCCAAGAACGTCGCGCTGTCGTACGAGGGCGCGTGCCACCGATGCGGGATGCCCGGGCACATCGCGCGGAACTGCCCGCAGCCGCGGATATGCACCAAGTGCGGCATGGGCGGACACGTCGCGAAGTTCTGCGGGCAGAAACAGTTGACGGCGAAGGACAAGATGCTCGCCAAGTACAGCGAGGTGTGCCACAGGTGCGGGAACAAAGGGCACATGGCGAGGGAGTGCTCGTCGGTCGCGTTCAAGTGCCGGATATGCGGCGAAGATCACCACCAGTCCGAGTGCCCGAAGAACACGGGCACGCTGGAGAACATGATGAAACGGAAGACGTACGAGACGAGCGAGTTCGCGAAGCAAAAGCTCGCCGCGGAGGTCGCGGAGAAGACGCGGCGGTTGGAGAGAGTCATCGCGAGCGGCGGCGCGGGGGGGTCCGGCGGGCCCGGGGTCGGGGGGGCGTCGACTGGGAGGGAGAAAGAGGACGCGGTGCTGTGTAAGCCAGCGGGGATCGTCGTCGTGAAGAAGAAGAAGAAGAAGAAGCCGAACCCGGCGTTGGCGCGGTTCAAGGTGACGTCGAAGGGCGGCGGCGGTGGCGAGAAGCCGCCGCCGTCGACGGAGACTGACGACGCAGACCCCGGCGAGAAGAAGCCCGAGAAGGCGGAAGCGACGGAGGCGAAGAGGGACGACGACGACGACGACGACGACGACGACGGCGGCGACGACGGCGGTGGGCTGCTCGGAGGGTTGCTCGGGGATTACGGCGCCTCCGAGAAGCCTCCGCCGTCGACGGAGACGGACGACGCAGACCCCGACGAGAAGAAGCCCGAGAAGACGGAAGCGACGGAGGCGAAGAGGGACGACGACGGCGGCGGCGGCGGCGGGCTGCTCGGAGGCTTGCTCGGGGATTACGGTAGCGATAGCGATTGAACGCGACGAACGATTGTGCTCTCTCGGATCGACAGGAGGGTGCAGTGCTACCCTAGCTAGTTCCTCCCGACGATCTCGGACGTCGCTCCGCGCCGTCCCGTCTAGATCGCCATCGCGTCCCCGAAGTTCCGCATGAACACGATCGCCGTCACGAAGAGCCCGGCGGATCGGAGGAAGGTCTGCGTCGACGAGGGGAGAAGGGCGGGAGGGTCAGCGACCGCGGGAGGAACGAGAGGCGAGCTCGCGATTTGGTGGGCGGCGTGTCTTTCTAGTCGGGGCGTCGCTCGGACGCGTCGGGCGCGGACGCGAACGTACCACCGTGCTCTCCCGGTTCGCGTCGCTGAACTGGTGTGCGATCTCGGATTTGATCGTGTCGATGACGCCCATGGTGTGTGCCTCGCGCGCGTCGTTGTGCCCCGCGCGGTCGGCGACGCGCTCGAGTCGGATCGCCTTCATCAGTCGGTGACCGACCACCGCACCGCACCGTGTTAGACTTGTTCAAACGAAATAGGGTTGACGCCAGATCGAGCCGAGCGACGCGAGTCAGGATGCCTGCTAAATTCGTGTACGACGAGAGCGTCATGCCCTCGGACGCGGGTGGGCCGCACATGCGACAGAACTGGAGCCCATACGTGCGTCCCCTCGCGAGATCTCGCGATCCCGCCTCCTCCTCTTCCCATCCAACCTCATCCTCTTCGCTCCGTCGACGGGCCGATCGGACCGTCGCCGATCTCGCGCGGTGCGCCTCGACCCCAGCCCTGACGCCCTCCATCCACGCGTAAACATCACAGGACAACAACGGGGGGACCGTCCTCGCGGTCGCGGGCGAGGACTACGTCGTCTGCGCCGCGGACACGCGCATGTCCACGGGGTACTCCGTCCTCACGAGGGACTACAAAAAGATCGAAAAAATGACCGAGAAGTGCGTCATGGCGTCCGCCGGGTTCATGGCGGACGCGGTCACGCTGAAGAAGACGCTCAAGGCGCGGTGCGTGTCGTACGAGTTCCAGAACAACAAAGAGATGGGCTGCGTCTCCTTCGCGCAGATGCTGTCGAACACGCTGTACTACCGCCGTTTTTTCCCGTACTACACGTTTAACATCGTCGCGGGTTTGGACAAGGAAGGCAAGGGCGCGGTGTTCACGTACGACGCCGTGGGGTCGTACGAGAGGACGAACTACAGCTGTCAAGGGTCCGGGCAAGGGTTGATCATGCCCGTGCTGGATAACCAGCTCAAGACGGTCTCCCCGCTCGTGCTCCCGGCGCAGTCGTCCGCGACGCCGCTGAGCGAATCCGAAGCCGTGGACCTCGTGAAGGATTGCTTCGCCACCGCGGGGGAGAGAGACATCTACACCGGCGACAGCGTCGAGATCTGGATCATCAACAAGGACGGGCTGAGGAAGGAGTACCAGGACTTGAAGCTGGATTGATTAGTCCGAACGTGGGGGTGGGGGGGTGACTTAGACATATCTTGTGACCGAAGGCGCGCTGTTAGAGCGAAAGTAAAGCAACTCATCAGTGCGCTTTTTCGGCAGTAGCCGCCACAACGTTCCGAGCATGGCGTCCCTCGGCGCGATGCGGCTGCTGGGTAAACTCGGCGGGATGTTCGCGCGGACGGTCCCGAACGCGCTCAGGGAGACGAGTCGCCGGGCGATCGTTCGCGTCCCGTGCGTCGGCGCGCCGTCGTCCACGCGCTGGGGCGTCGAGCCGTCGTCCGCGGTCACGGGAAAGCAAATTCGCGCCGCGTCGTCGTCGTCGGCGTCCAGGAAGAAGGACAAAGGCAAGGCGGCGAAGAAAAAGAAGAAGGGCGGGCCGACGGGGTACGTCGCGAAGAGCACGCGGTCGAGGTTCGGCCCGGACGCGGGGCGCCTGCCGCCGAAGGAGACGGAGCCCGGGTCGAAGCCGCTGCGCGAAGACCTGGACATGAGCGAGCTGCGAATCGACTCGCTCCTGAACGAGCTCGTGGACGGCGGCGAGGGGATGAGCAACCGCGCGAAGTTCCGCGCGCTGCCGATCGATGACCAGATCATGGGTCGGATCAAGAGGGTGCGTCTCGCGCGCGATTCGATTCCGATACTCGCGCGTTCGTTCGTTCATCTGACCACGACGCGCAGGTTCTAGGGTAATTTCACGCGTTCGTTCGTTCGTTCTTTTCGTTCAACGCCGCGGCATCCGACGACGAGCTGACCTCCCCGTCTCCTTCTCCCCAAAAACACAGGAAGAGCTGTGCACGACGCCGTCGCAGGCGGGGCGCGTAGCGCGCAAGCTGCGCAACAGGAACGAGGACACGAAGATCACGCGGCGGTATCCGTTCTACCAGGACATATCCCCGGAGGACCGGCGCCTCCTCGGTCTGAACGGCGGCAAGCCCGCGTGTACCTTCACGCACGCGGCGACGAACGAGGATTCGCTCCCGCCGCCGGACGACGTCCCAGAGGTCGCCTTCGCGGGAAGATCGAACGTCGGGAAGAGCTCGCTCATCAACGCGATCACGTTGAGCGCCGCGGCGCGCTCGTCGGACGTCCCCGGGAAGACGCAGTCGCTGAATTTCTACGACGTGAGCCGCCGATTGCGCATCGTGGACATGCCGGGGTACGGCTTCGCGTTCGCGGCGCCCGACCGCGTGGACGCGTGGAACCGCCTCATCGACAAGTACCTCACCGGACGCGCGAACTTAAAGCGCGTGTACGTCGTCATCGACGCGAGGCACGGGTTGAAAGCCCCCGACCGAGAGATGCTCGCGTTTCTGAGCAAATACGGCGGCGTGTCGTACCAAGTCGTCCTGAACAAGACGGACCTGGTGAAACCCGGCGACCTCGCGCGGAGGGCGTTCCTCATCCGAGAGGAGCTCAGGCTGTCGAAGCGCGCACGAGGTATCGTGGACATGGCGAGCACGAGCACGGGCGCGGGCGTCAGAGACTTCGCGCGCGGGTTGCTCTCGCTCGCGATCCCGGAGAAGGCGGAGGACGACGGCGGACGCACAGCTGGCGGCGGAGGAGGGGGAGAGGCGGACGACGAGACGGACGACGAGCGCGAGTCGTACGGCGGCGAGTGGAAGCCCAACTCGGGCGACGCCTCGGTCGCTGGTGGTGGTAAGAAAGCGCGCCCACGCGGGTGGGGCTCGTACGCCGCGGACGACGACGACGACGACGAGCGTCCGCGCGCCGGGGGGTTGGGAGGCGAGTGGAAACCGGGGCGGGGCGCGACGCCGAGGCCGGGCGGCGGACGCGGCGGACGCGGGGGGAGAGGCGGCGGGCGCGGGCGAGGGGGCAGAGGTGGCGGGAGAGGGCGCGCGCGTTGAGTCGCTTTAGGTTAGGATCGATCGTGAACGATAGCGTATTCCGATGGGAGGCGCGTCTCGCGCCGCGAACGCGTCGCGGCCACGGAAATCCAACCGCACAGAACTGAAAGCGCCCGTTTAATAAAGCGCGCGACCTTTAGGTCAAAGCTTCCGTCGCCGCCACAACTCGCCGCGATACGTCGTCGATGGCGTCGATGACGACTCTCTCCGCGTGCGCGATGGCGCGGTCCGCGCCCGCGTCGACGCGATCGGTCTCGCGGGACCGCGTCGCTTCCGCGCGCGTCGCTCCCCCCGCGCTCTCGCGCGGCTATAGATTTACCATGATGGAAGGCCGTCGAAAGGGCGTTCGACGGAACGCGGTGGAAGCCGCCCCCGCGGACACGGACGTCGACGCCGAGTCCCTGAAGTGCGACGTCGAGAACCCGTGCCGAGACGCGGTGATGGCGATGGTCGTGACCGGCGAGCGGACGCTGTTCCCGGACGCGAGCGAGGACGAGCGCGCGCGCGCGGCGGAGGCGACGACGACGAGCGCGACGCTCGCCGCGTTCGCGTCGTCCGAGGCGGCGACGCGAGCGATCTTGACCGGCGGCGAGGGCGACCCGGAGGAACTCGCGGAGCCAAACACGTGGAAGGTTGTCGCCCCCGGGTTCGGCGGGAGGCTGTTCTTCATAGGACCGGAGTGCAAGCTGAACCCGGTGAGCACGTTTCGCATTCACGAACCGCGGACGTCCCCGAACGACGACGGCGCTGTGACGATACAGATCGAGCAGCTCAAGGGCGAGATAAACGGCTCGCCCCCGGGGGTTATCAAGTGGATCAACGCCGCGTACACATCCGAGCGGACGGTCACGACGGTGGTTTTAGACCCGGCGAAGGGCGTCGCGCGCGCGAGCGTGGACGTCGCGGTGCGAGTCTCCGTGCCGAGAGCTTTTAAATTCGTGCCGCTCCACAAGATCGAGAAGTCTATGAAGAAGGCGTTCAGAAAGCCGACGGAGAAGGCGATGGGGGAGATGTGCGACGCGATCGGGCGCGCATACGTCGAATGGGCGGCCGCGGGAGGGAAGTAGATGATGTTGCCTAGCTAAGTTGTTGTACGAACAGTAACGGGTCGGGTCCGCCGTCTCGCGTCTGCGCACGAAAATCGCCGTCCGAAACGTCATCGATCGATAATCGCAAATCGATCGTCACCACACGCGCAAGTGACGCAAAATGGGCGATTGACGCGGCTCGCGTTCGCCGCCCGTCACAGCTCACGTTCGCCCCGGCGCGTCGCCGAGGAGCGTCATGGCGTACCTCGATGACTGGTACGCCAAGATGTCGAAGAGCGTCGGCGGGGAAAAGCGCGGGAGCCACCGCCGGTTCTTCCACCAAGGGTGCGTCCCTCCCTCGCGCCGCGCGAATCGTTCGACATTTATCTGAGGAAGTTCCCGCGATTTTCTTCCTCCTCGCGCTCGACCGCTGACCTCCCGCACCATGTCCGCTCGTCTTCATCAGGTACGGCGACATGCACGCGGCGGCGAAGATTTACGAGGAATGTATCGCGTCCGTGACGACAGGCGAGCCCGTGAAGCCGATAACGCTGCGTTGGGACGCGGACTTCGTCGACGTGCCGATCTTAGCCGGGTGCCTCCAGCCCTCCGCGGACGCGCCCGGATACCCGCTGTACAGGGAAGCGGAATTCGACTCCCCGGGTGCGAAGTACATGCCCGAGGAGAGCAAGGTCGGGAACATGCTGTTCATCTGGCGCACGGGGAAGAAGCCGCCATCGAAAATCGCGATACACCTCCCGACGACCGGGGACCAGTACTTTTGGTATCGAAAACAGCTCGCGAAGGACCTCCTGAAGCACGACGTCGCGTCGTGCATCCCGATGTTCCCGTACTACGGCAAAAGGAAACCCCCCGGGCAGTACTTACATCTCCTCACGTCCGTCAGCGCGTTCATAACGCAAGTGTGCGGCGGCATCATGGAAGCCGCGGGCATCGCGGCGTGGGCCAACGCGGCGTACCCGGGGGCCAAAGTCGTCATGACCGGCGTGTCCCTGGGCGGCAGCGTCGCAAACGTCGCCGCGGTGATCGCCGCGGGGAACTGCGATACCGGCGTCGGGTCGTGCCCGGTCGTCGCGACATCGTCCGCGACGTCGTTCCTGACTGGGGTGTTACACAACAGGATCGCGTGGAACGTCCTGAGCGAGGCGGAGGACGCCGTCGCGGACGAGATCAAAGCCGTCGTCGCGGCGTCGCTCGACGTCGGCGAGAAGTCGAAACCGGTCATCCACGCGAACGAAAAGGGGCTGCCGCTGACGCCGACGGAGGCTGCGCTCGCGGACACGATGGACTGCCTGTCCATGTCGACGATGATCCGGCTCATGGAGCAAGGGCAGAGATCGCACGGCGTGGAGATGCCGATGCTGGACGCGGTGACGCAAGTCACCGCGAGGAAAGACCGGTTCGTGGGGTCGCACTCGGACGAGCTCCACGCGGTGTTGCGCGGGCTGACGGACCCGCGAGGGGAGTGCGAGCGGGTGGAGGTGAACGGCGGGCACATATCCACGCTGTTCAAGCGCGGGGAGACGATCGTCCCGGCGATCGCGTCCACGTTCGAGAAGGTGGCGAGCACGCTCGCGGCGAGGGGGGGCGGGGCGGAGAGAGAGAGAGTGACGACGCCGGAGCAGGGCGACCGCGAGCCGGCGGCGGCGCGGGTGTGATCGACCGACGGTGTCGCGCGTAGCGCGAGACGCGCTACGTCTCCATGTTGTAACAACAGACTAACTAGCCGTTCGCCGCTCCGGTCTTCTTCTCCTTTTTCTTCTTTTTCGACGAAACCTTCGCCGTGATCGCCGCCGCGAGGTCGTCGCCGTCCCCGGGAAGGTCGTCCCAGGACTTCAACTTCGTCCGCTTCGGTTTCGTCTTCGCGGTGGTCTTCTTCGCCGCGACGTCGAACATCCCGAGCACGTCGTCGTCGCCGCCGTCGTCGCCGTCGTCCGTCGCCGCCTTCCCTTTCTTCCCCCCTCGCTTCTTCGCGTCGACGACCTCCTCCTCCTCCTCCTCCTCCTCCTCGGACTCGTCGTCTTCCTCCTCCTCGGACTCGGACTCGTCCTCGTCCGACCCCGTCGGGGCTAACACTCCCACGGGCGCGTGCGCCTCTCTCGCGTCCACGTCCTCGTCCTCGTCGCTGTCGCTGTCGCTGTCGTCCTCCTCCACCTCCATGACGTCGTCGCCGCCGTCGTCCTCCGTCTTCGTCGTCAGATGGTCTTTCCTCCCGGGTAACCCAAAGTCGCCCAAGCTCGCCGCCGCCTCCGCGCCGTAATGTCTCCTGACGCGTCTTTTATCTCTCTCGCCCTCCCACTTCTTGTGCTCCTCCCGGAGCTGCGTCGTGAGCTCTTTCGTCATCTTATCCGCGATCCGCACGCAACGCATGATCTCGTTCGCGGGCACGCCGACGCCGCCGCCTTTTTGCACCGCGCACAGCTCCCCGTGCGCGTTTAAGACGACGATGAGGGACGACGCCATGACCGCCTCCTCGTCCACGAGCGGATCCACGATTAATAAACCTTCGTGCTCGGCGAAGAACCCGAATTTCACCGCGATCGGGAGGTGATGCAGCGCGAGCGGGATCGGCTCTCGCGCGTCCGCGGGATGCACCGTGACGAGCTGCGTGGAGGGGTCCACCGTCGCTTCCGGGCGTCGAAACGACAGCAGCGACGCGTTCGCCGCGAGCGACGCCGCGCCCGCGATGTTCCCGCACGCGTCGAGGACGTGCACGTCCACGCGAATGTTCCACACGCGTCGCCCGGCGAGGACGCACAGAGACTCGACGTCCACCGCGCCCGTCTCGCGGATCGCGCGCTCCAGGACGACCGCGAGCTCGCTCGCTTCCTCGCCCGGGCGCCCGGGCTCGAAGTTCGGGCTCGCCATCGGCGAGAACTCGACGTTGATCGTGACCGAGCCCTCGTTCGAGCGCCCGCCGCCGGGAGGCTCGAGCTTCGCGGACGTCACCGCGAGCACGCGCGTCTTTCCCAGCGAGACCTCGCACACGCCGTCCTTCGGGCCGAATCGATACGCCACCTCCCTCGCGTCGAAAGGCCCTCGAAGGTCGATCCGGATGTCCTCCTCCTTCAGCGCCTCGAGGATGAACTGCCGATTGTTTATGCACAAGAGCACGTCCGGATCCTTCGGCGCCATGGCGAGCGAACCTCCCGTGGGACGAGGGACGGCGACGCAGCCGGCGGTGCCCTAAATTGTGCCGATCGGATCGGTCGAGTTCGTCCGCGCGACGACGACGAAAATGATCAGATGTCGCCAACAGATCGTATCTCCGCGGGGTTCGCGTCACTCCTCGCCGCCCTTAACGGGAGGTGCGCACGACCCCCGCAGCCTTCGGGCTGCGACCATCGACGCGTCCGCGCGGACGCTCACCAGAGACCAGACGCGCACCTCGCGCGAAACGACGACGCGGAGCGGAGGATAGGAGACTCGAGATCGGCGGACTCGCGCCAAAACAGAACCGATCGAGGGACGGACGGACATGCGAGCGTGGCTGAAGAGCGCCGCGCGATCGGCGCTCGGGATCACGCCGACGTGCAACGAGATCGCCGGCGCGCTCTTAAAGCTCTCTCCCAGGGAAGCGAAAGCGAGCGTCACGCGCGCGGCGACCGCGCTGTTGCGCGCGGAGATTTCGCGCGTCTCCGCCGGCGCGAGCGCGGACCGACGACCCCCGACGGAGGTGCGCGCGTCGTCGATACCGAACGCGGGCTTGGGCATCCACGCGCGATTCGACGCGCGCGCGATGCGAAGAGGCGACGTCGTCGCGCTCTACGCGGGCGTGTTCCACCCCCCCGCGCCCCCGGTCGATGCCGGGTGCGACGACGCGGGGGTGATCATCCCGCAGCCCGCCGCGGGCGAGGACGGGCGGTACCTCCTGAACCTCGAAGGCGGCGGGTACGTCGACGGAGCGACGCACGCGAGGACGCTGCGGGAGCTGCACGACCGCGGGGTCTGCGCCGGGTGGGCGACCGCGGCGCTGGCGAACCATCCCCCGGCGGGGACGATGCCGAACGTGGAGGCCGTGCGCGTGGACTGGGAGGACGCCGGGGAGGAGACGCGTCGCGCCGCGCGCGCGATCGTGAACCCGATGACGACGACGCCGTGGTACGTCGACGGCGGGACCGGTATCGAGGTCGGGGTGCCGCCGAGCTACCCCACGTCCGGGGTCGCGTTCATCGCGACGAGGGACATCGACCCGGGCGAGGAGATATTCTTCAACTACCGCTTGGGCGGGACGCTGAAGCCGTCGATCACGGCGTGGTACACCCCCGTGCCGTGGGGGACGTCGTGGGCGATCGTCGACGACGCGGAAGAGACGAGCGACGAAGAACAGAGACGAGAGAGGGAGTGGAGGGAGAGGAGGGATCGTGGGGACTGGGACAGCGGCGCGCTGGGATGACACAGTACCCACGCAGCGAAGAACGGTTTGACCAAAACGAGAAGAACTACGCTATCGTATATCGCACGAGCGCGTTTCACTTCGCGAACGGAAGGCCAGCGTGTTTAAACCGCTCCGAGGACGGCTTCTTCGGCTTCTTCCCTTTCGTCTTCTTGTCCGTCGCGACCTCGATCCTCTCCGGGATCTCCCGTCGAACGTTCGCGTCCCAGCCCTCCGGGCACTCCAAGGACGACAGCACGCGCATCGTCTCCGACGCGTCCGCGCCGGGCGGCGACGACGCGTCGCCGTCCGTCGTCGACAACCGCGTCGCGATGGTCGCCCTCGCCTCCTCGATCTCCGCGCTCAGGGCGTCGTTGTCCGCGTGCAGTCTGCACTCCGCGTCCTCGAACGCGTCCCTTCGCGCTTTGATCTCGCGATCCTCTCTCGCTCGCGTGGTCTCGAGCTCGCGCCGCCGAGCGGACTCGCGCGCGTCGCCGCCGCGGTCGCGGTCGCCGCCGCCGCCGCCGCCGCTCGCCGCTTTCCCGCCCGCGACGTCCCTCAGCGCGGTAAACAGACCGGTCATCTCGTCCCGGGCCTCGAGCTCCGTCTTCAGCCACCGCTCCGCCTCTTCCCTCCCCTTCCGCTCTCGCGCGAGCGCCTCTCGCAGCGACGAGACGTCCTCCTCGTTCGCGTCTCGACGCGCCGCGAGCGCCGCGTCCCTCGCCTCTCTGTCCTTGTTGTGCCGCCGGTACTTGTTCAGCTTCCGGAGCGTCTCCCTTCGCGTCTCCGTCTCGCTTCTCAGCGCGTCGCTCGTCGCGGACTCTCGCGCCTTACACCGCGTCAGCTCCTCGGTCAGCGCCGCGACTTTCTCTCTCTCGACCGCGAGCGCGACGGCGTCGCGGCGTCGCTCCTCGCGTTCGCGCTTCAGCTCCTCGAGGAGGTCGATCTCTTTGCTCTTCATCGCCTTCTCGGTCTCGTGCGAGAGCGCGCGCATCGCTTTCGCCGCGGTCGTCTCCGCCTCGAGCGCGTTCTCCGCGGACGTCCTCGCGAACATCGCGCTCTCGAGCTCGCTCTTGACGTCGCGGAGCTTGGCGTCGCGCGCGCCGACGTCTCGCTCGAGCCGAGAGATGCGGTCTTCCAGCGCGCGCCTCGTCCCCGCGAGCGTGTCTCTCTGGCTCTCGATCGTCTTCTCCTTGCCCTTCAGCGCGCTCTGGAGCTCCGCGATCGTCGCGTCTTTCCGCGTGTACGCGCCGAGCGGCGAATTCGACGGCGAGGACGTCGTCGCTCGCGTCGACGGCGAGGAAGCCGCGGCGTCGAATCGTCTCGAAATGGGCGTCCCATTCAACGCGGGCGAGGCCGCCGTCCTCTTCGGGGACGGTCGCTCCCCCCACGGACGCGCGGGAGTTTTCGACTCTAAAATCTTTTTCAGCTCGTCGAGCTCGCTCTGCCCCATCGCGGCGAGACGCCGGCGCGGAGGCGGGCGCCGTCGCGAGTGCGAAAGCCGCGCGAGGAGTGATTATCCTCGGCTGTTGTTCGCGAAGTCCGACGCGCGTCGTCCTGTTCCGGAAATTGCTGCGCAGCCTTTTGATCGACCGCTTTGAAACGCGCTTTCAACCGAACCCGACTTCCCGGGCTCGCGCGTCGTCGACACGCTTTCAACGATCGTCGTTGACCGGAGGAATTAGTAGCTCGCCAGCTCGCGGTCGGTCGGTCCTACCGACAGCGAAAAAAGCGCGCCATCGAAAGATGACAAAGATAACTTTCGTACTACGCGCGAAACTACCTCCCGAACTAATTGCTCGTACAAAGAAACGCTTCGCGCGCCGGTTCGCACCGGCGTTTTCAAACTCGTGTCGTACGTTTCGCTCCGAGTTCGCAACAAGTTTTCAAGTTTCGTCGACCTCGACGAGGCGTCATTGTTCGCACGCGCGAGCACGCTCTCGTCCGGGCCGCGCACGTCGAAAAATCGATCGCGCGCGTTAGGGAAGGCTCCGACGGTATCGAACTACCGATCGTGACTGAGGACGAACGCGCGAGTCGTTCCAGGGTCCGCGCGCGAGCGCAGGAAACCTCGAGGCGTGTGGGGTGCGCAAAAGAACGTTGAGCAGGATTCTGCCACGCGCGCGCTCGTCGACTGCGAGCGTCGCGCGTTTGAATCTTATCCGTCGCATCGATCTGATTTTCGGTGTGGAGGCGCCAAACGTCGTTTGAGAGTCGATCGCGAAGTTTCAGCGCCGTTCGTCGCGTCCTCGACCGTCCGCCGCGCGTGACCTGTCGCGCTCGATCTGACGCGAGGAGGGAAAAAAATAACTTCGCGAGGAGCACGTTGGAGGAGGATGGAATCTGGACCCGTCCCCGCGGCGGCAGCGCCCGTGGAGACGGTTAAACCGATGCAACAGCCGGTGGGATCGTTTGATGACGCCATCACCCCGAACAGGTGCGATTTTTACCCCGTTCGTCGGCCCACGGAGCGCGCCAGCTCGTGTTTCCCGCCCCCCTCGCATCGTTTGAAGGGGTATCTTCTCGCAAATTCGCGACCACGACGAAATTCTCCCCGGTCCGTGCCGACGGATTCCACGCGGGTTCCCGTCGTGCGATGCGTCGCGCGGTCCCTTCATCGGGCGAAGACGATGTTTAGGTCCAACATTCGAAGACGTCACTGTTTCGCATCGTGTGCGCGCTCGGAACGTCGCCGTTTCTCGCGTGAACTCACCGCGCCTTTATCTTTTCTTTTTTTTTCACGCAGAGGTGGGGAGACGAGCACGAGTTCGCTCGAGCCCGGCGCGCCTGTCGCGACTCCGGAGCCGCCGCGAGCGGAGAACTTAAACGTGTTGGAGCCCTTTAAAGCTATCATCGCGGCTTTTGGTGTGTTTTTGCATGAGACGACCGCGCGCACCCCCTTTCCGGATCGACCGAAACCCCAGCTAGAATGCTACGTCACAAAAGACGCGGCCTCTCGCTCGTTCGCTCGCTCCGTTTCTGACGCGTTCCCGCCCACCCTGCGCGCGATTTTCCCTCAGGAAACGAGTCTAAAGCCTCTCAAGAGCCCAAAAAGGAAGTTTCCCCCGCGATGGCGACGGAGAAAACCTCGGAACCGGCCACGGTACGCCTCGACACCCCGCCCAGCTCCTTGAACGAGAATGATTCAAAGTGCTTTCAACGCGGTTCCGACGCGGGCGCGGTGTGTGCCATCTCGAATGTGTGCGCATACTCACCCTTTATCCCCTCCGTTCGTTCATTTAGGTCAAGGGTGAGGAGACTCCGGCGATCGATCACGTGAAATCGAGCGTTACTACCGCTAAAGAAGGTGCGACACGCATCACACATCGAGGGTTTATTTCGTGGGTTTGTTTATATGGTGTCGTCGTCGCCGGCGGATCGGTCCATCGCGCCGTCGCGAACCGTGATCGACAATGTCGTCGCCGATTTTTGCGTGAACCTATTACTACACGTACGGGTCCACGATACGTGAAGTTTGGGGGAATTATACCTCGTTACGAGAACGCTATGCGACGTTATCAGCGTCTCGGGAGAACTCCCGGAACCCGCGACGACGACGAGAACACGATCTTGGCTCGGCACCGAGTTCGGGGTCATCTCGAACTCGATTCGTTCGGTTTTACGCCTGAAATTTCTCCATGGGGTGTTTCTGGTGTAGATCGTTCGATTTGCCGAGTTTCGCGCGATTTCGTGAGGTTTTGATGCCTCTGAGGTATCCATCTTGTTCGATGGAGCCCTGGTGCCTCTTCCGAATTTGGCTTCTTCTTTTTTTCTGCGACTTCGCGATTTCCCGAAAACCTTGATTGGCGCTTTGAGCGCGCGTCCCATGACGACCGCGCGACGCGTTGCCGCACAAAAGGCACTCGATCGCGGCGTCATGTTGGGAACTTTTAAAACATCCAGAGACTTGGGGTTTTTTACGCTCGACATCGACGGCACTCGCGCTTCCCGGATCACCGTCGTCAGGTCATATCTAACGTATCTTTTTCTTCTCCCTCGATTTTTTTTTCTCGTTCCAGGAGACAAGAAGCCGCCCTCCGTCCGCGAGAAGTGGACCGCGTGCGAGGAGAAAAAGTTCTTCAGCGCGCTCAAGGTACGTGCCATACGAGTTTCCACGGAGTTTCAGCGCGTCCGGGGCGGATTTCTCGAGCGGGGACGACCCCCGGGACGCCGCGCGGCTGGCGCCCCAAAAATTTCTCGCGACGGCTTCTCCCCCGCCTACGTCCTGACGCCCCGCGCCTCGCCCCCCCCATCGCACGCAGACCGTCGGCTCGAACTTCGATAAGATCGCGGAGATCATCGAGACGAGGAACAAGACGCAAGTTCGCGGGTTCTACATCGCGGAAGTCAAGAGAATCAACGCCGTGCTCGCGCCGCTCGGCGTCCAGGTGGACCCCGCAGACGTCGAGGAGGTGCACGCGGCGATGCACTCGTGGCACAGCATGAAGGACAACCTCGGACCCGGGGAGCGGTTCCAGGAGCTGTGTAAGAAGCCCCAGGATAGGAACTTATTCGCGTGGGGGCTCAAGCAAGAGCTCGACAAGTCCGTGTGGGCGGAAGGGAAGAAAGAGGCGAAACTCCAAGCTCTCGGGCTGCTCCCGTCTGTGCTCGGCGACGGCGGGAAAGTTTTAGGGGTCGTGTCGGGCTCGAAGACGACCGCGGGCGCTCGCGTCGGCCGTCCGAAGGGCAGCGGGATGAACCGGAGCAAAGGTTCGTGCAAGGCGGATTCTCCGTCGTCCGCGAGGAAGGCTGCCGCGGCTAAGAAGGCGGCGCGACGAGGCTGCTCGTCCCCGAACGCGGCGGCGGCGAGGGCGAAGGCGGACGCTGCCGCGGGACGCGCCGCGGATTCGAAGATGTCCAAAGAGCCGACCGAACGTCTGATGCTTCAGCTGTTCCCGATCGACGCGAGCACGCGCGCGGCGCTCGTCGCGGGCGGTTTCAACCCGCACTTGGAGCTCACGTTCCGGGCGAAGAAGTCCGTGATCGGTTTGATGAACCACCTGAAGACGAAATGGGCGGCGGCGACGAGACACTTACCCGCAGGCGTGAACGGAAAAGACGCGGTCCTGCAACTGTACCCGTTCGAGGCCGCGTCCGCGACCGAGGCGGTCGGCGCGTGGAACGACAGGCACGACGGCGTGACCGCGACGGACATATTCGACGCGTGCGGGCGCCCCGCGGCGTTCCGAGTCCGCTACGGCTGGGTTCCCTCCGCGGAGGCTGCGTCGAGGCCGCACCTCGCGCCGCCGCCGCCGCCGGTGCACCAGCAGTCGGTCGCGTCGCGGAACGGCTCGCGGTCCAGGTCGCGCAGCGCGTCGCCGCCGAACTTGTCGCCGCGGAAACGGTCCGCGGAGGAGCTCGACGTGAGGCATCCGTCGTTCTGCCAGGCCCCGGTCCAGCCCGGGTCCTTCGAGGGGATGTTTGCCGGCGGCGGGCGAGTCCCGGCGGTGGGATCCGTGTTCGGAGCCGACTTCGGCGGCGACGCCGCCTTCGGGCTCTTCGCCGGCGGCGGCGCGGTTCAAGGCGACGACTTCACCCTGAGCGGTTTCGGCGGCGCGGACTTTAGCAACATCTGCCGAGAGATGGGACTCGACGACGGCGAGCACGACCGGCGCGAGGACAGCGCGCACGGACGCGCCGGGGACGCGCCCGGGCCGCTCGACAGCGCGTCTCCTGGGACGTTGAAGGCGTTCGCGAGGCACACGCGGGAGGTCATCTCCGAGTTTGGCGCCGCCCCGGACGCGTCGATGGGCGCGGGAGGCGTCCTCGGCGGCGATTTCTCGCTCACGACGATGCTCGGCGACGTCCCCGCCGAGGGCGGCGTGTCCAGGCAGGGGGACCTGGGCTCGCCGCGACGCGGGACGGACTCGGCGTCGGCGGAACCGACCGATTTCAGCGGCATGTTCGGCGGCGACGTCGCGGAGCAGATCAACGCAATTCAACGCGCCCCGGTCGGTCCGGTCGCCGCGCCCGCCGCCGCGCCCGCCGCCGCGCCGGCGCCGGCGCCGGTCAAGGTCTCGAAAGGCAAAGGCGAGCGCGGCCCGGACAAGCAGCCGCGGAAGCAAGGCAGCGGGTACGGGAGGGCCTTCAACTACAACAAGAAGCCCCTGAACGCGGGCGCGCCGTACACGAGCAGTTTGATCATGCCGAACGCCGTCGCCGGCGTCGTCGGCGCGATCGTCCCGGGGTACATCCAGACCACGGGTGGGTACGTCCCGGTGCAACGCGAGCCCGTGGGGGACGCGAGCGCGTACTACCCGAGGATGATGCCGCAGGGGGAGCTGAGCCGCGGGGCTGCGGAGGCGAGTTGAGACGCGAGAGACGCTGGCGGGGGGATAATACGGTTACGCCGGGCGGGGAAAAACGACGCAATCTCGACGAACGCTCAGAATAACATGTAGTCGCACCGCGGTCGACGACGCGCGTAATATCGCGTCGCGATCGATGGATAGCGCGAATAACTAATCTGTAACAACGATACGCATCACAAACGAACGCGACGTCTCGAGGTTCGATCGAAGGGCTCTGTTTATTTCAACGCGTGCAAAACGGTCAAAACGCGCTCACGGCAACCCCGCCGCCGCGCTCGCTCTCGCCGCCCTCGCCCGCCGTCCATCGACGCTCCACGCCGCCGCGCTCGCCGCCGCCGCGATCGCACGCGCGGTCTGTTCCGCGACGGCCGCGGCCACCTTCTCTTCCGCGCTCAGCGCCGCGGCTTCGGTCTCGCTGAACCCGCACACTTTCCCCGCGGCGCCCATGCGCAGCGCCGCGATGGACTCGAGCTTCGCGAGCCACCCGGTGAGCCTCTCGGACTCGACTTCCAGCGCGCTCTCCATCTGCTGCAGCAATCGCGCGGCCGCGGCCGCGGCGATCGCCTCCGCCGACGCCGCGGCAGCCTTCACGCCCGCGGTGTTCGCGCCCGGCTTGGGCTTCTTCTCGCACGCGATTCGCGCGTCGCGTAACCCGCGTTGGACGCGTTGACGGCTCCTTCGCAGCGCCCCTAAGCGGCCGTGCGTGTCCGCGGCGAGGGCTTCGACCCACGCCCCAGAGTGCGTGTTCCTCGCCGCCGCGTCCAGAGCGGCCGCGCCTTCCTTTCGCGCGGCCCGGCCCGCGACGTCGGCTTCGCAGGATTCGTCCTCGTCCTCTTCCTCTTCGACGTCGTCGTCGTTCTTGCCGTCTTTATCCTCGTTCTCGTCGTCGTCGTCGATCTTCTCGTCCTTCTTCCCCGCGGCGTTCTCCCCCGCGGCGAGCGCCGCGGCGGCGTCTAATTCTCGTTGTTTCGCGCGCTCTTCCTTCCAGTTCGGGTGATGCGCGCGCTTGTGCGCGCACAGCGACGACGCGCTGCCGTACGCGCGCGAACACCCGCCGATGCCGCACACGAAGGTCTTCTGGTCCGAGGATAGGAAACGCCGCGGTTTGCGCTTCTTCGCGGGGGGGAGGAGTACGGAGAAGAGATCCGCGACCCCGGGCGCGGGCGCTTTCTTCTTCGCGCCGACCGCCGCGGCGTGCGGTGGGATCATCGCGTCGACGACCGCGGTGGCTTTTCGTTTGTTGAAATTTTCAACAACCGCGGCGACGGCGGCTGCTCTGGCGGCGTCGACGGCGGCGGCGGCGGCGGCAGACATCGACCCGACGCCGACGTCGTCGACGCCCTTCGTCTCCTCCCCCGGGTTCGGCGTCGCCGCGGCGGCGAAGCGATTATACAGCTGCTCCCTCTCCGCGGTGGCGCCCTCGACGTTCCCGAGGTATGCGTCCGAGGACTCCGCGGCGCCGACGACGGACGCGAGCGCGTCCGCGGCCATCGCCGCGCCCGGGGACGCCGCGTCCAAAGACCCGGCGTCCCCCGGGGTCTTCGTCGCCGACGGCGACGCGTCCACGGGATCGTTCGCGTTCGCGGCACCGCCCACGTCGTCGCGAAGGTGCGTCCCCGGCGTCGCCTGGGACGCGATGTGCGCCGCCGCGGAGGAGTGCTCCGACGGCGCGGGGGCGCCGCGGATAACGTCGGCGTTCCTTCCCCCGGCCGCCGCCGCCGCGTTTTCCGTCTCGTTCGCCGCCGGCGTGTTCGCGGCGACGTTCATCCCCGCGGGCGGCGCCGTGAGCGGCGTCGCGATGTCGCGCTTGGATTCGTTCGTCGTCTGCTGCGGCGTCGCGTTCGAGATCGAATGCCTCGCCGCGCGCACGGACGGCGTCCCTCGCGCGGCGGCGGCGGCGGTCTTCACCGGCGGCGGCTTCATGTTTTGCGCATCCTTCAGTCCGTCCGCGTTCGATGGCTTCGCCGCCGCGGTCTTCGCGCCTTTTCGTGGGGCGCTCGAGAGCTGGGAGAGACCCGTGGCCAGTATCACCTGCGTTGGCGGGGAGAAAATGGATTCAGAGGCGGCGTCGGGAGCGAGGACGCGCGCGGGGTATCGCGTTCGTTTTCAAGTTGCTTAGAGGCCGTTGCAACACGCTCCGCGGCTTTGAACGCACCTCATCGTTCGTCAGCGTGTTCAGCGCGCTCCGTCCTTTCGCGGCTGCGGAGAAGAGGAGAGGATGTCAGAGGTGGTTAAGGTTCGTGCGCTGGAGGTTTAGGCGAGGGAAGCGAGGGTATCGCGAGCCGCGGGTGCGACGACGCGAGCGTCCGCGCGAGATTTGATTTTCGTCGTTGTTTCGCCGTCTTCAGTCGCACCTTCGCGAGCTGAAGCGCGGCCCGCCCCCGGGGTGGGGACGTCCTCCATCGCGCGAGGACGAAGGATGTTCGCACGATACGACCGCTCACGTCGAGAATTTCCGAGGAACTCGAGTTCTCGTTCGACGTGCGATGCGCGACGAGCGCGGACGCGTGTGACGGGTGCGCGCGATTGACGAAGAAGACTGTGGACGCAGCGGTTGTCGTCGTCAACTCCAATTTCAAAGCTGCGGATGTGGATTTCAAAGCTCGTGGGTTGAAGAGGTAGATTGATCGGTAATTGAACCTCGTTTGATCGATTTGTTTGACCCTGGTCGCTCCGGTGAAGCAATCGGTCAGTCGCGGCCTCGGATGCGCCGTCGGCCTCAGCGCCGCGCACCTCACGACAGTTTTGCACCCGAGATTCTTCCCGGGACCGGACACAACCGACGCGAGCGCGCGCCGCGGGCATGCCGCTCGGGAGCGGCGCCCCGTGGGGCGGCGAGCCGATCGACGCCTCGCCCGAGCGAGGAGGGACGGACTCCGGGGACGCTTCCTCGTCCAGGGCGAGGGGCGACGGGACGAATCCTCCGCCCTCTTCGGAAGAACCCAACGCGCGGCAGCGCGACGGCGACGCCGCGGTCGTCGTCCTCGCGGTGGACGCGAAGCGATGGAAAGACGCGCTGCGCGCGCGCGGGTGGTTAGACCGTGGCAGGCGCGCGACGTCGTTTCCCGCGGACGACGGCGCGGGGCGGCCCGCCGCGGTGGCGTTCCCGGTCGGCGCGGAGGGCGCGTGCGCGATGTCGAAAGAGCTCGCGGACGGCGACGACGACGGCGTCCTCGCGCTGTGTAGGCTGCGCCTGCCCGCGGCGGCGCCGCCGGGGGACCAGCGCGCGAGCGAGAAGGTCGCGTCGGGCTCGGGCGCCGCCGCCGCCGCCGCCGTCGCCGCCGCGCCGAAGCCACCGCCGGCGATGCCGATCGACGCGCCCGTGCTGTGGCCGCCGCCGCCGCCGCCGCCGCCGCCGAGCGGGGGCGCGGTCCGACGCGTGAGATGCCCGTCGACGCCCGCGGCGTTCGCGGAGATCATCGCGTCGATGGAACCGGTCGTCTTCACGGACGTCCCCATGGGCACCGCGACGGAGGAGTGGACGGTCGACGCGCTGATGAAGTCCGCGGAGTCGGAGCGAATCGTCGACGTCCACGTGTGCCCGCCGCGCGACCGCGACGGAGACGGCGAGGGAACGACGGACGACGCGGAGCACGAGGACGTCGTCGTCGTCGACCTCGCCGGGCACCGCGCCCCAGGAACGCGACGGAACTTCCAGTTTCGAAAGATGAGGTTCGCGGAGCTCGTGGAGAGAGCAGCCGGGGTCGCGTCGTCGTCGCCGCCCGTGATCGCGCCCGGCGAGAAGTACTACCTGCGGTCCGTCGCGACGACCGCGCCGACGAAGACCGCGGCGCACTTCCCGGAGGCGTACCCTTCGCTCGCGGCGTCGATGCGACCGGGCGTCGTCCTCCCCGACGGCACCGGGGACGGACCGATATGGCCGAAGGGGCGATATCACAGCAGCGTGTTGCGCGTGTCGTCCCCGGCGACGGCGCTGTGGACGCACTACGACACGCACGATAACCTCCTCGCGCAGGTCGTCGGGAGCAAGACGGTGACGCTGTGGCCCCCACACGCGGAGCCGTTCATGTACGTCGAGGGGAGCAGCAGTCGCGTGGACGTGGACGCGTTCGGACGAGACGCGGACGCGGCGGCGGCGGCGGCGGCGAGGTACCCAAAGTTCGCCACCGCCGCGGGGAGCCGCCGCGTCGCGCGCTTGGGCCCGGGAGAGGCGCTGTACATCCCCGCGCTGTGGTTTCACCACGTCTACGCGCACGCGAGTCGCACGTCCCCGCTGTCCGTCGCGGTGAACGTGTTCTGGCGGTGCGAGGGGACGCACGAGCTGCACGACGCCGGGGACGCGTACGGGAACAAAGACCCGCCGGCGGCGAGACGCGCGGGGGACCTCGCCGCGCTCGCGGGGGACGCGATCGACGCGTTGCCGGAGCCGCACCGGACGTTCTACGCGCGGCGGGCGGTGCAGAGGCTCGCGGCGCAGCTCGGGATGGAGTTAGGGGTGTAGTCTAGCTAGAGACGATGGGAGTGGAGAGAGAGACGATGGGAGTGCGCGCGATTATATCGGATACTATTCACACAAACCCATCCTCGCTCGGCCGCGCGTCCCGTCTGGTCGCGCGGGATCACGCGCGTGATTCACGCTCGTCGTATCGTACAGTACACTCGCCGACCTCGGCGTTCGACGTCTTTCCTTCCATCGTTCTCCATCTCGGTCAACTGTTAAAGTTCACGCCGAACCCGCCGCTCCGTCTCCCGCCGCGGCGGTACAAAAACTGCGCCGGGGACCCGCAGTACGCGTGAAACTCGCTCCCCGCGCGGCTCAGTCTTCGGCACGAGTCCTTCACGACGCGTTCGAACCCTTTGAGTTCCTCCGCGTGCGTCTCCCGGTACAAACGCATCGCGACGCACGCGATGAACGCCATCACGACCCTGGTCCACGCGCTGGCGAGGACGAACGCCGTCACGGCGACGCTCGCGGCGACGCCCCACCGCTTGTTGCTCTCCAGTTTCCTCCACCTCGCGCCCGCCGCCGCGTCGACGACGTCGAGCGCCTTCGCGAGCTTCGCGCGGTGCGTCTCGAACCCGATCGGGACGGTGAACGCGCCGACCCACAGCACGAGCGCCGTGACCCACGCGCTGTTGAGCAGCCCGCCGAGGAGTGACACGCCGTACGCGCCCGTGAACGCGACCAGCGTGGCTCTGTTGGACCTCCCGGATAGCGTCGTCTCGTTGGCGGCGGTCAACGCGTTGACGCACGACGCGCAAAACACCGCGAGCTCGACGACCGCGTCCGCGTCCACCTTCAGACCGTGCGTTCTGCGTGGGAACACGGACGCGAGGAGCCACGCCTTGGTGAGGTACGCCATCGCGACGTAGGAGCATATCACGACGGGGTTCACGCGTACCATGGACGCGAACGCGGTGGGCGCGCGAACCACCGCCAGCGCCGCGACGCCGACGCTCAACACCGTGAGCGTCCGCGCGACGTCGCGCCACATGAGCAGACGGCACAGGCCGCTCTCGCGGAACGCGATGGGGCCCGCGCGACCGCCGTACCGCTGCTGCGCGCGGTGCTGCGCTTCCATCTCCGCGTCGAGGGCGTCCGGGGAGACGCCGGCGTCGCGCGCGCGGCGAATGCGCGCGATGGTGAGCGCCCCCGGCGCGGGCTTGACCGTCGCGGGGAGGGTGTCGTCGTCCGAGCCGACGCCGGGGGAGTCCGCGGCAGGTTCGGGGGACTCCACCACGGGCGTGCGGGGGGAGGGTTCGGGCTGAGGCGCGGGCGCCGCGCGCGAGGCCGCGGCGGCGGACGCCGCCGCGGCTTTCTTCGCGCTCGCGGTCGCCTTCCTCTGCGCCTTCTTGTTCCCTTTCCGCGCGCGTCCGCGCGCGAGCGCGTCCTCCACGAGCCTGCTGCTGTTGCTGATGTTCCCGAACGCGGGTCGATCCGGGAACCATCGGCTCCCGCCCGGGGTGCGCGTCGCGCCCTTCGCGTCGCGGTGCAACTCGTCCAGGGTGATTGGCCTCTCCCGGCCGCCGCGAAGATTCGGCTGGGCGTTTTCGTCGCGCGTATCGCGCTCGCCGTGGAGGCCGTTCGCCGTCGCCGCGGCGTAGAACGCTCCTCCGGCGCCGTCGCCATCGAAACGACGAGGTGACGGGGTGATGTCGTAGTACATCGCGTCCCGTGAAGCGCGCGCGTGCGGGTGCCTCGGGAAGTGTCGCGAAACGCTCGACGCGTTTATTTTCGCAGTTCCCCTTGGATGACTCGAACAGTGCAGTTTACTGATGTCAACAACTCGAACCCCGCCCGGCTCCCGGGGCAGATCTGACGGCGCCGGGACGCGCTGACCCCGGGACCGCGCGCGCGTCCACCCGAATCCCCCCCCGCGCGCGAGCCATGGCCGCGACGCCGGTCGGAAAGGCCGTCGAGGACGTCCTCGCGGTCGTCACGCGCGCGGAGGCGATCTTAGCATCCGGGCCGCCCTCGGAGGACGCGCTCGTGGACGAGATCGACGCGCTCGTGAAGGCGCTGCCGAGGCTGAGAGAAGCCGCGAAGGAGACGACGGCGAAGGACGACGTCAGCGCGACGTTCCCGATCGGGGTGCTGCAGCACGTGGACGAGGGGAAGGACCCGGTGCGGTTCGTCGTGGACGGGCTCCTCGCGGTCGGGGAAGCGAACGACGCGTGCAAGGGCAAGGTGAACGTCTTCGACGCGTTTCACAGAGCCCTGGAGGAGGAGATGTCGAAGCCGAGGACGCCGCCGGGCGGCGAGGACGCGAGCGCGAAGGAGGAGGAGCCCGCGCCGTCGCCGAAGCGAGCGAAGCGGTCGCCGAAGAAGAAGTAGGCGGTCGATCGGTCGACCGCGATAGATAGCTACGATAGCAGAAGACGTGATTTATTTAGGGTACGACTAGCGTAGCGGCTCGGCGGACGTAGCCGTCGAGCGCCGACGAACGCGCACGATACCGAGGCGTCGTTCGTGTTGTACCGCACGACGTGTTCGTCAATCGATCATCACATCAGAACCCGCGAAGGCGGCTAGATCCACCCCGGGGTCCCGCGCGCTCCGCGCTCGCTCGCGCCGCGGCTTCTTCGGGCTCAGCAGCACGCGCTCTTCGTCTGCGCGCCGCGGCGGGAGTCGAGGACCACCCCGGGCGCGGGCGTCGACGGCGCCGCCGTCCGCGGCAGTTTCCTCGCGATCTCGTAGAAGAGATCGTTCACGTTAGCCGCCGTCTTCGCGGACGTTTCCATGAAGAACAGCCCGTTCTCCTCCGCGTACGCCTCCGCCTCGGACGCCTCCACCTCTCGCTTCTCCGCGGACAGATCCGCTTTGTTCCCCGCCAACGCCATGACTAACGACGCGTTGCCTTGCCTCTGCAGCTCCTTCACCCAGCTCTTCGCGCGCGCGAACGAGGACTGCGACGAGATGTCGTACACGATGATCGCCGCCGCGGCGCCGCGGTAGTACATCGGCGCGAGGGAGTGGTACCGTTCCTGCCCGGCGGTGTCCCAGATCTCGAACTTGACCGTCGCGTCGTTCACCGCGACGCACTGCGTCAAGAACGCCGCGCCGATCGTGCTCTCTTGGTAGTCGAAGAACTGCCCTTTCACGAACCGAAGGACGAGGGACGATTTCCCCGCGCCCATGTCGCCGAGGAGCACCTGGAGGGAGCGAGCGGCGGGGGACGCGTCGTCGGAAGGGGCGTCGTGGAGGGAAAAAAAAGGCCAGACTGGCGAGGCGCCCGCGGGCGGGGGGGATCCGCGCGCGACGACGGCGAAGGGCGGGGGCGAGACGCACCAGCTTCGCCTGCATGACGGACATGTTCTTCTACGCGCCCCGAGCGAGTTTACGTCGAACTCGCGTGCGGTGAAGAGTGAGATCCGGAGGGCTGACGTCGTTGTTTGCCACCATTTCGAACTTGCAGTTGTTCGGACACGGCCGAGACTGGAAGAATTTCACCCGCGGCGACTGGCGAGCGAGGACAGAGCAGAGGGGCCAGACGACGCCGCGCGTCCGTCGGCGACCCCCCACCCCGCGTTAGGGATGGGGACGAAGATGGACGCGCGCGTGCCCGCGTCGCCGCCCAGCGTCGTGGACGACCTGACCCGGGCGGCGACGCGCGCGGCGACGAGCGCGTTGGCGAAATTCGTCGCTGTGGCGATGGTGCTCGCCGCGCTGTTGACGCGCACGAGCGACAGCGCGCTGAGGAACCTGCCGCTCGCGCTCGTCGTCGTGTGGGCGACGCGGTGCCTCGCGGATCGAAGAGTCGCGCGCGTGGAGACCGCGCGAGCGAGGAAGGCGGCGACCGAGGATGGGGGTGGGGAGCGGCGCGTCGGCGGCGACGGAATCGCCGACGGAGGAGGCACCGTGGACGCGACGAGGGCCGCCGCGGCGGTGGCGGCGGCGAAGGCGAAGGCGGTGGAGCGCCGCGCCCGGGGTGACGACGGCGCGGACGCGCGAGGACGACGCCCGGACCCGGTGATGGAGCTGAAGGAGCTTCTGAGGAGCGTGGAGAGGGATGGGAACGTCGCCTCGGCGTCTGACGCCGCCGACGCCGCGACCGCGTCGACGTCGTCCACCGGCGGGGTGCTCCGCGCGTGGGAGAGTCTTCGAGAGCACGTCGTCGACGAGTTCGTCTCGAGGCTTTGGTACAGGAACCTGACGCGCGACGTGGAGTTCGTCGCGGGCGCGCGTCGGCTGTTGGACGTCGCGTTCGCTCGGCTGGCGCACCGGACGCGAAACGCGGATCTCGCGTCGTTGCTGCTGAGGAAGCTCCCGGAGATATTAACCGAGCAGCTGGAGGCTTTTCGCGCCGCGCGAGCCGCGTGCGGGGGCGTGGACGCGTTCGCGAGACGGACGCCGACGGAGAGCGACGACGCGCTCGCGAACGAGCTGCGAAAAGTCGGCCGCTTACATCCCGGCGTGGACGGCGCTCGAAAAGGCGACGACGGCGTGTGGACCGGCGCGAACGGCGGCGGCGCGAGCGCGGACCCCGCGATGGTTTTCCTGCGACGAAAGTCCGATCTCGCCGCGCGGGCGATGTTGTCCGAGGAGGACGGCGGGAATCACCTCTTGTTCCCGCTCACGCGCGAGCTGCTCGCGGTGTCCGTGTTCCGGCCCGTTCTAGGGTTCGCGTCGCCGTCCTGGGTGCACCGAGGGTTGAACGCGCTCCTCGCGCGGGAGAAGGAAGCGGCGCGGGAAAAGACGCCGACAGAGAGCGTCACGTCGCCGGGTCACCGACGCGCGGGCTCCGAGAACATCCTCGCGTCGTCGCCCAAAAAGAGCGCGTCCGTCGGCGACCTATCCGCGCTCGCGACGGACGTCAGCGAAGAGGAGGACGACGACGGCGAAGCGTACGAGCTCGCGAGGATGATCGGCGACGACGAGCCGGAGCGGCAGAGGGCACCGAGGGCGATCTCTGCCAGCACGGGAGACGCGGCGACGAGCGGCGGCAGCGACGACGACCGCGACGGCGGCGACGACCGCGGCGGCGGCGGCGGCGGCCAAACCCTGCGCGCGGAGGTATCCGAGGTGAACATCGTCGGCAAAGGCGGCTCCGCGTACGCGGTGTACACGATCCGCGTCCGCAGGGTCGGCGAGCACGGAGAGGACTGGGCCGTCGCTCGACGGTTTCGGAACTTCGAGGCGCTGCACAAGCGTCTGACCGAGTCGAGAGCGGCGCGGGACGTCGCGCTGCCGCAGCTCCCGAAGAAGCGCTACTTGCTGCACTCGCTGGACGGCTCGTTCGTGGAAGGTCGACGACGACTGTTGGACGCGTACCTCGCGTCCATACTCTCGAACGATATCCTGTGCGTCTCCGAGGAAGTCGGCGAGTTTCTCAGCGCGAACAACGTCAAGTACGGCAAGAAGAAGAAGAACGCCGTCGCCGCGATGGCCAAGTCGCTGACGCAGTCCGTGGAGGATGTCTTCAAGAGCGGGAAAGAGAAGGACAAAGACGCGCGGGGGGTATCGAACGCGGGCATCGACGACGTCGCGAACGGCGCGAGCGCCAAGGGGCACCGCCGCGGCGTCTCCGTCGGCGCGCTGTCGCTGCGCGGGGACGACCTAGGCGTCTACGACGGCGGAGGGGAGCTGTCGAGATCCTCGAACCCAGTCCTCGAACGCGCGCAGTCCGCGATTGACGAGAAGGACGAGGTCGCGCCCGCGGGCGGGCGGCGCGGTCGAGAGGACGCTCGAGAGGACGCCGGCGTCATCGACGCCGCGTCTGGGGTGCTCATGGACGGCCCTTTGTTCGGTTTGTTCGAGGCGCTGTTCCATCTGCAGTCGAAAGGATTCGTTCGTCGAACGATCGTGACGGTCGCGAGGCAGACGTTGGATTTCTTCGTCGGCTCCGCGGTCGAGGACTGGGTCTCGAAGACGCTGAAGGATATCCGGACGCCGCGAACCGCGGCGAACGTCGTGAGCTTCGTGGATAAGTCCATGTGGCCGAACGGGGCGTGGTACAATCAGACGAAACCTGAGGACGTGCCCGCGCTGATGCGTGAGATCGCGGCGGCGGACGAGATCACGAGGGCGGAGGTCAGAGAAGCGCTTCTGAACCTCGGCGACCGAGGCGGGCCGTTACTCGGCGTGTTGGGCGCGCGTAATTACACCCGCGCGGCGCTGGACTTTCTCGCCGCCGCGAGGAGCGATCTCATGACGCGACAGATTGGCTTACACGTCGTCGAGGCCGTGCTCGACGAGCTGTTCCCCGAGGGACGCGATGACGATGTCGAGGACGCGGCAACGCGTGCAGATTCGACGATAGGGGAGGTAGAGGCGGCGGCGGACGACGACGACCCGGCCGCGGGCGTCGAAGCCGCGGCGTTAGAGCTCTACGCGACGACGGCGTTGCAGTACGAGCGTTGACGATACGACGTGTTATCATCATTAGTTATGACGATCTTTACGAGACGTCTTTCACGACGTGAACGAACCACCAACAGCTTGAAAACTTTTTCGTTATTCTTCACAAAAATATTTCTTTTCCACATCTTCTTACACACGCGAGATCGCGTTTGATCGCTCACGCGCTCCTGACGCGCAGCGCGTCGTTTTTGTAATCCACCGGGATCGTGTCTTCCGCGGCGTTCAACAAGAGCCAGTCCAGCGCGTCCACCTGCCGCTTCTTGTTGAACCCCGCCTGGCCTTCGCCCTCCTCCGGCTCCACCTCCGTCTCCGAGAGCGCCTTGTCCACCTCGCTCTCCGCGAACCCCCACTTCACGAGCGTCGTCTTCGCCTTCTTCGTCGCCTTGGACGCGCTCGCGGTCTCCTCCTTCGCCTTTGCCTTCTCCTTCGGCTTCTCCTTCGGCTTCTCCTTCTGCGTGTAGACGACCGTCGCGACGGGCGCGTCCGCGGGGACGGCGTCGCCGAACGTCAGGTCGGACTCGTCCACGGACGTCAACAGATCCGCGTTGAACATCGTCTTGTTCGCCCCACTCCACGCGCTGTTCGCGGGGACGAAGTCGCCGTCGTCCGAGTCGAGGCTCGAGCCGATGTCCAGCGAGCTCCCGATCGCGCCCGCGTCGGGCTTGCGTTTCTGTTTGCTGTTGATGACCGCTCGCACGTTGGCCGCGATCGCGGGGACGTCGTTCTCGTCCCTGCTCTTGGACTTCTTCTGTCGCTTCGCCGCGCCTTTCTTCTTCCCGCCGGTATCGCTCGAGCCGCCGCCGGATTTGGTCGGGGCGTACGACGCGTACCCCCCCGCGCCCGCGTCGTCGTACTCGTCGTACGAGTCGAACGAGCTCAAGTCGCCGTAGTACGCGTAATCGTCCTCGTAGCTGCCGCTGCCCTTCTTCTTCGCGGCGACGACGACGAGCGCGCCGCGCGTTTCAGCGCCGCGCGATCCGACGGGGGACGTCGAGATCGATTGCCTCGCGCGCGACGCGCATCGAGACGCGCGCGCGCTGGACGCGACGCGCGCGGAGGCGAAAGTCGTATTGGATAGGCCCCCGATCGCACCGAACGCCGCGGCGGTCATCGCGTTCGCGCGCGCGTCCCCTCGCGCGATCGATGCGCGAGACGCGGTGCTTGCTTTCGCGTGAAGTTCGACGTACGACCACGCTCGAGCGTGCGGGATTGTTTCCCGAAGGCCGTCGACGGCGTCCGCGCGCGGTTCGTCCTGTCTCACGCGCTTCCGCACGTTTTCCCACACGAAAAAGAGAAGCAGCCGGGAAACTTACAACCAAAACTTGCAACAGATAACAGTGCTACTTTCCCTGAAGGTGCCAGCCGGCGGCTTGTGATTGGCTGGTGAAACAATCGAGCGCTGTCACCCATGAGATGGCTAAGATAAATAGAAAGATACAGCAACGAGTGCTTGTGCAGGGGAGAGATTTCCCGCGGACGCGCACTTCTCACTCCGCGCCTCCTCACGCGACACAGTCTCCGACGATGAAGAGCGTCTGTGAAGTATGCACCACCGCCCCCGCGACGCTCATGTGCGTCGCGGACGACGCGGTTATGTGCGGCATGTGCGATAAGAGGTGCGTCTTTCCCGGGTTCAAATGTCGCTTCGAGGACGTTCGCGCCTTTCCTCCGAAAGCGCGTCCGCATGAACTGTGCACCCTCGCGGTGCATTTTCCTCCTCGCGATACGCCGTCGGGCCGTCGACGGCGCGACGCGACGGGTATTCCGCGCGACAAGTCGAACGTAAAATCCCGCGGAACAAAAAGAAAAAAAAACAAGATCCGTCGCTCACGCTCGCGTCTTCTCTCTCTCCCTATCCGCCGCAGGTGAACCCGGTGTACACGATCTGCCACGAAGACCGCGCGTTCTTATGCCGCGGCTGCGACGTGTCCCTGCACAGCGCGAACGAGGCGGTGAAGAAGCACCGCCGATTCTTGTACACCGGCGTCACCGTCGCGCTCGCGCCGCTCGGAGAGAAGGAGACCGCGACGCCGAGGGAGGCGACGGACATCGTCAAGGAGGTGCCCCCGATGGCGGCGCCGATCCGCCCGACGGTGACGCAGCCGCAGCCGCAGAAGAAGCGCAAGGCTGTGGACATCGAGGACGACTTCGCGGTGCCGACGATGTCCCCGGACAACAGCGCGGGGCACGGCGGCGTGCAGTGGCAGAGCGACGAGGAGTTCAACTCGTTCGTGCAGGACTTCGTCGGGAAGGGGGAGAAGAACCCGGACGTGAACTTCGACGGGTTTTTGGATAACTTCTTCGACGACGTTCCGCTCTCGGACGACTTCGGGGTCGTGCCTACGATGTGAGTCGCCCAGCGGCTCGGGGTAATTTTTTGAAAGGGATAATAGGTAGAAGCACGCGGGGGGGGAACAAATGTACCAAGGACGAACAAAAAAAAGTAAGACGGCGAAAGAGGCGTCGAGTGAAGAAACGACCATCGCGCGATGGACTGAGTCACGACTGTATGAAAAAATCTTACCCGGCGCGCGCCGGGGAAGCGCGAAGTTAATTAGGTTCTGTGTTATACAAACCACAGCATTCTTTTTACCACGAAGCACGAGCGCGGAGGAGTCTCGACTCGTCGCCACAATCGATTTACCCGCGACGGTACGAGTTCCCGCCGGCGTCCCCGCGTCGTTGCGCGTAATATTTGTTCGTCCCGATCCTCTCCTCGAGCCCTCCGGCGTCGAGCCCGGCCCCAAAAGCGCTCTTCTGCGCTTTCGCTAAGAACGCGGGCGCGTCGCTGTGATGCCTTCCCCCCTGAGCGCCGACCGATTGCTCGACGAGGCTTTTCTCCTCCGAGGCTGCTTCCGCCTCCGCGCTCTTCTTCAGCCGCGCCCATCGCTGTTCATCGTGCGCGTCCGCGTCGTTCATCATCGCCTTGAGGCGAGCCTCCTTCTCCTCTTGCGTGAGCCTACCAGTCTTGTGCCCGACGTTGTTCCGCCCGCCGGTCCGCGCCCACTTCTCTTCTTTCGCTTTCCTCGCCTCCTCCTCCTTCGCCTCTCTTTCGTCCTTCGTGCTCTCTCTCCACTCGTTCCTTCGCTCGACGCGCACCGCGGCGGCGTCCTTCGCGCGGTCGTTCGCGTACGTGAGGCCGTATCCTTTCGACCCGTCCTGCGCGCTCGCGTGGTCGTGATGCACCCTGTCGTTCGGTCGCGCCGCCGCAGCCGCGTCCCGTCCTCCGCCTCCGCCGCGGCCGCGGCTGCGGCTGCGGCTGCGGCTGCGGCTGCGGCTGCGCTTCCTCCCGCGCGCTTCCTCGCCGTTCCGTCCACCGCGTCTGTCGTCTCTCTCCCGCGACCGCGACCGCGACCGTCCTCTTCGCTCCTTCCTCTTGGGGCTCCTCGACGGCGACGACGACGACGACGACGCGCTCCCGTCGCGCCTTCCGTCGCCTCGTCCTCTCCCTCCACCCTCGCTCCTCCCTCTTTTGGACGCGGCCGCGTACGCGTCGTCCCCTAGTACTTTCCTCCTCACTTCCTCTCTGATCTCGCGCTTCCTGGCCTCTTTCTTTTCCCGTTTCTTCTCCTTCTTCGCTTCTTTCTTCGCGCGTTTTTTCTCCCTCGCCGCGGCTACTTCGTTTCTGATCGCGGCCATCCGAACCGGGTTCTCCGTGACGTACTTTCGCGCCTCCTGCTCTTGCATCCGCATCATAAGGAGCGGGTCGCTGTTCAGCTTGTTCCACGTCTCGTTCTTCCCCCCGCCCCGATCCGCGAGCAGCGCGCCGGTGCTGTCCTTGACCTTGTCCCATTCGGTCTCTGTATCCTTAGGGGGTACCCATTTCTTCTCCCCGCTAAAGTACGCGTTCATGTCCTCCGCCGCCTGCATCGGGCCGCCCTTGTACATGAACTCCAAGCGCTCGACCTTGTCGATGTGCCCCGCCTCCGCGGCTTGCATCTGAAGCTCCTGTAGTTTCCGCTCCTCCGCGATCTCTTTCTTCATCTCCTCCATGCGCTTCTCCTCGTGCTCCTTCATCTGCTCGCGCTTCCACACCTCCGCTTGCATCGGTATGCCTCCGGTGTGCCATGACTTCTTGTTCAGGAACGCTGTGGACGGAACCAAGGTGGGACTGGTGGGTTAGCGCACGAGACGAGGGAGCGGGGACGGCGAGCGCGATGAGGAAGGCGTCGACGAGATCCGCCGCCGAGAGATCGCGTCGTGGCGGGACGTACCGAGAGGGCCGCCTCCGCCCATGTCGAGAGTCTCGCTGAACGACCGCCGCCCTGTTCGGGGATCTTCGCGCGAGTTGTCGCGATTCGGCGCGCGACTTCGACGTGCGACGGCGTGCGCGCGCGCGAGTGGAGTGAGCGAGGCCGACGGTCGGGCGCGCGCAATTATCGCTCCGCTGATTCTACTTGTCAAACCATGAATTGAGAATATCGCGCGCTGTGCCTCATCAGTCCTCGGCGCACAGACGACGACGAGTACCCACCGGACGAACTCGCGATGGCGGAGCGGCGCTCCAGTCGCAGACGCGCGCCCGAGCCGGAGTCCGGGACGGACAGCCACAACGACAGCTACGACGCGGACAGCCTCGAGTCGGACCCGCGCGAGCGAGGAAAAGGAAGAGGGCCCGAGGGGTTGTCGCGCCTGCGCACGTCCGCCCCGAGCACGTCGCGCAGGGAAAACGTCCGCGTCTGGCCGCTGTGCTTCGCGATCGCGATCGAGAAGACCGTGCGCGTCAGACCCGCGGTGATGGTCGCGAGCAGCAGCCTTCTCGCTTGGGTGACGTACTACCTGCAAGAGAGCGACCTCGAGCTGACGCTCCGGGCGTGGATCTCGTCCCCGCTCGTCGTCTTCATCCTCGTCGAGTGCTTGTTCCTCCTCTGCGCGTTCTTCGTGTTGATGCCGCACACGATGCGCCAGGCGTACAAGGACGACAAGCGGACCGCGTTCAAGGTGGCGGACAGCGCGGTGTTGAGCGCGCTCCCGCCCTCCGTCGCTCGGTTCGCCGTCGGCAGCGGCGTGGCGTGGAAACGTGCCGCGCTCGCGGTGGCGCGCGACGGCGCGCTGTTCTTCACGCTGTACCTCCTCTGCGTGGAGGCGCTCGTGGGCGGCGAGGACGAGGTGGCGTACATTCCCGGGATGAAGAACGGCAGAACGAGAACGACGGGAGGGGAGAAGGACGGCTGGCGCGAGATGGACGGCGGGTACTCGGTGCACTCGTGGGTGAAGTCGTCGGACGCGGACGGGGACTAGACGACGCCGACCGCGCGTGAGGTTCAATAACTTAGCTGCAGTAGTCACCTCAAATCCGATCGAGAGCTCGACCCGATGCGATATCGATATCGTCGTCGGGTCGGGTCCTCCTCGCCCGCGAGGTAGTTTTGTTCGTGGGCACTTTTTAACTTTCCGTTGATGCATCGTTTTCGCCGACGACGTCAGATCCTCGACGCGCGGCCACACGCGGACGAGAGAGCGCGAGGGGACACGACGCCTCCTCGAACGATGCGTCATCACTCGGCGCGCGCGCCTTCACACTGAGTCAGGCCGGCAGCGTATCGAGCGAGAACGTCATGGAACAGACGGATGAAGAGTGGGCAGAAGACAACAGGCGCGCGCGTAATCTGCGAAGCGGTGTGTCGTCGCGGACGCTCTTCGTCCAAGAGAGCATCGGCGCGGGGCGGCCCGTGGACGAGGTGCCGTGGGGCGGCGAGTTCACCGACGATGACGCGCCGCCGCCTCCGTACGAAACCAACTCGGAGCCGTTCACGTGGGGCCCCGTCGCGACGAACGACGCGAACGTCGCTTCGATGGACGTTCGACGACGCCACGAGCAGGCGGACTACGCCGAGCTGGAACAGTTCGGCGGCTCGGACGAGGAGGAAGAATACGAACTGATTCAACACGAGCGCGCGTTAGCCGCGGAGCGCGCGGCGAGGGAAGCCGAGGCCGCGAGCGCGGCGTGGGAGCGCGAAGCCGCGCTCCTCTCCGCGAACGCCCCCGAGCGCACGTTGCAGGAAGCGAGAGCGATCCTCGCGGAGAAGCTGTACGAGGACGATAACCTTCTGAAGCCGGAGACGGGGTCGGACTGGGCGAGAAAACAGGCTGAGATAGACGCGCAGTTTAAATCGCACATCGGGGTCGTGCCCGAGGACGCGCCCATCCTGTCCGCGTGGGACGGTGAACCGCTTCGCCCGACGGAGGCGGATGTGAATAAACAACGCATCTACGAAAAGTTGCACCGGCCGCAGTTTCGGAAGAGGAACGGCGCGGGCGCGTACGGGGACCCTGACGCGGACCTGGACTTAGTCCTGGACGTGGATAAAGATAAGGTGAAGTCCGCGTTGAAGAAGGGAGCGGCCGCGACGTTCACGGGCGCGAAGGTTGAAGAGACGGAGAAGATGAACCTGAAATCTGTGCAGGCGGCGGCGAAGTTTAAGAAGTTCGGGCTCGTGGCAAAGCAGAAGAGCGCGGAGACCGCGGACGCTCCGAAGAGCCCGGGTAATTTAGCAGCGAGCACGGGGGGATACCTAAACATGTTGCTCGGAGACGACCGCGTCGAGGCCGCGAATTTCGCGGTCGCGGGCGGGGAGCGAGAAGAGGCGGAGGTGGACCAAAAGAGACTCGAGGCGGCGCCGTCGCATCTCCACCGGTTCATGCGACCGCAAGTCCTGGAGTTACCCGACGGTTCGCAGGTCGTGAAAATAGCGGGAGGAAAAGAACACGCGATGGTGCTCCTCAAGACGAGCGCAAACCTCGAGCGCATATTACCCAAACACGTGGAGAACGAGGGCAGGGTGCTGGTGATGGGCGCGGGCGAGCACGGCCAGCTCGGTCTGGGCGACACGAAATTGCAGACCATCCCCATGGTGCTGTACACGCTCACGGATTACAACGGCGAGGGAGGCGGGCGCGTGCGCATCGGTGGAAATCGACTCGCGGGTACCGGCTCCGGACCGCGGCGCACGGTTGACGTCGCCGCCGGGGTGAAGCACAGCGTCGTCGTCACGGAACAAAACGAAGTCGCCGCTTTCGGGACGGACGAGAGCGGAAGCACCGGCCAGGGCGACGGCGGCGAGGGGAAGATGCACAGGGTACCGCGGTGGATGTACTGGATATCAAACGAGACCACGCGGATATTATCCTGCGCCGCGGGAGAGGCGCACACCGTGCTCCTGTCCGCGGGAGGTACCGCGCTCACCGTCGGCCGCGGCGACGTCGGTCAGCTCGGGCAGGGCGCGACGAGGAAGTGCCTCACCCCGCGACGCATCGAAGCGCTGTCCGGGATGAAGATCGTATTCATCGCGGCCGGGTACGAGCACTCACTGTTCATCACCGACGCCGGAATGCTGTACGGCTGCGGCTCGAACGAACACGGTCAACTCGGGACGGGGAACACGATCAATCAGCGAACGCCGTCGCGGCTGAAACACGCGGACTTTCCCAGCGGGGACGAGGTCGTGCCGGAGGATTTAGAGCCGGAACGGAAAGTCATAGAGCTGCAGGATAAACTGCTAGGGAATTTGAAGGGCGACCGCGCGCGTTTTATACACGAATCCGAGGAGAACAGAGTATTCGCGCAGCCGACGGCGCAACAGCTGGAAGCGGCGTTGAGGGCGCGGGAAGAGAAACTCGGGAATCAACGCACGCTGACGGATAAAGAACTTCGGAAGAAGATGGGCGTCGCCGCGCTCGAGAAGAAGACGAGCAAGGTCACGGAAGTCTGCGGCGGACGCTCGCACACGGTGATTCTCACCGCCGCGGGCAAGGTATACACGTGTGGGCGGTCGAACAGGGGACAAACCGGTCAGGGAGATGACCAGACGCGGCTCATCGTGACCGCGATTCCTTCCATGATCAATCTCTCGTGTGTGCAGATAGCGGCCGGGGACGAGCATACCGTGATGCTCACTACGCTCGGACACGTCTACGTGTGCGGCAAAAACGACACCGGCCAGTTAGGCGACGGTACTTTGGACGACAGCTTCATCCCGAAGACGTTGCAGCCGATCATCACGCCCGAGGATAAAAAAACAAAGTCCCAGTACATGCTGAAGGAGATGCGGAGGCACCCGATGTTCGACGTCATCGTGGAGCAAGTGTACGCCGCGAGCGCGTCCACTTTCGCGGTGGAGACTGGCGGGGAGAAAGTGTACGTGTGCGGGAGCGGGGCGTACGGGCACCCGTTCGAGCGCCACCCCACGGATTTTTCCGCGCTTCTGAAACTCAAGTTGGACGCCCGCGAATCGAAAAAAATGCTCGTCTTGGCGTCCACGGTGCGAATGCTCCGCCCGGACGAGCAAAGCTTCATTGATTTAAACAGACAGATGATGCTGTACGCCCGGTACAACGATAAAATCCTCGGGCACCTCGTGAGCGTCATGATCGAAGAGGTGATTCGTAAACCGAGGTTTATCGTGCTCTACGCGTCGCTGCTCCAAAAGTGCCGGAACACGTGCTTGGACTGCAGCGTCTTTGCATTCCGCAGAATCATATTACTGGGCATCGAGAACATGGGCGTGAAGATGTTACAGGCGCAGGACGAGACGATGCAGAAGAGAATGTTACAGAAGATGGGGTGGGCGAAGTATCAGCAGATGCAGAGAGACGGCAGCGCGAAAGCAACGGCGTCGTATTTTGGGAACATCACGGACAAGGCGAGCTACGCGGACTTTAAACGATTCCGAGACGACTGCAAGTCCTTACAGACGTTCGTGAAGGAGTTGTACGACGTTCAAAAGGTACTCATAGAAGACGACATACGCGACCTCGCCGCGGGGCTGCCGGGGAGCACGCACAGCATCGGCATCTTGGACAGCGAGCTCGCGGCGCAGAAGATGATTTTTTTCAAAAGTCTCGCGAGATGGAAGAGCCCGGGTGAAATTGCCGCGGAGGAAGCCGCACGCGCCGCGGGCATAAATATAAATGCGGTAAGAAGATCGACGATGAAAGACGGCGCGCAAGAGGACACGGACGTGGTCAAGCAACGCAACGTCCACGCGGATGCGCCGGTGCCCAGCTACGCGTGCGATGAGGCGGCTTGGGAATTTTCGGAAAGTCAGGGTTGGGAATCGTACAAGCTCCCCGACGAGATCAAACCCATCGAAGGCGCGGGGTGGCCGGCGTATTTAGAGCAAAAACGCAGAGAGGCTAAGTTCAGGTCGCCTGTAATCGTCCCTGGAGAAGACGTCTACGACGCGGCGACTGCGGCGAAGGAGAACGAAACCGAGGACGAGCGTCGTGAGCGTTTACGACGCGAGAAGGAGGTCAGCGCCCGCGTCGGTATTGGCGGTAAGCGCATCGTGGAGAGCACGCTCGCGGCGTCGTTCCACCCTCACAACACGGTTATGACGTCATCGCGTCACGACATCGAGAACAGCCTCGCGCGCCGTGGTCAGGTGGGGACGCTCGCGAAACCGCCGGTTGCGTCCGCGCTCGGCGCTTCCGCGAACAAAAAGGTCGGCGTCGAGGACCTCCCCACGCGCCAAGCGAGGTTGCAGAAGAAGCTCACGTCGATGGCGGCCGCGGGAGAGAGCGTGAAAGCTATCGAAGAGTTCAAGTTCTACGCGGAGACGGACCCTTCGATGGGATATTGCACGAAACAGGAGGTGGACAGCGCGCCGACGGAGGTGCAAGAAGCGCGGGCGAAGTTCAAGTTCGACCTCGCGCAGCAGACGAAGGTCGGCGAGCTCCCGACGGATGATTAAAATCTAGATAATTAGAACCTAGGATAGCGCTACTAGAACGTCGTTCTCAGACGCCAACGTATAACGTCCCCGCCATCAACATCGTCCCGAAGGCGATCCCCCGCCACAGCTGCCCGTCGTGCTTGCACTTCTTCCCCTCGGGATACAACTCGATGACGCACACCGCGCTCATCATCCCGCCCGTTCCGGCGAGAATGCAATGCAGAATCATCGGCGTGAGGTACGGCTTGATGAAGTAGAGCGCTAAGAGCGCCCCCGCGGGCTCGGACAGACCAGACGCGGTCGCCATCATGAGCGCTTGCCTTCGGCTCCCGGTCGCCGCGTACACGGGCGCGGCGACGATGATTCCCTCCGGGACGTTGTGCACGCCGATGGCCGCGGCCATGACCGGGCCTATGGACGTGAACGACGAGAACGCGACGGCGAATCCTTCCGGAAGGTTGTGCAGCGTCATCGTGATCGCCATCAGCAGCCCGAGGCGCATCAGGCGCGCTTTCGAGAGCTTCATCCCGTCGTCCTTTCCCGTGAATTTCGATTCCAAAACCTCAGCCTTGGGGAGCAAGGGCTCGATGAGACAGTACATCAGCGATCCCGTCGTCGTCGCGACGGTGACCCAGCCGAATCCGTTCTCTATCCCGTTCTTGATGAAGAGCTCGACGACGCTCAGGGTAAACATCACCCCGCACGCGATCCCGAGCAAGAACGCTAGGAGCTTGTTGTCCGGTTTCTGTAAAATCGCGATGAGGCCGCCGACGGTCGTCGCGAGGCCGGCGAGGAGGGAGAGCAACAGCGCGTACAGCTCGTCGTCGTCGAACATCGTGATGCTCAAGAGGATGCACGGAAACACCAGGACGATGCTACTCAGGAGCGGGATGAGCGTCGGGTCTTCCTCGAACGCCTTCTTCGCGACCGCGGAGCCGAGGTAGAACGCGACCTTGATCGCGAGTCGGCCTTGTCGAATGACCTTGAAGATCCCTCCCCTCGGGACGGTCGCCGCGAGCCTGTGCGGGGTCGCGACCGCTCGGCCGACCGCGCGAAAACGCGAATTCGGTGTCTTGGCGCTTTTCGTCGCAGTCGGCTCCGGGGTCGAGGTCGCTGATTTCCTCCTTGTCGCGGCCATCGGCGTTGTGTCGAAGGAGACGCGTTCGACCTGGTCCACGTACGCAGGCGCGGTCTTCTCCGTCTTGGTCAACAAGAAGATGCACTGATTTTCGAACGACCGTTTGTCCGGGCGCGCGCACACCTCTCACGCGCGCCGTCGCGTCGCGTCTTTCGGAGTCTGCGTCGCGCGCGCGTCGCCTCGAGGACGCGATGCTGATGAACAAGGCCCGCGCGGCGAAGGCGACGAAGGCGCCTGAGAAGCCGAAGCCCGCGGAAAACGAGATCCCCGAGGTGTCCGACTTCCTTAAAGACCGCGACTACGCCGGAGCCATCGCGCTGCTCGAGTTCAAGCGTCAGCAGAGCCCGAGCGACGTCAGCAACCTGGAGTGGCTCGCGTACGCTTACTTTCATGCGGGCGACCCCGAGAAAGCGCTGGACACGTATCGGTACCTCCTCAGACGCGAGAGCGACCCGGACCCGACGTACCACACCTTCGCGGCCGCGTGTTTGTTTTACCTCGGCCAGTACGACGAAGCCGAGGAGGAAGCGAAGAAAGGCCCGAAGACGAAGCTTCACACCCGGGTGCTGTTCCACTGCGCGCACAAGCAGAACGACGAAGCGAAGCTGATGACGTACCACCAACAGCTCACGGACTCCGTGGAGGACCAGCTGTCGCTCGCGTCGATTCATTACCTCCGCTCACACTTTCAAGAGGCGACGGATATTTATAAGCGCCTGCTGCTAGAGAACCGAGAGCATCTCGCGCTGAACGTGTACGTCGCGCTGTGCTACTGCAAGCTCGAGTACTACGACGTCAGCTTGGAAATTTTGAACGTGTACCTGCAGAGCTACCCGGATTCCCCGCTCGCAATCAATCTGAAGGCGTGCAACCACTTTCGGTTGTACAACGGCGCCGCCGCGGAGGCAGAGCTGAAGAAGCTGCAAGACCACGTCGGTAAGGGAGGCTCGTTCGAGGACAACGACCTGATCCGGCACAACCTCGTCGTGTTCAGAGGCGGCGAGAACGCGATGAAGGTCTTACCCCCGCTTCGTGGCTTCCCCCCCGAGGCGAAGCTCAACTTGGTCGTGCATTATTTAAGAAACGGGAAGCCGCACGACGCGTTTACCATCGTGAAGGAGATCGAACCTTCGACGCCTACGGAATACATCTTGAAAGGGGTGACGCACGCGATCATCGGGCAGCAAGAGCAGGACGGAGCCGAGCATTTGAAGATGGCACAACAGTGTTTCCAGATCGTAGGCTCGAGCAGCAGCGAGTGCGATACGATACCGGGACGGCAGTCTATGGCGAGCTGCTTCTTTTTACTGAAGCAGTTCGAGGACGTCCTGACTTACCTAAAGTCAGTCGCGGACTTCTGCGGGGAGGACGACGCTTTCCACTGGAACTACGGCATAGCCACCGCGGCGACAGGGGATTACAAGACGGCGGAGGAGTCGTTCATGAAAATTCAAAGCCCGGAGTATCGAACGGAGTACTGTTACCTCGCGTGGATGGCGCGGTGTTTCATCAACAACGGCAAGGCGTCGTTGGCATGGGAGCTGTACGCGGAGATGGACACGAACGACGAGTCCTTCGCGTTGCTTCAACTCATAGCGAACGACTGTTACAAAGTAGGCGCGTTCTTCTACGCCACGAAGGCGTTCGACGTGCTCGAGAGGTTGGACCCGCACACGACGGAGTATTGGGAAGGGAAGAGGGGCGCGGCCGCGGGTGTTTTTCAGATGGTGATTGCGGGCAAGGAAGCCCCGGAGACTTTGAGCGAGGTGCTCGACATGCTTCAGTATTCATCGAACCCGCAGGTGGAGCTTTTCGTTCGCGCGATCACGAGGTGGGGAAACGACAACGGGGTGCGATTATAGAAATAGGCTTTTAAGAGTAAAAGAATGAATACGCTTTTTTTCAACGTCTATGTATTTATTTTGGGTTCAGAATCACGCGGACCCGTGTCGACCTTGGATGACGACGTTCATGCTGCCGCCGCTCATTTTACGCGAGCCCATTCCGGCTTCTTGCATGCCCATTCCGTTCCCATTCGCGTTGTTCTCCTGCCTCGAATCGTTTCCTTGAACCATCGGAGAATCCGTGTACCGGTGATACAGCAAGTTCGCGACACACCGATCGACGAGGCTCTGCGCCTTGTCAACCGGCGGATGCTGCCCATGCGACGCGGCGTCGCCTCCCCTCCCACCCCTGGTCCGCGCGGTGCGAGCCATCCGGTACAGACTCTCCTTGATGTTGTTCATCGTCGACTTGTCGAGCTTGGAGACGATGCCCTCGAGCTGATCTAACCCACCCTCTTCCGCGGACAACAGTCCCGGCGGCGCCCCGTTGTTCATCTGGTTCATGAAGTACTGCGGCGCGAGCCCGTTGCCGCCGCCGCCGAGCGCGGTACCGTTCCCGTTCGTGTTCGTGGACATGGAGCTGGTCCCCGAGTACATGCGCGATCCAGGAGGGAGGATCATCATCCCGCCGCCGTTCATCTGCGCGCTGTTCAGCGGATACATCCCGGGCTGGTTGTTCCCCATCGGCTGCATCTGCTGCGGCGCACCATACTGCGCGTTGGGAACCATCTGATTGTGCATCATGTTCTGCTGCATCAGATCAGCCTTCTGTTTTTGCTGTTCGCTTCCTTTCTTCGCCTTCTTCTTCGCCTTCTCCCCGCCCTTTTGCGATTTCGAAGCGCGCTTGCCCTTCGCCGGCGTCTTGCCGTTCCCGTCGCCGCCCTGCTGCGGCTGCAACGCGCCGTTAGAGGGCACGTGCACCATCTGCGGCTGCGCGAACTGATAGTTTGGCTGAACCATCATCCCCCCCTGCATCTGCGACTGCCCCTGCATCTGCTGCTGGTACGGCATCTGAACGTAGGCGTCTTGCCCGCTCTGGTCGTAGTACTGCATCTGGTTCGGCAACTGATTTTGCTGCGGGTTGCTGAACCCCATCACTCCGTTCGGATGCATCGGCGGCATCTGCATGTGATGCATCCCTCCGTGACCTTGTCCGACGCCGCTGTTTCCGCCTCGCATCATGTGCATCTGTCCGTGCACGTTGTTCCGCCCGCCGCCGCCGCCTCCATACGCGTCGATGTACGAAGACGAGTTGTAGGACGCGCCCCCGCCGCCCTGACCGTTGTTCGCGAAAAAATACATCCCGGACATGTCCCCGCCGTCGCCGACGCCGTTCCCACTCGGGCCCGCCTGTCCGCTCGGGCCGCCCATGTCGTACGAACGATCGTACGGCGTCGACCTGCTCTGCAGCAGCGAGTCCACGCCCCCCGGGAACGAGCTCCAGAGAGCTTCGGTCAGCTCGTCCTCGCCGCCAAGGTCGCTGTTATCCACCGCTAAAGTGTTCAGCGACAGCCGGCTGCTCGGGTTTTTAAAGTCCAGCAGCGCCGACATGTCGTCCTCCTTGAACGCCTGCGAGTAATCTTGCCCGTACGTTCCCCTGAGCGAGCTTCCTTTCAGCGCGGACAGCAGCGTCGGCGATCCTTGCTGCAGCAACGCCGGGTCCGACCCTAATCCGCCCATGCCGTGCATCCCCATCGTATCGTACCCCCCCACCATGCCGCCGCCGTTGTTCACTGGCGTCGGCTGCGAGAGCCCGGACGGATGCGTGTTGATCGTCAGCCCGCCCCGGCTGCTCCCTTTCAGAGTCGCATCCCCGGACGTCGCCGCGGAGTTGGGTTTCCTCTGGCTGAGCTTCGATCGCTTCCCTTTCGTCTTCGCCCCGGTGAAATCTCCTGCCCCGCCAGTGGACGGGGAGGTCTCCGCCTGCGCGCGCGCGGAGGCGTCCGCGGTCATCCTGTGGATCGTACGAGTGAAGGAGAGGGGCGTAAGAGACGATCGTTGGTTTCGCGAAATGACGCAGTGGTCGTCGCAGGGTAACAAACTCCCGAGATTCGACGCGACCGCGCGCGCGATACGCGCACGCGCGACCGCGGAGGAAGCTCGCGCGCGGGCTGAATGGCGTCTACGGCGTGACCTACGAGAGATCGGAGCGCGCGGGGGGGTCGTACCCGTGCGTTGCCTCGCTTTCTCCGCGCGAACCGGACGACGCGTCTCGCGGTAAAATCCTACGCTTCTCACCCGCGACGAACAGCAAGTTGACGAATGACGACGTCGACGGAGGGCTCCGGAAACCGCCGCGTCCGCGCTCGTGCGTCCTTCGCCTTCGCCTCGAAAGCGCGGCGTTTAGTCCTTGTGTTGTACCTCTTCACGAAGCCTCGCCTTCCGCTCGCTTCCTGCGTCTCGCGTGTGCGTGAGCGCGTCGTGTTCTGCCGTCCGCGCCAGCGCGCGGCTGCAAAAATATCAGCGCGTATCTCGTATCCCTAAACCAATCACGTCGCGTAAAATAAAAATCTTTCCGGCGGAATTGTCCCACGTCAACATCGTGTTTTTTTTGACTGCTGGCGCGCTCGTTTTTATGCACTGTTTATCCTGCTGTTTATGCGCGTTCCATCATTTGTTTACGGAAGAGGTCACCTCACACGGAGCGAGCCCGACGCAGGGCTCGGGCCGCGGTGCCGCTCGTGATGCGGATCCCCCACGCGGTTTTGGGTCTCCTCTTCCTCGCCTTCCTCGCGTCGCCACCGCTCGCCGTGGCGAACCCCGGGCACGTCCTCAACTTGGACGCGCGCTCGTTCGACGCGGCGGTGAAGGAGCACGCGTTCGTCGCGGTCGAATTCTACGCCCCGTGGTGCGGGCACTGCAAGCGCTTGGAGCCGGAATGGGCGAAAGCCGCGGAGGTTTTAGCCGCGAACGCGAAGAAGACGCGAGAGCCACCGATCGTGCTCGCGAGGATGGACGCCGCGAACCAGGCGAACTCTAAGATCGCCGCGGACTTTGGCGTCAAGGCGTTCCCGACGATCAAGATCTTTCGAAACGGCGAGGCGGACACGGAAGACGGCGAGGACTACGCCGGCCCGAGGCACGCGGACGGGATCGTGGAGCACCTCACGAAGCTCGCGGGACCGTCCGTCACGTCCCTCACGACGAAACAAGAGAGCAAGACGTTCGTGGAGAAGGACCCGGTCGTCGTCCTCGGGTACTTCCCGCGCGGCGGCGACGGCGACGCGTTCGAGGCGTATCTCAAAGTCGCGCGGCGATTCAACGCGTACGCGCGAGGGATCGGCCTCGAGGTGAACTTCGGGCACGTCTCGGACCCGGATCTGCTCCCGGAAAAGAACGATCTTCCTACACCGGTGGACGACGACGGGGCGCCGACGGTGTACGTCTATCGTAAATTCGAAGAGCGCGTCGTGCGCATGGACGCGCCGGCGACGGAGAAAAACATCGACGATTTCGTCGAGAGACACTCGCTGCCGCGCGTCGCGGAGCTGGACAAGGAACCGACCGCGAGGAGCGTGCTGCGACGCGTGTTCGAGGCTCCCGGCCCGAAGGTCATCGCGCTCGTGGACTACGAGGACGAGGAGGAGACGAAAGGGATTAAACTCGCGCTCGACGACATCGCGCGTCGACGCGACGCGAGAGCGAAATTCGTCGTCGGCGACGCGAAGAAAAACGACGTCGCGATGAAGTTCTTCGGCGTGACCCACGACTTCCTCCCCGCGCTCGTGCTGCACGACCGAGACAGCGAGAAGAAGTACGTGCTACCCCAGGCGAGCCCTGGGGACATCGCGTCTTGGCTCGGGAAGTACGACCGCGGCGCGCTCGAGCCGAGCGTGAGGAGCGAGCGACCGCCGCTGAGCAACGACGGGAGGGCGGTCAAGATCGTCGTCGCGAGCACGTTCGACGAGATGGTCTTAGACGCCGGTAAGGACGTCTTCATCGAGTTCTACGCGCCGTGGTGCAACCACTGCAAGGCGCTCGCGCCGATTTACCAAAACGTAGGCGAAGCGTTCGAGGACGACGACGACGTGACGATCGCGAAGTTCGACGCCGTGAACAACGACGTCCCGGACAAGCGCTTCGTCGTGAAGGGGTACCCCGCGCTATATTACTACGACGCCTCGGAGGACGAGGTCGTTCAATACAAGGGCGATCGCAGCGAGAAGGACATGATACGATTCGTGCGCGCGCGGTTGAAAAGGCATCAGGTCAAGGACGAGCTTTGAGTAACGTAGCCTAATGTAGCCTAGCTAGCTAGACTCACTTTAGTCGAATCCAGTCTTGAACAGACACTCTTGAACCGACTTGACCCTGACAGGATCAGCGCGGCGTCAGAGCCGTTTGCCCCGGCCGTTGACTCACAGATCGCATCACGCGGCGCCCCTGCCCGTGAACTCGCGCGGTCGCTGTCCTCCCCGACAGGCGCGACATCCGATACCATGAGCGGTTCCGCGCGCAATGGCGGCGGTCCCGCCGCGGCGAAACCGAACGCGCAAGCCATCCCGGGGCTGCAGGGCGGCGGCGTGAAGCGCCACTCCCTCGCCGATTTCGAAAAGCTCGTCACCATCGCGAAAGGCTCGTTCGGCGTCGTGTACAAGGCGACGAAGAAGGACACGGGGCGCGTGTACGCGCTCAAGCAGGTCGACATCTCGAACATGAACCGCGCGCAGAGGGAGGAAGCCGTGGACGAAGCGCGCGTGCTCTCCACCCTCGACAGCAAGTTCATCATCAAGTACTACGACTGCTTCCTCGAGGACGGGAAGCTGAACATCGTGATGCAGTACGCTCCGAACGGGACGCTGCACCACAGGTTACAGAAGCAACCGGGGAAGGTTCTCCCGGAGAGGGCGGTGTGGAAGTTTTTCATCCAAGCGCTGCTCGGTTTACGGCACATCCACGCAAAGAATATCATCCACCGCGACGTCAAGTCCCTGAACTTGTTCTTCGACTCCGAGGACAATGTCGTGATGGGAGACTTGGGGATCGCGAAGGTCCTCAGCGCGAACACGCAGTTCGCGCAGACGATCGTCGGGACGCCGTACTACCTCTCCCCTGAACTGTGCGAAGATCAGCCGTACAACGAAAAGTCCGACGTCTGGGCTCTCGGGGTTGTCCTGTACGAGATGTGCACCGGCGGTAAGCACCCGTTCGACGCGCAAAACGAAGGTGCGCTGATTCGCAAGATCATGAAGGGCGTGTACCAACCGCTGCCTCACGGAAAATTCAGCACGCAGCTCTCGGACATACTGCGAATGTGCCTCACCATGGACCATAAACACCGTCCCGATACTGCGAAGCTGCTCGCGCACCCCGCGATCGTGAGTCGAGCGAGAAGCTTGGACCTCGTGTTGGACCCGGATGCGAAAAACGTGACGAAGTCCACAGTCGGCGACTTTGGCATCAACGCCGCCTCGAAGGAGAGGCAAACGGAGGCGCCGGTCCAGGAGGCTCCCGTGGAACGCAAGGCCACGCACGAGCGACCGCCCCTGGCGGAGATGCCTCCGCCGCCGCCGCCCGCGGATTGGGAACTCCCGTCCAACCCGCACCTGAGGCAGCAGATGCGTTCGGGCGACGCGTTGAAGCAAGCGAGCCGCGGGTCGCAGCGCGTGTACCAACCTGAGGCTCCGCCTATTGGAAAAGCCGGGATGGACGATAACATCGATTACCCCGCGTACGATCAAAGCCGCAGAGCGGACCCGGCGCCGAACTCGCGCGCGGGCTCGCTCCACGCGAGCGCGCGGAACCAGCAGTCCATGCGCATGGACACGATTAAAGCGGCGGCGGCGGAGGCGGCGGAGGCGGCGGCGGCGCAGAAAAAAGCCGAGATGGAGGCGGCGAGAAAAGCTAACGAGACCCCCGTCGGCGCTCCCGCGCGTCCTATACGGCCGGCGAACCCCGAGGTTGGAGCGCTGATGGGCGGCGGTTTCGACGGGACCGATCCGTTCATCGCGCACCAGATGGCAAAGCTTGGCGTGGGGGCGGATGATTTGAAAGGCGCGATGGAAGCAGCGGCGGAGGAGAGGCGCATGGCGTTGGAAGCGGCGAAGGTGAACGGGCGCGGCGGCGCCCTCGGGAACATAATGGGGGGGTACGGAGGGGATGAATCGTTCAAGCAGCAGGGGTACGGAGCGGCGTACAAGCAAGAGCAGCCCGCGACCCCGGTCGCGGCGAAGGTGGCGTCCCCGGCGAGGGCGCAACAGACGCGACAGTCGTCTAGTCCGTTCGACGACATGGCGAGGGACGACAAAAACAAATACCGCACCGCCTCGATGGAACAGTCCTCGGCGCTGAAGAACGCGACGTATGAGCCGCCAAAATTCGCGAGGAAGCGAGCGACTGATTTGATGATCACTGGGCCTTCCATGCGTGCGGCTGGGGCGCCGAGCCGAGGCGGGTCGGGAGGGGGTGGATTTCGGACCGCCGCCAACATGGGTTATGCCGCTAGTTGCGTGGGTTCGGAGACGACGACTGTGGCGCCGACGAGTTATTACAATCCGTAGGCGCAGGCGCATTCATAGCCCTATGAACTGTTATTTGTAAATCCCGAATGTGGTTTTAAAACTTTATTACGCAACTAATAACTCTGAAAAGACAGTAACCTTACATGTACTCCCCCCTTTTCCTCGAATTAAAAGAAATCCTGGAGAGCATCCATGCTCAGGGTACCCTCCTGAAGCACCTTCACCGCGTTCGCGGTCGCTCGCGCGCCCGCGATCGTGGTGACCATCGGAATCTTCAGACCCACGGCGGTGCGGCGGATTTCGCGACCGTCGCGCATGTCCGCCTCGTCGCCGTTGGACGTCACAACCATGAGGGCGATGTCGCCGTCGCGGAGCATGTCACCGATGTGAGGGCGGCCCTCGTGAACCTTCTTCGCCACGGTCACGGGGAGCCCAGCGTCTTTCAGCGCCGCGGCGGTGCCACCGGTCGCCACCAGCGTCATTCCAATTTCGGAGAGCTGCTTCGCGATTTCCGTGACGGCGGGCTTGTCCGAGTCGCGCACGGAGATGAACACCTTACCCGTGCCGTTCGGCAGCCTCTGCCCCGCGGCGATCTGTGCCTTGGCGTACGCCCTCGTGAAATCCCTGTCGATGCCCATCACCTCCCCGGTACTGCGCATCTCCGGTCCCAGAAGCGTGTCCGCGCCCGGGAACTTGTCGAAAGGCAACACCGCCTCCTTCACGGCGACGTGATCGATCACCACCTCCTCCGTGAAGTTGATATCCTTCAGCGTCGCGCCCGCCATCACGAGCGACGCGTACTTCGCGAGCGGGTGACCAATCGCCTTCGCGACGAACGGCACGGTGCGAGACGCGCGCGGGTTCGCTTCGATGATGTACACTTCATCGTTCGGGGTCACGGCCCACTGGATGTTAATCAGGCCGATGACGCCGAGACGCTTCGCGACCTTCGGGGTCCAGTCGCGAATGATCGCGAGGGACTTTTCAGATATCGTCTGCGGAGGGATGCTGCACGCGGAATCTCCAGAGTGCACGCCAGCCTGCTCGATGTGCTCCATGATACCGCAGATAACGACGTTACCCTCGGCATCGCACAGGGCGTCGACGTCGAGTTCGGTAGCGTTCGCGAGGTACTTGTCGACGAGCACCGGCTTTTCCGGGTCGACCTCCACGGCGGTGGTGATGTAACGCTTCAGGTCCGCATCGGAGCTGACGATCTCCATCGCGCGTCCACCGAGGACGAAAGAGGGGCGGACCATGACGGGGTACCCGATGTTGTTCGCAGCGACCAACGCCTCAGCCTCGGAGCGAGCGACGCCGCCGGGGGGCTGGGTGATTTTGAGCTCCTCGAGAATCGCCTGCCACCTCTCGCGATCCTCCGCCGCGTCGATGCTGTCAGGAGGGGTGCCTAGGATGTGGCAGTTGCCGTTGCCAGAGGCAGCGGGGATCGGGTCATCCATGAGCGCCTTCTCGAGGCGGGTAGCGAGCGAGAGCGGTGTCTGACCGCCGAACTGCACGATGATGCCCTCGGGGCGCTCAGCCTCGACAACGTTGAGGACGTCCTCCACGGTGAGGGGCTCAAAGTACAGACGGTCGGAGGTGTCGTAATCAGTGGACACGGTCTCGGGGTTGCTGTTGAGCATGATGGTCTCGTACCCAGCATCCTTCAGAGAGAAAGCGGCGTGGCAGCAGCAGTAGTCGAACTCAATGCCTTGGCCGATGCGGTTAGGTCCGCCGCCGAGGATGAGAATCTTCCTTTTATCGGTAGGGTCGACCTCGTCGTTGCCGTCGTAGGTGGAGTACATGTACGGGGTTTCCGCCTCAAACTCCGCGGCGCAGGTGTCAACACGCTTCATGGAGGCGGTGACGCCCAACGCCTTGCGAGCCTTGCGCACCTTGCCCTCGGTAATCTTTAAAGCACGCGCGATCTGAACGTCGCTGTAGCCGCGTTTCTTCACCTCGAACCAGTCGTTCTTGTCGAGCTCAGACAAAGAGCTCAAGCTCTTGAGCCAGGTCTCGGTTTCGAAGAGGTCTTGCATCTGGCGGAGGAACCAAGGATCGAATTTCGTGATATCTTGGATCTCCTCCGGGGTCATGCCAGCCAAGAACGCTTCGTGAATGACGGTGATGCGCGCCGGGGTCGCCTCCGCGAGCTTCTCCTTGAGCGCGACCAAGTCGCCTTGCAGTTCGCCATCCTTGGGGTTGAGCCCCCAGCCGGAGAGGCCGGTCTCGAGAGAGCGGAGAGCCTTGTTGAAGGACTCTTGCCACGTGCGCCCGACCGCCATTGCCTCCCCGACGGACTTCATCTGCGTCGTGAGGTAGGGCTCGGAGCCGGGGAACTTTTCGAACGCGAATCGCGGAATCTTCGTGATGACGTAATCGATGGACGGCTCGAAGGACGCCGGGGTCTTGAGCGTGATGTCGTTCGGGATGCCGTCGAGCGTGCATCCGACCGCGAGCTTCGCCGCCATCTTCGCGATCGGGAAACCCGTGGCCTTAGACGCGAGCGCGGACGAGCGAGAGACGCGAGGGTTCATCTCGATGATCATCAGCTCGCCGTCCTCGGGGTTCACCGCCATCTGGACGTTGGACCCGCCGCACTCGACGCCAATCTCGCGGATGATGTCCACGGACGCGTCTCTGAGGCGCTGGTACTCCTTATCCGTCAGCGTCTGCGCGGGCGCGATGGTGATAGAATCGCCGGTGTGCACGCCCATGGGATCGAGGTTCTCGATCGAGCACACGATGACGACGTTGTCCGCGAGGTCGCGCATCACCTCGAGCTCGTACTCCTTCCACCCGAGGAGAGACTTCTCGATGAGGACCTGCGTCGTGGAGGACGCGTTCAGGCCGCCGGTGACGATGTTTTCGTATTCCTCCATGTTGTACGCGATGCCACCACCGCTTCCGCCGAGGGTGAATGCGGGTCGGATGATGAGAGGGAAGTTTCCGATCTCCTCCTGAATCTTCAGAGCTTCCTCCCAGGTGTTCGCGGTGCCAGACGGAGGCGTCTTCAGGCCGATCTTGGTCATCGCGTCCTTAAACAGCTGCCTGTCCTCGGCTTTGTTGATCGCGTCCAGCTTCGCGCCGATGAGCTCGACGTTGTACTTCTCGAGGATGCCGGTCTCCGCGAGGGTTTTCGTCAGGTTGAGCGCGGTCTGACCACCCATCGTCGGGAGCAGGGCATCGGGTTTCTCCTTCTTCAAGATTTCCTCCACGAGCTCCGGGGTCATCGGGCCGACGTACGTGCGGCTCGCGGTCTCCGGATCCGTCATGATCGTCGCGGGGTTGGAGTTGAGCAGGACGACTTCGTATCCCTCGCTCCTGAGCGCTTTGCACGCCTGGGTGCCGGAGTAATCGAACTCGCACGCTTGCCCGATGACGATCGGCCCCGCACCGATGATCATGATCTTCTTGATGTCCGTCCTCTTATTCGAGTTCGTCGCTTGATCCCACGCGCGGAAGACGGGGGATTCTTCGGATTCGGCCATGGCGCGGATCTGCGAAGAGCGCGTCGCGCGAACGTTCTTGCGCTTGGACTGCGTCGTCACCTTGGAGGTAACGGGGACGCCCATGGTGTTCGCGATGGAGGAGACGGCGGAAGCCATCATCGCCTCGGATGGTCAAGCCGATCGCTTTTTGCGCTGGGTGATGAAAAAACCCTCCGCGTGCGCGAGGGTATAGGCGCTGATCAGGTGCCGCGAGAAAAGTCCCTCCGTTAACACACACGTAAACGCGCGGTTGAGTCGCAGCGACTGCCGTGAGACGACGCGCGCGACGGTGTTCTGCGCCGCGCCACGGAGCGAGTTCAAACAAACAAAAAAGCGAGCCGCCGTTTTCCGGCGCGACATTCAAAAAATCACCGGTTAAAAATCGAGTATGGTAGTTTACTCTTGTATGAGCAAATAGTTGAGATATTTTTAAAGTGCGTACACGTACTGTACTCTCGGCTCGTTGCCGACTGTGCCGAGAGTGGGTGCCTGCCACGGGGCAGTCGGCCTTTTGAATCTTTCTCGCTCCTTTTTCCCTCTTCTCAACCCTGCTCACGCGCCACCGCGCCCTCGCTTCACGCCGCCGCTACCTACCATCCCGTTCGCGCACATATCGTCTAGTTCTCTATAATCCGGTACTCCGCACGGCAACGGCCGCCCGTCCCTGAGCACTAGCCGATCGTGCTGCGGCCGCGAGAGTATTTCGCTGTACCGCCTCCCGCGAAAAACGACCAAGTTCGCGACGCCGCCGACGACGACGCGGCCGTGCGCGTCGCCCAAACCCATCACGTTCGCCGGCCTCGAAGTCACAGAGAGCGGCCAGTGCGATATAGGTCTATCTAAGTGCCCGATTTTGCACCCCTGGCCGAAGATTTCGAGCATGTCCAGGTCGCCGTACCCGTAAAACTGATCCCGCGTGTTGTCGCTCGCGAGGCACACGGAGACGCCGGCGTCGTCGAGCTCCTTCATCGTCGTCACGCCTCGTCGAGTCGGGGTTGAAATTCCGCGAACGTCTCGGTTCTGCAGCCACTGGTTCACGATCGGGAGCGAGACGACGGTAATGTTCGCCTTTTTCGCCTCCAGGCATATCTTGTGCAGCTCCCCCGGGGATTGCGCGGCGAGGGAACAACAGTGCCCGCACACGACTCGTCCGGTGAACGCGTTCCTAGCGGACGCTCGCGCGATGTGAAGCAAACCCTTCGACGCCTCGTTCCCGTTCTCGTCCACGTGAAAGTCGAGATCGAGGTCACGTTCCTTCGCGAGCCGAAAGACCGTGTCCAGGAGCGCGTCCATGTCATCCAAACACGTCGTGTACACGTCGTCCGCGTATCCGCCGCGATCCGTGCACGACACCGCCGCGCCGAGGATGCCGCCGTTTTTTTTCACCAAGTCCGCCAGCTTCGCGGCCTCGGTCTCGTCGCGGAAGAATCGTAAAATCGTCAAGGCGACCCCTTGCAGTTCTATCCGTCCCTTCCACTTCTCCCTTAACTCTTTGAACACCGGCCACACCAGCGCCCCTTGCGTCGCGTTGCTCATGAGATGCGTGCGAATCGCCGACGTCCCGTGCGCGTACGCGCACTTCAAGCTAAACTCCATGCGCGTGTACACGTCCTCCTTCGTCCAGTGTCGCTCATCCTTCGCGCACGAGTCGTCCGCTCCGGCGAGCGAGCCTGACTGGTTCCTGCTCCTCTCGCACGTGTGTCCTTTGTCGATGTGCGTGTGCAGGTCAACGAACGTGGGGAACACCATCCCGCCGTCGACGTCGACCTGGGGAAGGGTGCTCGACGAGATCGACGATGAGCTCGAAGCCGGGGTCACGGACGAGACTTTACCAGTGCGGATCTCAATGTCCACGAAGCTCAGACCGTCGTGATCTATCGCGAGGTCTCCCGCGCCGTGCACGCAGCACGCGGGGACGTGCGCGTTGCGAAGGACGAAGTCGGATCCCGACGGAACGTTCGGTAGCCACGACGACCACGGCGCGGATGGGATGGACATCCCCAGCACGACGTTTTAGCGCGATGAGTGGCCTTCGACGCAGTCGTGATACTGATGGTGTATCGCCCCGGGCCTTATTTACGCGGTTCGTCGACCACACGACGCCCCGGGGACGTTATCCCCGCGCGCAAAGCGCGTCGGAAAATGACGGGTCGCGTGCTGACGCGGTCCCGAAAAGAAAGGAATGTTGAGTTCGATGAGCTCGCGCTCGCGCCGAGGCGATGAAGGTGAAAAATCGAGAAAAAGCGAGAAGAATCAAAGAAATTCATTCTTGACGGTCTATCGGCGAGTTAACTGCTCCGATACGCAATTTTCGATGGGCACCTCTTCTGCAAAAAAACAAAGAAAAAACCAAACAGCTTCACACGCGCGCGAGCGTCGGGGCTTGGGTATCCACGCGGGATACCCCACTCGCTGGAAGGTAGGTAGATAGAGCATGGCTGAGAGCTTACCACCCGGCTCCGTGTACGCGCTCACGCAAACGGTGCGCCTCTCTCGCTCTTTGCCGGTCCTGACACACCACGACCACCGTCGCGACAACTGCATTTTAGGTTTGTTTACGTCTCCGCGTTCCCCAACCGTCTCATCTTCCTCAGGACTTCGTCTTGCTCGTCCTCTCCGCGATCTTGTTTCTGTACATCATCCCAAGGAAGATATGGCGATGGATGGTTCGTCGTAAGAAAAAGACGGAATAAAGCGGTGCTCCTTCGTTCATCAGGCTGTCGGGTAGTGGAAAAAAAACAACGAGATGGTGACGACGCCACCGACAGCTCGGGCGAGCGGCCGTATACACGTCGACGTCGAGGCCGCGAATGTCGAGAAACGTCTCGCTCCGGTGTTTGAATACCTGAACCGCTACCTCCCATCCAGCGACGACGACGGAAACGGGGAAATTGGAGACGCACTGCACGCTGCGGTCAAGGACGCGATCGATGCCGCGCGAGGAGGTTTACGCGACGCGCGTTCTCTCGTGTTCAGTGCGCTTTTCTTCGCATGGGTCGCGTCCACGCCCATCGTTGCGCCTCGTGATCCATTCCTCGCGACGAGCAAGTGGAAACTTCCCACGGGTTTGTTCGTCTTGCTGGTGAAAAAGTCTGGACTTGAACAGAACCTGCGAGCGAAGCTACGCGACGATGTCCCACCGCACGTGTCGAAGTACCTCGACGCTGAACTCCAGGGGTATGATATTGAATTCATTCACGAGAGCGAAGGATCTAAGAAGCTCGACGAGAATACCGTAGAAGAAAGTAAACCGATGAGTCCTCGTCCTCTGAAAGTCGCCGCTGAGTCCGACGAAGGAGAAGCGGCGTCGCCTTGTGGACGGTGCTTTGCAGTTGTGAACGAGTGGCTCCTCCTAAACGAGTTTGCCACCGGTGACAGAATCTCCTCCGCGGTGGAGAGTATCAAGCGAATAGTTCGAGAATATGGTGGAGAAGGTCGTCTCACGGCCTCTATGCTTTTGAGCTCGAATGCGTTTCACTCCGCCAGGCGAGCTATATCCCGGTCGGATGTATCTCGTGAGAAACACTTGAAAGTCGAGCAAGAGTTGATCGCAATATTGAACAGAATCACGACACGGCGAGACGGAGGTCGGTCTGAGAAGACTGAACATCGAAGCGATGATGGGCTAGCGCTGGCGATCGACTTGCTGAGTCCACTGCTAAGGGAGCCAGAGATGACCTTAAGTCGGCTCGTGCACACTGCCGCAGTGCACTCTTCTCAAGCTCCGTTTTTGGTATCCGCGTTTACTGCGCTGCCGGGTCTCGCGATGCTCAAACTTGAACCAACTCATGCACCTTTCATCTTAGAAGTTCTTGTACGAGTGCTTCGTAATTCGCCGTTAGAGCTCAGGGGTTTCAATCAACTCGCGGGGATCAAAAATCTAACGGTGGCGTTGTTCGGCGAACACGCGAAGGAAGAGGAGAGCCTGGGTTTTTTCGGGCATCGTTTCTTGGCCCCTCGACGTTCGATTCTTGATCCTCGTGAAACGTTGCTGATGGTTTTGTTTCCAATTTTGGTCGCCGGAGGTAGTACATCGCCGTCGAGTAATATCGATGAAGGAGAAGTCGGAGCAAGCGGTTCAGAGGGCGAAATGTGTGCTTTGCAGATTCTTCGTGCACTCCTTGTTGGAGACGACGCGAGCGGTGCTACGGATGTCGATCCCCCGCTCTCGTCGAGTGGACTCAAGTTGCTTGAAAGTACGTTTCCTGGGGCTGTTCTCCTCTCTTTAGGTTCATACGTTGACTCAAGGGGTGCGGATAGCATAGGATCTTCCCCAACAGATTTAACAGGATGCAGCGGGTCTTCGTCCTGTCGAGGTGCGCCGGAGAGGACTCGTGATCTCGCCGCGAGTTTGCTACGAAGTTGCGTCAGAGCGTTAGAAATAAGCATACGCAGGCGTCTTAAGAACTCAGATGATCCTGAATTTACATCGCTGCTGCATTCTCTTGCCGTCGCGGATGCGACTGCCGCCGTTCGACTTACTTGGCATACGCGAATTGTGATGGAGCGTGTGATGGGTCCGGCTCGAAACCTTCATCCGCTTCCCAAGCGTACCCCTCCTACGGCTCCAAAGTTTCAAGACATGGGATTTGGTTCTCCCACTGGTGTCACATCATTCGCTTTAGCTTTAGCTGACCTCATGCGGCTCTGTGCCATGCGTGCCGTTAGCACGGTGGACTTGGTGGACTTGCTGCGAGGTGAGAGGACAACCGGAGTAACGGAGGGAATACTTGGAAGTGAGGTGCTCGCAGGCAGAATCGAAACGATTGAGAACGCGGAATCACCATCTCTGCTTCGCGCTGCACTTCTGATGGCTTCTTCTTTGGCACTCCCAACTTGCACGATGAAAGAGTTTGGAGTGGTGCAGAGAGAACTTTTGCCCAAAAGTTTGCTTTTGATTTCGCGCTCTGAAAATTCTGGGAATTCGGAGAACACGACTGCAGAGGTTCTCTGGGTGAATTCATCGGTGGTAGATTTCCTTTCGCGCGTTTTACTGACCCATATTTCTGGTTCCAAATCTCGAGCTTCAACCAACAGTGACCGAGAACTGGAGGTGTTCTCACGGCAACTCGCCACCGCAGCTGTCGCTGGAAACGAGAAGCTCGCTTTCAATGTCGAAACCGAGGCAAACGTCGCCACGGTCGCAGGCGTATTCCAAAATCTCAAAAGTTTACACGCAGCGCTCTTACAAGTGACGGCATTGGAAACGGAAGCTCTGGAGAAGAAGTCCAGGGAGAAAGCGAAGGATATTCTCTTGAACGCCGTGCTAAAATTAGTCGGCGTGTTAAGCGCGATAGGTTTGCAGCTCGAGGTGGAGAAACTATTCGATTACTTTCCCGAGGAACAGTGCAAAAAGCAGGTTCTCACGGCGTGTCAATCGAAAACAGGGCGTCGAAATAGCAAATAGTAAAGAATGAAATAGTTGAATTAAATCCTAGCACTATTTAAATCGCAGGTACCCGGTGAGGTTCAGGCACGAACGCTTTCATGCGCGCAATTCGAGACACCACGGTTAATTTTGATTCCACGGGAACTTCGTTGTCAGACAAAGTCATTATATCCACTCTCACAGCTCGCCATTCAGCTGGAGAAAAATACTTTCTGTGCGCTTGAACGCTTTGGAATAGCGTGTTTAACGCATAAAGCAGCATCCCACTCGCGAAGCTTTGATTCCGACTGTATCTTAACTCTTCGAGAGCACGTTCGGCTTCACCCAGAAGCAAACGCATATCTTCTCTGTTTTGTTTTCTGCGCCTTTGCCAACGAGTTCCTGCGAATAATAATTTCTCAGTTGCTTTCTTGAAATCACGAACCAGTGCTTCGCTTACCAACAGAAGTTCCTGTCAAAGAAATCGCAGAGAAGGCGGCTAGCACCGCCGGCATACCGGCCTCGTGGTAAGTTCCATTCAAACGAGATTCTTCAAATAAAACACCGCGCGAAGACTCAGGTTCGAAGAAAAATAGGAAGTAGAATCAGCCAACCATTATTGAAAAGTTCAACCTGTTCGCCCTCATAATTTGGTCCATTTGCATCAAAGCGCTTTCCATGTCCACCTTCATGACTTGAGTTTGGATTAGGAGCAGTTGCATCAAATCTCCCTGTGACGTTTTATCGACGACGACGGCGTAAGTTGAAGGGAACGATAGAATTTTACGCGGCATAAATCTGGTTTCTCACCCCGAGTATATTCTGAAGTGGAGCCTTGAGTTCTTCTTCAACACGCGCGGTTACGAGAGCGAAAGGATCGGGCTTGTCCGTCGTTCCTTCAGGTGTCGTTCCGCCACCGACTGCTCTATACGCACGATAAAGCGCCGCGCTATAACCCGGTTTTGTCGCCTGGATCGTGTACTGGTTAAGCATTCGGTCAAGCGAAGCTTTAGAACTCTGCAAAAGTTATACCGTCGACTGAAATCGCAAATTAAACTCGAATTTATGGCAAATTTTACCTCCAACTGCTGGAGCCCGACCGTGTCGGTACTTTGCTCGAAAGTTCGAGAGAATTCGGATCGTATTTCCCTTGCGCGAGGGTCGTTTTAATTTCATAATTTGCGTGGTTAATAATTAAATTTTTTGTGTCAAAGAATCGCGACGTTCGAGTTGTGCTGCAGATAAACGATTTCATGCCCGACCTCCAAGGAGTTTCTGCGTGAGTGCGCCAAAACCGGAGCAAACCAGACCACATTCTTTGCAATAACTGATCCAAGTCGCTCGAGCCGCACAGTCTGCTGTGTCGTATAGTGTATAACGAAAGCGTGCCTGTGAAGAAATGACGGTTAGTCGCGTCTGCGTTGAATGAAAGGAAAAATTCGATCGACAGGAATAAAAAGTACCAATGAAACTCACCCACTGCCGAGGCTAATGCTCCGTACAAGACCCATCGACGTTGCCACTTTTCCGGCATTTTATGTGCAGCCAAAATCTTTTTGGCGCTCAAAGAAGCTTTCGTCCCTTCGTCCTTCAGCAAGTTCACGAGTCTCCAAACGTCGGCAAAACCTTCCTCTGCTAGGGAGCCGCTCGCCGAGCTCGCCTCGGGAGTTTTCATGAAGACTGGGGAAGGGGTCCGGTACTCGTCGTGCTGTTTCCTCGCCGATTTCCTGGCCGTGAACTCCGTGTTCACCGCTTTGCTCAAAGGACTCTGCGGCACTTTTCCCGAGTGTGCTTCGTGCAACGCATCTTGGCTCGCACCACTTGGCAGGGTGGCTTTCGACGCGCTCACTCCTTCTAGTGAGCCGAGTAAGTCGTGGAGTGAGTCGCTCAGCATCGAACGGAGGGACTCGTTGTCGAACTTCTCCGCGCTCGTCCCCCATGCCGCGGCGACGACACCGGCGTTTCGGTGAACTTCGCCGACAGCAGTCGCGAGGCCGAATTGCATCGCGGACAACGCCCGTACTTTCGCGTCGATTTGAAATATCGGCGAGGACGTTTTCCGCTTTTGAGTACGTATAGGGTCCAACTTCCCTGTCTTCGAGCCGCTGAACGTCGACGTGCACACCGAAACGATGTCGCGTCCCCACTTCAACACCTCCCCGAAAAAGTGTGAAGGCCCTGTTCGCAGGAGCATGAACCACCACAACCCCCGGGAGGTGTCGTGGAGCTTGGTATCCCAAAAACCGAGCGACCTCGTGACATTGTGAAGGTCGTTCAGGAGCTCTCTAGACGCAGCCTGTGAAGCGGAATGTGAGAGGGTATTTCAGACGTGTGGACTGAACGACGACGCAATGAGAAAACGAGGAATAATCTTTCGCGACCTCTCGCCTCGTACCTGGGCGATTTCTAGCGCAGCCTGAGCGGCTCGTGCGAGTTCGGCCTCTTTCGCCTCCTCCACGTTCCCATCCGACGACAGAGCCGCTAAGACGTGAGGTTCCTTCAGCCAGAGCGCGGTCGGACCCACGCGCCCTTCGCGGTCGAAGAAAACGGGGAGTGTGCTGCTCGAGCTCGTCCGCAACAATGGGTTGCCCTTCCCCGAGATGTCCCTCAGCCACGACTGCGAACCTTTGGGGGGGAGTCCGTGATCCTTTGGGGGAGTCGTGTCCATCGTGGACGGCGACTTCCCGCGAGCTAGACCGTCTCACTCGCACGGGAGTGGAGGGGTCGCGGGGGGGGTTGGACCTGCAAAAAAGTGCCGTGTTTGTTTGATTTCTTCGACCTTTTCGCTGAATTTTTCTGAGCGGCGAAGCAGGCGGTGGCGGATTTCTGTGCTGATGATGAGAGGGATTTTGGGCTACGTGTACGGTGATTTTGACGGTTTATTCTTGAGTTAAATTTTTACATGCATTCTTTCCTAGAACGCGGCCAAGAGCGACGGCTCCATCTCCGCGGGCGCTTCGTATCCCATGAGGTTGATGTACGTTGCGGTGACGTTCGCGAGGCCGGCTTTCGGAAGGTCGTCCCGGAACTTGATGTTCGCCGGGAGCGCGGGGCCTCCGATCGCGACCGGAACCGGCGCGAGCGTGTGCGACGTGAGCGGCAAAGGAGTGGTTCCGTCCGCTTCGAAGAGGCACTCGTTCTTCTTGTTCCTTTGCACCATGTCGTCCGCGTTTCCGTGGTCCGCGGTGAGCAAGAACATGCCGCCGAGCTCATCCACGACGTCGAGAAGCTCCTTCACGCACGCGTCGCACTCTTCGCACGCCGCAATCGTCGCGGCGAGGTCGCCCGTGTGCCCGACCATGTCCGGGTTCGCGAAGTTCACGCGAACGACGTCGTACTTTTTGCTCCTCAGCGCCTCCTTGCCCGCGGCGCAAATCTCGCGCGCTTTCATCAACGGCGCCTGGTTGAAAGGAACGTTATCGGACGGAATCTCGACGTACGTCTCGAGGTCTTCCTTGAAGTACCCGGAGCGGTTGCCGTTCCAGAAGAACGTGACGTGCCCGAATTTTTGCGTCTCCGAGCACGCGAACGTTCTCAGACCGTTCGCGGCGAGCACCTCCCCGGACGTCCTCTCGATGAGGGGCGGGGGTACGAGGTAGTTCGCGGGGAGTTTAAGGTCGCCATCGTACTGCATGAGTCCGGCGAATCGAACTTTCGGATATCGAACGCGGTCGAAGCTGTTAAAGTCCGGGTACTCGAACGCCTTGGAGATTTCCACGACGCGGTCGGCGCGGAAGTTCGCGATGACGACGGCGTCGTCGTCCTCCACGGTGCCCACGGGCTTGCCGTCCGCGTCGGTGATGACGAACGGTTCGACGTACTGGTCGCTGTCGCCGCCTTCCTTCAGTTTGTTCAGCGCTTCGATCGGGTCCGTGAACTTGTGCGGCGCGTCCCCGAGGACGTGCGCCTTCCACCCGCGCTCGACCATCGCCCAGTCCGCTTCGTATCGATCCATCGTGACCTTCATGCGTCCGCCGCCGGACGCGACCTTGGCGTCGCATCCCTCGAGCTTCGCGAGGTCTTCGACGAGGACGCGCATGTACTCGTGGCAGCTGTTGTCCGGGACGTCGCGACCGTCGGTGAGGACGTGCAGCCTGAGCTTCTTGCATCCGTCCGCGACCGCGCCTTGGCAGAGCTTCAGGACCTGGTCGTACCTCGAGTGCACGCCGCCGGAGGAGAGGAGCGTGATGACGTGGAGCGTGTTGTCCGCGAAAGCGGGCTTGACGTGCGCCCAACCGGCGCCGGAGTACACGCTCTTCGTTTCGAGCGCGATGTCGACGAGAGACGCGCCCTGGGCGATGATCTTTCCCGCGCCGAGGGCGTTGTGGCCGACCTGCGATCGAAGAATCGGACGAAAAGTTCGTGAGCGGGGTTTCGGAGGAATAATTACCGTCGGAGGCTCCGAGAGCGTGCGCGATCGGTCCGAGTGATGAAGACGAGGGATATCGCGCCGCTGAAGCGTACCTCGCTGTTTCCCATGTCACCATCAGTGGGGAGACCGACGGCGGGGCCGTGAGCGAGGACGGAGCGGTAGTACCCGGGGCCCTTCGCGGCGAGCGCGTCGATCGTCGGGGATTTCGCGACGTGACACGCGTTGTACTGATCCGTCACGGGGTTTTCGCCCCATCCGTCCAGGATGCACACGAGGACGGGCTTCTTCTGAGGAATCACAGGGTGAGGAGCGAGTTCCATGACGCTTGAGTGTATGCTCCAACGACGACGCGCGCGTGTAAGTCAGGGAGGACGAGCGGGACAAAGCCCTTTTCACGAGTGCACTTTTTTCGCGCCGTCGAAAACAGAAAGCGCCGCAAAATCTAAGCGCCAAGATGGCCTCGCCACGAAGCGTCGTCGGCACGTTCACGTTCGACGGGGACGAACCGCAAACGGTGCGTTGATTCGCGCGCTGTGCTCTTCGTCGTTCGATGACGACCTGACGACTCTCTCTACTCTTATCGCAGGTATCAACCGAGATCACGGGCACGGTGTCCGAATCCCTCGTCGGCTTCAGGCAACAATGCATGGAACACCTCAGCGAGTACATGAAGCTGAAGGGCGACGCGGTGAATGCGACCGAGGTTCACGCGTTCGATGACAACGAAGACGTGGAGGTGGAGGAGGATAACGTGGACATGATCCTGAAGGGCAAAGCAGGGTCGAAGAAGCAAAAGACTTGATGAAGTGCGACGCCGCCGCCGCCGACGACGACGGTGACGCGCCCAGGTCGAGTAGTACCAGTAATCTAAAGTAGCCCTTCTAAACATCAGCGAACGCGCTGTTCACAGAAGAAATCCTCCCACCGGTCGCCCTTGGGGTTCTTGTTCCCCCCCGACATCGTCTTGCTCAGCTCTTTCGCATCCGTGAAGATTTGTTCGATCGCTTCTTCTTCTTCTCTTTTCCGCTTCGCGTGCAACCTCGCCAGCGAGGGAGCGACGCCGTCTAAGAAGTCTTCGAGCTCGTTCGCGTACTTTTCCGACTCCGAATGTTCCCCCGCCACCGTGTCCTTCGTCTCGCGCTCCGGTTTCGAATCCTTCGAAGCTTCTTTCGCTTTCGCCTCGTCGTTTGCTGCGTTTTTCGCCGCGAGTTCTCGCCCTTGTTTCAGGTCCTTGTTGTCTGGCTCTACTTTCAACCCGGCGTCGTACGCGACCACAGCTTCGTGAGACTTCTCCAGCGCGAACAAGGCCGCGCCCTTGCGGAAGTAACCCTTCGCCCACTCAGGGTTGAGGAAGATCGCGTGGTCTGCCGCGGCGACGGCTTCTTCGAACCTCCCGAGTTTCGTGAGCACCGCGGCTATGTTCCCGAACAACGTGTGCAAGCCGCTCGCGAACATCACGAGCGGGCGCGCCTCTCGCTCTTTCGCGGGCTCGCGCGCGTCGTCGTCGTCATTCCCGTCTTTGTCTTCTTCATCGGGCTCGCTCGCGCGTCGTAAGATGCAGAGCTCCGCGGCTCGGACGAAGGACGTGAGCGCTTTCTCCAGATCGCCCTCCGCGAACGCTTTCTTCGCGTCGTCCTCCCGCTCCTCGCGCGTGTACATCCTCCTGTTCGAGCCCTCCCTGTACTTCGCCTGGTCCGGGTTTCCTTGGCCATTGAAGAAGCACGGCTTGTCTTGGCGTTTGTAGAACTGTAACCTTCGCTCGGTCTCCGCCTGCGACGCCTGCGTTGGTTGGAGCAGATGGACGAGGAAAGGAAGGGAAGGACACGTGAGGCCGACGTCGTCGTGGCGAGTCGCGGACGAGCTCGTCTGACGAGACGGCAGAGATCATCACGGGACGCACCTCTTTCAGCCACTCAGGCTTTGAACTCGCCATGGCGCGCCGGTCACGCTGCCGTCTCGCCTCGCGCTGTGAACTTTTGTTTGCTTTCCGCGCCTCCGGCGGTCACAAAAGCGTGTTTCGGCGTCGCGTCCACTCCACAAGCGTGAGATGCTGAGCAGCCGACCGCGCTTCAACGTCACCCCAACCACTCATCGGCACTCCCTCGGTGCTCGCCGTCATCGCTCCGTGGCCGTCTCGCGCATCAGACCTCGCACGAACGGAACATCGGTAGGCACACCTTCCATCGAACCGCGCGCGAGATCCCTAAAACCTCATCGCTGAGCTCTCTCGCCTCCGCCGGTCCCTTTTCGCAGGCTGTCATGGGCGACGCGACCGCTGCGCTTGAAAGCCTGGAGCTGAACGAGGAAAGATTCGTCGGCCTCCTTCGTAAGCTCATCGGCGAGGTCGAGAAGCTTCAGAACACCGGCGTGGGGACCGCGTACGTCCCTCAGGAGGACCTCGCCATCAAGCACGTCCTGGACGTCCTCGCGCCGCACCGCGTGGAGAACGGCGGACCGCTCGAGATCGACCACGTGACGTACGCCGAGGGAAGAGGCAATCTCATCATCAAGTACCCGGGCACGGGTACCGCGGAGGACGTCCTGAGCTTCGTCGGCAGCCACCTCGACGTCGTCCCCGCGAACCCGGACGCGTGGGACGTCGACCCGTTCTCGCTCACCGTGGACGGGGATAAGCTCTCCGGGCGAGGAACCACGGACTGCCTCGGGCACGTCGCGCTCATGACGACGCTCTTCTCGCAGATCGCGGAGTTGAAACCAAAACTGAAGACGTCGCTGACGTGCGTGTTCATCGCGAGCGAGGAGGCGTCCGGTCCGGGCATCGGCGTCGACGGGCTCGTCGCGGAGGGGAAGCTCGACCACTGCAAGCCCGGTCCCGTCGTGTGGGTTGACTGCGCGGACAGCCAGCCTTGCATAGGCACGGCGGGTGCGATCACGTGGCACCTCACCGCGACCGGGCATCGGTTCCATTCCGGTCTGCCGCACAAGGGGATCAACGGCATCGAGCTCGGCATGGAGGCGTGCGCGCGCCTTCAAGCGAAATTTTACGAAACCTTCCCTGCGTGCCAGAAGGAACGCGATTACAAGTTCATCACGCCCTCGACGATGAAACCGACGCAGATCAAGTGCGCGCCTGGGGGATTGAACCAGATCCCACCGGAGGCGACGATCAGCGGAGACGTTCGCCTCACGCCGTTCTACGAAGTCGCGAAATTAAAGCAGTGCATCGAGGACGAGGTCGCGGCGATGAACAAAGACATCGAGGCGTTGCCGACGCGCGGGCCGTGTAGTAAGTATGTCATCAACCCGGAGGGCGCCGAGCCTATCGTAGGAAGATTATCGCTCGAGTGGGGGGATCATCTTCTCACCGGGATCGCGTGTGACCTGGAGAGCCCCGCGTTCAAGCTGATGTGCGACGCCATCAACGAGGTGAAAGGGAAGGCAGAGCCGTACTCGTTGACCGGGTCGCTTCCGCTCGTGCACGAGATGCAACAGGAAGGTTTCGACATTCAGCTTATCGGGTTCGGGCTGATGTCGACGTACCACGCGGATAATGAGTACTGCTCCCTGAACGACATGAAGGATGCGGCGAAGATCCTCTCGAGGCTCATCACGAAGTTCGGATGACGGGCTACCGTAGACTTGCTTAGATGTGTGCGCGAAAATTTACGTCCACGTCACGCATCTTCTTCGTTCTTATCCTTCAACACCACGACCTTCCCTTCGCGACGTCCGTCAGAGAAGCGCGCGCGCCCGCTCCCCACGACCGAGCGCAGCACGAGGCTGATGCTCTGCACGTCCTCGTCACTCGCCCGTCCGGTCTCGACCAACGTCCTCGGACGACGAAGCCACGCAAGCGCTGGTGGGCGTGCCACGACGACGCTCCGACGTCTCCGCGTCTCGAGAACGATCGCGATGGCGACCGCGACGCTGCCGGCCGCGCCGAGCTGGGACGAGCTCAAGTCCGCGGCCGCGGGCACGGAGACGGGCATGAAGATCGCCGCGGAGGAAGAACTCCGCGCGAAAGGCGAGGGCCCGGCGCACGTCAAAGCGAAGCTGCGTTTGTTCGGCGCGAAAGAGGAGGACGTCCGATTGACGTTCTATCGCGACCACGCGGGATGGTGCCCCTACTGCCAGAAGGTGTGGATGATGATCGAGGAGAAGAAGATCCCGTGCAGAATCGAGCGGATCAACATGCGAAGCTACGGCGACAAGCCGGACTGGTTCCTGAAGAAGGTCCCGTCAGGGCTGCTCCCCGTCATCGAGCTCGACGGCGAGATGATGACGGAGTCGCTCGTGATCATGCAAGTTCTCGAGAGGGAGTTCCCGGACATCCCGATGCTTCCGGAGGGCCAGTTTGAACGCGCGAACACGCTCCTGCGCCTGGAGCGTCAGCTCTTCTCGGACTGGTGTGGGCTCGTGTTCCGACCTTCGATGCCCGGCCCGTTCGGCGGCGGCGGAAGGAAAACGTTCGAGGAGACTTTCGATAAAGTCGACGCCGCGCTCGGGGAGATGGACGGTCCGTGGTTCCTGGGCGGCGACACGCCGTCGATCGTGGACCTTCAGTACGTCTCACACATCGAGCGGATGAACGCTTCGTGCTTGTACTGGAAAGGGATGAACCTCAGAGGACAGGAGAGGTGGGCAAATATCGAAAAATGGTTTCTCGCGTTCGAGGAGAGGCCGTCGTACAAAGCGTGCAAGAGCGATTACTACACGCACGTGATGGACATACCACCGCAGTACGGACCGGGTTATTCCGACTCCGGTAAGGAGGTCGAGGACGCGCAGAGAGCGATCGACGGCGACACGACGTGGGTCCTCCCGGTGAACTTGTCCGCGAACGACCTCGAGCCGACGCCGGACTCGATGAACGCTTCCGACGAAGCCGCGAGGCACGAGGCCGCGTACATGCTCACGGCGAACGCGAAGGCGATCACAAAGTTCGCGTGCAGGGGGAAGGGGGAGAAGGGCGCGAAGCAGTTCGGCGCGCCGTTGGCGGATCCGTACGCGGTGCCAAACTTAAACTACGAGAGCAAAGTCGACGAGCTGTTGCGGGTGACGGCTTCGCTGTTACTGGACGGCACCGCGGAGCCGTCGGGAGGGAAAACGAGCCAGGACGGCGCGGACGTGGCGAAGTGTCTCGCGTATTTGCGCGACAGAATCGGTGTGCCTCGGGACATGTCCTATCCCGCTGCGATGCAGCTTCGAGCGCATCTGAACTACGTGATGGACGCCGTGTGATCTACAACGCTCTCGAGTTTGCTATAGCCTAATAATCAACCGAGCCGCGCTTCTCGCTCTAAGACTTCGCTCGTGAACTTCATGAGGATGTTCGTGCGCGGCCTCGCCTCGCCCTCGACCGGGGCGTAGTACGCGCTCACCTCCGCTTCAAACCCGGCGTCTGCTAAGACGCCTTTCACTATTCCCGCGACGAACGCGCCGCAGTTCAGATCCCCGAAGTCCTTCGGGACGCTTATGAACCGGTTCACGAGAAGATCGCGATCGCTGATGACGTACTCGTCGTCGTTGTAAATCTCCAGCGAGTCCGCGCTCTTCCCGAACAGACTCCTCCACACGTTCGTGTTGATGAACTGTAAGATCCCTTGCAGTCGGTTCTCTCGTCGATTGCTCTTGTCCCTGCACGCGAGCACCTCGAGCATCCTCGACCCCACGCCCTGCCCCGCCTCCGAGAGCTTGTTCTCCAGCTCCGCTACGCTGCTCGCTCGAGTGCGATGATACTGCACGATCTCCGAGAACAGGAACGCGAACGCGCTCAGGCTCACTTCGGTTCTCCCCTGCAAGACGACGCGAAGACGGGTGACGGGCGCGGACGCGTCAGATCGGGTCCGGGTGGTCGTGCAGCGCTCATCACGCGGCGTGCGACTCAGGGGTTCGACAAGGTGCGGACCTTGGGAAAGGGGCGGTCGATGATACTAGGGGTTGGTCCTCGCTGCATGGCGCTTTCACCGCGCCAAGCGGAGTGCACGCGCGAACGAAAACGAGCGCGAGCGGCCTCAAAACTCGTGCGCTAATTTCACGCAACCTCAGACGTTCGAAGCGCGCCGCCGCCGCCGACGCTCTTCAGCGACCTCAAGTGCACTCGGCGAACGTCACGCGAGCGTCGTGTCGCTGTTAGGAATCAACGAGACCGCTCGCTGGTCGTAGGGTAGTTCGCGATGGGGGGTATAGGAGGGAAAGGCAAAGGCGCCCGGCGGCGCGAGAAGCTGAAAGACAATGCGAAGTCGTTCGATAAGAAGACGGGGACGTTCCGGGAGCCGAAGCTCGAGCTCGTGGACGGGAAGGTTTCAAAACAGGATATGTTGAAGGCGCCGTCGTCGTTTCGGAGGTTCATGGAAGCCACGCGAAGGGCGAAGGAACAGGCGGCGAGGCGCGAGAGGCAGTACAACAAATCTCAAGGCCTCGACGTTTCGGACGACGAAGTCGACGACCCTCTCGTGAACGCCCCGGACGTGGGAACGGGCGCGAAAGCGAAGAGCAAAAACGACGCGGAAAACGAGTCGGACAAAGACACGGGCGACGACGACGCCCTCACGTGGCTCCGCCCGGACGTGGGAGGGGAAGAAGAGCCCGACGAGCTCGACGCCGCGGCGGAGCTGAGGAAGAAACGGAAAAAGCGCGCGGGCGACGAAGATGGCGCGAACGTCAAGAAGAAGTACCAGTCCCTGAGGGAACGCAAATCCGCGGCGAGGAAAGCGATGAAGGCGATGAAGGACGAGGACGAGTCGTTTATCTTCGGCAAGACCTCCGAGGCGCGCGTGGAAAAGTCACGCGGCGGCGACGTTTCGTTCGGGGAAGTCGCGGACGCGCCGCCGACGATCACGTTGAAAAGGAAGAGCGGCGGGAAGGGCGCGAAGCCGGTGCCGGTAGCGGAGTCTGGGCACAAAATAGCGGGATCGAAAGGCGCGGGGAACCGTCAGGCGCAGATCTTCCAGTCGCTCATGCGTAAGAGCGCGAAGGACGGCGGCGGGCAAAAGGCGCCGCCTGGGGTTGGTTTACGACGCGTCGCCGAGATGACAGCGCTACGGGAGCAGGTCATCTCCGGGTACCGGCAGATGAAGGGGAGGCCGAGTAATAACGGTCGGTCCGCGTCGTTAGCGACGGACCCTAGCAGACTGTTTTCAGCGGTAGGGGGCGCGACGATCCGAAGGGACGCGGGCAAGTAGGATAGACCTATAACGAGATGAACACGTTTCCCAATTAAATGCGCGAGGCGTCTTTACAAATCAGCGACTACAGGTAATAAGCGTTCGCGTCAAAATCGAGCAGATGTCTCGCGGCTATGCGTGCGTCATACCAATTGCCTAAGCCACGGGCTTCTTCATCACGATGAGGTACATCGGCGAGAAGATGCCGAGGTCGCCGCCCTTCTCAAGGTTGACGGCAGCCTTGAGGAGCATCGTGTGCACCGCCTGGGTCCCCTTCGGCGCGAAGCGCAAGAACTCGAGCACGCCGGTGAGGATGTGCGTGAGGTACGCGGCGCGGCGAGCGGACTTCATCGCCGCCTGCCACGGGACGCCGCCCGTGGTGGCGCGGTCGAACGTGTACTGCACTTCGAACCCGGCGCTCTTCGCCGCGGCGATGCAGTCTTCGATCGTGCGAACGTCGGGGAGCGCGTTGCCCTTGGCGATGCCGTCCACGACATCCACGTGAAGTTTGTTGTTCGGGTCGTACTTGTTCGTGCGAAGCCATTCGTACGACGAGAAGAGCGCGCCGGGCTTCAGCACCTTGAAGACCTGCTTGTAGATCGCCGCCGTGTCCGGGGCGTGGCACATCGCCTCGATAGAGTACGCCGCGTCGAACGTGTTCGGCTTGAAGACCTTGTGGAGGTCCATGAAATCGCCGCAGACGACGTCGGAGAGGTCCTCGATCCCCGCGGCCTTGTTCAGCAGCTTGTTGCGCTCGATCTGGTACTCGTTGATCGTGATCCCGGTCACGTGCGCGCCCGTGGCTTTGACGATGTTCCTCAACGGACCGCCGACGCCGCAGCCGAGATCGATGCACTTCATGCCAGCCTTGAGGCCGACGGTCTCCGCGATCGCGGTTTCCTGGCGGATGATGGATTTCTCGAAGGACTCGCCGACCTCGCGCGCGGCGAAGTGGAAGCTCTCGCCCCAGCCGTACTCGTAGAAATCGGTGATGAGCGAGTAGAACTTGTTCACGAACTCGGGGGTGCTGAGCTTCTTATCGCCGACGCCCTTGCCGTCTTCTTGGTTGAAGAACTCGTTGTACGAGCTGATGCCACTGTCGACGAGGTTCTTCGCCATAGCGCCGGTCTTCCCGGAGAAGACCTGGAAGGGGTTCTTCCTGAACAAAGACATCTTGACGGCGAGATACCCGCCACCGCCAACGCAGGCGGCGACGGTGATCCACTTCACCGTCGGATTCTCGAGCTTGACCATGATGTCGTCGACAATAGCCGGCGCCATGATCGTGTACTTTCCAATCAGCGGCGACCGAGAGTCGCGTTCGGGAGAGTGGCGGCCTCGACGGCGATCGCGAAGGACGCGTCTGCAAACGACCACGAAACGTTGGACTACCCGCCGATCGAGGTTCGGGCACGACGAGGGGCCAGGAGCGCTTCACGGACCATGGTATGGGCAATTAGTTACGAGTACGAGTAGATTTCGGCGAGTACGCGAAATAACGGCGGCAGCGCGGAGACGGGGAAGTTAGTTTTTCTCTGTTCGCACCCGCCTGACTCGTGCAGTCCTCGCCGCGCATGGGCGCGATGCTGAACACTCGCGCCGTCGGCGCCGCGAGGCTCGGGGCGTCGAGCGTCCGGTTCTCTGTCGGGAGGATCGCGCACCGCGTCCGACCGCTCGTCGCGACGCTCGCGAGGAGGAGGCACGCGATTGCGTCCGCGTCGAATGACCCGCCCGAAGTCGCGGTCCTCGGCGGAGGCGCCGCGGGTCTCACCGCCGCGTACTTCGCGGCGAAAGAAGGAGCGCGGGTCACGGTGTACGAGCGAACGTCCGAGGCGGGGAAGAAGATCCTCATGAGCGGCGGCGCGAGGTGCAACGTCCTCCCCGTCGCCGGCTCGGCCGCGGATTTCGTCACCGAGAGCACGCCGAGGCTGCTGAAAAACGTCCTCGCGTCGTGGAACGTGGAACGCTGCCGCGAGTGGCTCGAAGACGACGTCGGGCTCGCGCTCGGGATCGAGCACGTGACGAACAAGTACTTCCCGCTGAGTAACAGCTCGAGAGAGGTCCGGGACAAGCTCCTGCAAGCGTGCGTGAGCGAAGGCGTGAAGGTCAGATACGGCGCCTCCGTGGAGAGTTTGCGACGAACGGACGAAGGCTGGGCGCTGCGCATCCGAGACGCGAGCGAGGAGAACGTCCCCGTCGTCGTCCTCGCGATGGGGGGGCTGAGTTTCCCCGCGGTCGGGACGGACGGCACCGGGTACGCGATCGCGCGGAGGGATTTGAACCACGTCCTGAACGAGCCGTATCCGGCGCTCGTGCCGTTGACGGGCGCGCACCCGGGCGGGGAGATGATGCCGGGGGTGAGCGTGGACGTGTCCTTGGAGTGCGAGACCGTCGCCGTGGGGGACGAGAAGAGCAAGAAGAAGAAAAAGAAGAGCAAGGCGAGCCGGGAAGGTTTCCTGTTCACCCACCGCGGGTACTCCGGGCCGTCCGTGCTGGACCTGTCGCACAACGTCGTTCGCCCGCTCGCGCGTTTGGCGCGCGAGGGCGGCGCGTCCGAGAGGGACGACGAGAAGAGCGTCGACGGCACGACGCCGCTCCCGTCGCTCGTCGTGAACTGGTCGGGGGAGAGTAGAGAGATGTGGCAGACGAGGCTCACCGCGCCACCGGGGAAGGCGCTCGTCGCGACGCGGTTGCGAGACGCGCTCCCGCAACGCCTCGCGGACGCGCTCCTCGTCGAAGGCGGGATCGACAACACGTGCAAAGTCGCGGACTTACGTAAGGAGAATCGTCTCAAGTTGCTCGACGCGCTCACGCGATACACGATCCCCGTGGACGGGCATCAAGGGTATAGAAAAGCCGAGGTCACCGGCGGCGGCGTCGCCTTGGACGAGATCGACACGAAGTCGATGCAGTCGCTGGCGTCCCCCGGGGTGTTCTTCTGCGGTGAAGTGTGCGACGTGTTCGGTCGCATCGGGGGGTTCAACTTTTTGTGGGCGTGGACGAGCGGGCGGTTAGCGGGGATGAGCGCGGCGAGGAAGGTCCTGGACGGGACGCGAACGGTGGCGTAGCCGAATAGCGTGTGTGTGCACATACTTATCCAAAAAATTATTCCTCCGAAGCCGGCGGCCCCGAGGACACTTTCACCATCGCAGCCCGGACGAGCTGGTCTTCGCCCATCTTGTAGCCCTTCCTGAACTCCTCGGAGATCGTGTCTTCCGGGTGCTCTTCGCTCTCCTCGCGCATGATCGCCTCGTGGAAGTTCGGGTCGAACGGCGACCCGACCCCGGCCACGGTGCTGAGCCCTTGCGCGGAGAGGATCGTCATCAAACCGTCGACCAACCCTTCGTACGACTTCGCGATCTTCTCCTCCCCCTCGTTCTCCGTCTTTAAGTTCGCTTTCGCTAAGTCGAAGTTATCGAGCGCGGGAAGCATCGCTTCGAACACCCGGCTCTTCGCGTTCGTCGCCAGCTGCTCTTTTTCTTTGATCGTCCTCTTCTTGAAGTTGTCGAAGTCCGCGTTGAGCCTGAGGTACTGGTCCTTCAGCGCCCCGGTCTGATCTTCCAGACCCACGTTCGCGGCCTGGAGGTCCTTGAACGCGGTCTCGATCGCCTTGACCTCGGCCGCGAGCTCGGCGAGCTCCGGCGCGTCCATCGACTCCTCGAGCTTCGCGATGAGTTCCTCGCATTTGCTCGGCGGGGGGGGCGCGGATCCCTCATCCTCGTCGTCCTCGTCCTCGTCCTCGTCGTCGTCCACGACCTCGACCTCGGCCTCTGCCTCTCTTCTCTGGTTTTCTTCATCGTCCTCCTCGCCCTGGGATTGAGAGAGAATTGAGAACGTCAGTTGCCGGCGCGCGGGGTTGGGTGGATAACATAAACACGATTAAGAAGGCACGTCGCGTCGCCACTGCCCTAAACCCTCCGTGGCGACGATACCGGCGACTCCGAGGGGATGGCGAACACGAACGCACCTCACCGCCCGCCGCTCTTACGATGAGACGGGAAGATGACTTCCTCACGGTTGGAATCTTCGCGAGGCATCGCTCGTTCCGGGACTTGGACGCGAAAGCCGGCGTCGGCGTCTGTCGGCGGATGGGAACTCCTTTCGTCGATTCGCGACCGACGTTCGCGCGAGGCGCGACCGCCTTCGCGCCGAGCGCGAGGGTGGTGAAGACCATCTGATTACGTCGCGTACTAGGTTCGGAAGTGTTTAGGGCGTTGCGCGCGTTTCAGCGGGCACGTGCGGTCGCGTCGACGCGTGGTGCTCTGCCTCCGGATCGACCGAAGACGTCGCTTTGTGTGTGGCTTCGGAAAACTTCCACGACCGCGACCGCTCGCAGGACTGCGAACGTCGTTCGCGGGAAAAGTGCATTCGATTGATTAAGCTCCTCGAGGACGTCGTCCGCGCTCGCAGGACTCCATCGACGTTCTGTTATTCATCGTCACGCTACATATTGTCTACGCTATCTACCCACACACGACGACCGCGCCGTCGTCACGTCCGTCGCCGCGTCACGTGGTCGTACAGCACGACCTGCGTGTACTCCGTCGTGACGACGTCGAACCGCGTGCTGTTGTCCCCGGGACGCGCCTTCGGGTCGACGTTTATGATTTTCCTATCGCGCTTGTTCTTAAACAGCAGACCGTTTTCGTTGTCCGCGATGACTTGGAAGTTCGGCGTCGGGTTCGACGTCGACGTCTGCGTCTCCCAGTTGAAGAACGACAAGTCCGACGCTTTCGGGAGGAACCGCCGCTTACGATCGAACACTGGCTCTAAGTTTTCCGTCTTGAGCCTGTGCGCGAAGTCGATGTACCCGGAGATCTCTTGCTTCTTCGAGTTCCGGTCGCGGATGAACACGATCGTCGTGAGTTTTCCGTTCCTCACCGCCTCCTCACGCTGCGCTAAAGCCTGTGAATACGAAGATAACGCGGAGGGAACGTCAGGGACGGCGTCTGGTAAAACGAACGCGGACAATTAAGAAAATGGAAGCTCGGTCGTTCGCGCGGCGCACCGTCAAGAGCGGGTATCCCTCCAGATCCTTCCCCGCGGACGCGAGCTTCTTCGGGCGTTTATTCGCCCGCTGTTTCTTCGCGATCTCGTGCGCTTCTTTCCTGACGTCGAACTCGTCCCGCCGCAGGAGCTCGCCGTTGCCTCGGTACCCCAGCTCCACGAGCTGCCTCGCGAGCTCGACGTCTTCGAGGTAGTACAGATCCGTCGGCGTGATCTGCTTGTCGAGGTAGTCCTCGTACGTGTCGAACTCCTCCATGAGCGCGTCCACGGGTTCGTCGTCTTCGTCGTCCATCGTGCTCGGTGGACGCGAACGCGCGCGGGTCAAGGTCGTCCTCCGCCGCGTCGACGCAGCCAAAAGCGGTTTGGCTTCCCGGTTTGGTCGGGATCGGACGACGGCGCGTCCCCTCGCGTGCTCCTCGCGTCCGCGGCGCTGTCCCGTCGAACGAGTACGACGCCTGCCCGGCCGCGGACGGTGATACCCCGACGCTCACGGACCGCAGATGTCGTGCGGATGCGCGCGGTTGTGAGGGGAACGGTTTGGGGATTGTTGCTGAGGACAGTTCTTCTTCGGTCGGTCTCTCGGTCGTCATCATCACGCCGGACGGCAGTACAGTACGCCGAAATGTATTCGTTTCTATGGGCAATTGCACTGGACGAGAGTCTTGTAGTTTTCTTTCGGGCGGTTCGAGAAACGAGCGGCTTAGATATCTCGCGCAGTAATCGACGGAGCGCCGAGCTCCAGGGCGTGGGCGAACGGACGTGCAACGAACACGCGCGAAGCTCGTAAATCGAGCCCGCGCGCACGTGCGCACACTCAGCGACATGGCGTCTTTCGCCGTCGCTTCGACGATCGCAGCCCCCCGCGCGCCGTCGTGCGTCGGCAGAAACCGAGGGGACCGCACGATCGGGGAAACCGCGGAGAGCCGCGGGGGAAGCGGCGGAGGGTCGCTTCGCGCGGGACCGATAGGTTCGTCGCGCGATCGCCGTCGCGGCATCGTGCGACGCGCGCTCGCGGATCCGGGGACGAAGGTAGCGGGAGGCGCGGGGGAGGAGGAATTGGGGGAAGTCCTGATCGAACTCAAGAACGTGAAGAAGAAATTTGGCAAAAAGGTTGTCCTCGACGGCGCGAGCTTTAAGATCCGTCGAGGCGAGGCGGTCGGGATCATAGGATCGTCCGGAACGGGGAAGAGCACGATATTGAGGATCATGGCCGGCTTACTAGCGCCGGACGAGGGCGAGGTGATGATACGGGGAAGGCCGCGCGCCGGGCTGTTATCGGACGAGAAGAATCCAAATCTGAAAGTAGGCATGGTGTTTCAGTCCGCGGCGCTGTTCGACTCCCTGACCGTGGGCGAGAATGTCGGGTTCAAGCTGTACGAGCACAGCGATTTGCCGGAGGAGGACATCAAGAAGCTGATAGACGAGTCCCTGAACCAGGTCGGGTTAGCCGGCGTCCAGGACCGATACCCCGCGCAGTTGAGCGGCGGGATGAAGAAACGCGCCGCGCTCGCGAGGGCGATCATCAAAGAGGACGTCTCGGACATCAAAGACGACGCCCTCGAGGAAGTCGTGATGTACGACGAGCCGACCGCGGGTTTAGACCCGGTTGCGAGCACGGTCGTGGAGGACTTGATGAGAAACTTGCACACCGGGACGAAGAAAAAATCCGGGAGCGATCGCGGCGGCGTCGCGTCTTACATCGTCGTGACGCACCAGCACAGCACGATACGACGCGCGGTGGACAGGCTGATCTTCTTACACGGTGGGAAGGTCGTGTGGGAGGGGAGCTCCGAGGAGTTCGACACGACGGACGAGCCGATTGTTCGCCAGTTCGCGACGGGGGCGCTGAAAGGGCCGATCGTGTATTGAGTATTGAGCGTTGGTGAAAACGATTCATGAAATCGATTCGACATAGCGTAGTTGGTAATGGAGATGTTCCCCTCTCTTACGTGTACTGTACGTGTACGTAACTCCCTTCCCTCGTCGTGGACGTTCGTCGGCAAGGTTCACTTCCGCTTCATCACGCCCTTGGATTTCTTCCCCAAACCGTTACCACCCTTGCCCTTGCCCTTCTCCTGCTCCTTCCTCTTCCCGGTCGTCGAGGACTTCACGGTCACCGCGCCGAAGAACGACTCGAGTCTGTTCTGGCTGCTCTTCCCCTTCGCCGCCTTGAGCTTCTTCAACGTATTCCGCACGCGCTCCTCCCCGAACTGCTTCTCCCCGACGAGAAACGCGACGATGCCTTCCTCGTCCGGCGCCGTCCACTTCAGCTCTAGACCGTCCGTGTTCACGACGTCCGGGTGCTTGAAGAGCTCTCGGGCTTCTTTGTACGGCCAGTCTTCGGGGACCGGGTACTTCTCCGTGTCCAGGTGTTGCAGCAGCGTCTCGATGTTCCCGTGCTTCTTGATGAGCGACACCGCTTTCACCGGCCCGACGCCTTTGATGCTGTCGCAGTAATCGCACCCGCACAAGATGCACACGTCGATGAACTGCTCCCACGTCATATCGAGCTCGGTGAGGATCTTTTCGTAGTCGAACTCCAAGATCGGCTTCCCTTGCGACGCCGGGGACATCAAGTTCCTCGCGAGCTTCGGGCACGCGAAGCAGAGCGTGTCCATGTCCTCTGACGCCGCGGCGTACACCAACCCGGCTTTGCACAGCGCCGCGCAGGACGCCTCCGCCTCGCACGGGGCTTCGAACACGGGGAGGCCCATCAAACGCGCGAGCTGCATGACCTCCTGGGACTGCTGCCTCGTCACGCGCACAGTGCGCTTGGACATCTTCTCGATCTCTTCCTGGTCGCCGGCTTCTTTCGCTTTAGCGAGCGCGGCTTCGGCTTCGTCGCGCTTGTCCTTTCGCTTCGCGAGCTCGCCGCCTTTCATCGTCGGCGGCTTCCCGTCGAACACGTACACGGGCTTGATCCCGGCTTCTAACATCCGGCACGTGCGCATGAACATCCCTTGAAGGTGGGACGTCACCTCGCCCGCGTCGTTCGTCAGCGTCTGGTCGCCCTGTCGCCCGATGACCATCATGAACTGGTAGATGTGCATCGACGCGTCGATGGCGACCTTCCGGTCGAGGTAGCTCTCGAACTTCTGCTCCCGCATGCACCCGGGGGCGTGGTCGCTAAGCAGCTTCGTCAAGCCTTTGATTCCCATGTCTCCCGTTTGCTCGAAGGCGACGGCGCGAGGAGATCTGGCAACCTCGTCGTTTTCAAACACAGCAACTAACTCTGTTTGCCGGGCCAGCATCCGCGGTCGGTTTTTATCGGTGGGGTGGTCCCCGGCTGCACGCTGCGGTCGGTCCTTTCGCGCCGCCGGGTAACCTAATTGTTGCACTTCCGCCGGGGTTGCCCACCCTCGCCGAGCCACTTTCGACGAGACTCGTGAGGTGAAACACCTCTCTTACGTAGTTCGACGTTCGTTGATACGGTTGTTTCGCGCTAAGTGACTTTTTCTGGCTCGTGAGCCAGCCCTGCGCGGCGACGGGAGACCTCCTCTTTCGAACGCGCTTTTTGCCTTCAGTTTCGGATAGCAATCGCGTCAACACACATTCGCGATGGCCGCGATCGCGTCTCTGAACGCGGCGCAGCTCAGCGCGACTCGCTCGCTCGGAGGCGCTCGCGTGAGACGCTCGACGTATAATGCCGCGACGGCGCCGAACAAACCGCGAAGGACCGCGCTCAAGGTCGACGCCCTCGGCGCCAGCGGCCGCGGCGGCTGGGGGATCGCGCGCGAAGAGAGCAACGGTCTCACGCGGCGGCGCTTCTCCGCGCGCACGCGAAGGACGGACGTCGTCGTCCCCTCGTCCACGGGCGACGCCGCGGCGGCGCCGTCCCCGGAAGGTTCTTCCGGCGGTTCTTCCCCCGCGCCGTCGCCGAAGCTCGACCCGCTCGCGACGTTCGTTCGCGGCTGTCGAAGACGATTAGCCGCGGATCCGAATTTTCCCTTCAAAATCTGCGCGGAGGTCGGCTTGGACGAGGTCATCACCGCGGTCGTGAACATCGGAGTGAGGGGCAATCCGCTCATGTGGGACATTGGGGAGAAGTTGCAGGTGATCTGCCAGATGCTCACCGCGGGGATCAACGACGTGATCTTAGTGTACTGCCTCGCGCCGGTGAAGATGGAGGATGGCTCCGCCGGCTCCGTCCCGGCGAAGCAAGACCTCGCGCACATGTTTCAGGAAGGGGATTACTCGTTGGGCGAGCGATTGATGTGCTGGGTGAACAAAGCGAAGTTCTACGCCTCCGTCGGTGGGATCTCGTGCATGATCTCTACGTATCTCGCGCTTTTATGCAGCGGGCAGACGAACTTGATCTGCAAGGATTATCTCCTCCGCGCGCTCGCGACGGGGGCGCTGCACTTTGGCCTGAGCGCGAACACGCGGTACCAGTGCGTGAACGGCATCGAGCGGGTGCTCTATAAAATTTTGCCCCAGAACGTCGCGAGAGGGTCCAGCGTGCTCTTGAGGTTGGGTAACAACTTCTTAGGCGCGCGGCTGTGGATGGTGATGGCGTCTGTCACCGGGTGGGCGGCTGCGGGCTAATTTCGATTCGTTACCTGCCTGCCAGGTGGAAGATGACGCCCTCGATGCGGCGTCATCGTGTTGTAAGAGTACAGTACACGTAGATACCTACATAATAACTAGTAAAGTCTATATTTCTAACATCAATCGAAAAGATTGAACGCGTCTTCGGATGGCGACTCGACTTTTCGGCGCTTGCTCTCTGCGTCAGTCGCGTTCCCGTGCTGCTCCAAGTACCTCTCGCAGCCTGATATGATCGCGCGTTCGGAATCGAGGAGGATCGACAAGCTCGACTTCCACGTCGCCGTCTCGTCGCCGTCGTGTGGTAAACTCACGTACATCCCCCGCCTTCGTCGTAAAGTTTCCAATATTATCCCGAGCGCGCTCTCGTCCTTCAATCCGCCTCGAGCGCCGCTCTCTATCGTCTCTTTGAGAGCAGCCGCGATGGACGTCTCGTCTCCCCCCGTCTTGACGGCGCGTACGGCGTCGAATCGGTCGTCCGTGGACGCGAGGACCCACGACACGAGGAGGAGCACGTCCGGGGGATCCGCGCCGAGACGCAACTCAAACGTGGTTTCGTCGTCGCACAACCCGATGGCGTCGCACCACGCCAGACGAGTCGCGATCTGAGCTCCGCTCACGCCGCGCAACGCCGCCGCCGCTCGAAGCGCCGGAACACCGATCGTGACCTTATCCGCCGGGTTATCCAATTGCGCGAACCCGTACGAGCACAGAAGCTTCGCGTTCCCGAGCTTGCCGTACGTGTTGAACACCTCCTCCCCGGCTTTCGACGCCTTCACGACGCGCACAAACAACGCGTCGTCGTCGCTCCCCTCGTCTCTCTCTGACACCGCCGCGGTGCCTCGCGCGTCCGACAAGTACACGTGGTGACCGCCCGTTCGGTGATTAAACAAGTCCGCGATCGGGACCAAACCCGCGCCGACGCGCGGGTTCACCGTGAACGCTCTCGAGGACGCGACCGAACGCGCGGCGAGGAAGTCGTCGAAGCCGACGTCTTTCGCCGCGCCGCGAAGGGTGTCGAGAACCGGTTTGACGTGCCGCGTCCACTCCGTCCGCGCGGCCGCGCGCTCGTCCCGGAGCGACTGTTCGATGTCCGTGCCGCACAGGTACCGTCGCCGCTCGCCGTCCTCGGACCACATCATCACGACGTCCGGCTCGGAGTGCGGCAACGAGTCGAGGTACGCGTTCCAACGAGACGAGCTCCCGAGGGTTCGCTCGAGGACGAGCGCGGTCCCGAGCGAGGCGAGCCACTCGTCCTCGCCGGCCGAGAGTTTGACCTTCCTCACCGCGTCCGCGTGCGCGCAGTTTTCGCACGTGAAGCACGCGGAGGACGGGATGCGTGCGACGCTCTCGCCGATCTCGATGTCGCGTTTCGCTTTAACCCCGACCCGCGGCGCGTCCTCGCCGCCTCCTTCGTCGATGCGCGACCCGAGCTCGATCGCGTCTTCGTTCCACCAGAACCCATTCGAGCGCAGCCACGTCTTGAACGCCTCCATCGGCGGTCACGCGACGCCCCGCGCCCTCTCGGGCGCCGGTGCGCCGTGGAAATAACAACAGAATGCCGAAAAGCGAACGACTCCAGTCAGACGCGAAGCGACGTTTCGACCGAGGAAAATATCAAGGGCTCGATCTCGGTCCGCGGCGCGTCACAACCCACGGCACTCGATCGCGCCGCGAGTCTCACCCGCGGGAAGATTGATCAAGACTCGTCACCATGGCGGGGATCCTAGCCGGTGCGTCGTATTTCCGTCCCTCGCGCGGCGCGCGCGTCTTCTACCCAACGCGCGTAATTGCCATTTATTTATTTCCTTGCGTGTTCTCGTTCTGACTCACCTCGCTTTCGCCTCGTTCCAGCGGATCGCGGTGCGCTGATGATGAAGGTTTACCACGCGTCGGGTGTCGCGTTAGCAGGTGAGATGCGAACCCCACGGATCAAGCCGGCGCGATCGTTCGCGAGAGAGACGTCCACCCACAACTCGCGCGTCCTAACGCCACGATCGCACGACGACTGACGTGTCCCTTCGTTCGTCGTTTCCACAGGCTTAGTACCGTTGGCCACGGTCATCCCGGGAGGCGTTCTCCCCATCGACTTGGCGCTCGGTGTCGTGATGCCGGTGCACTCGCACATCGCGCTCAACTTTGTGAGTATTCCTCTTCCTTTCCCCTCCGCACCAGGGCGCGCGTCTGGATTTAGGGTTGAGCACTTTGGTTTCGACCAGACAACTGACGTCTTTCCCTCCCCATCTGATCCTCTCAGGTCATCTCTGATTACGTTCCCAAGGCGCAGCGCCTTCCCGCGCGAGCGGGCTTGTTGGGGGTCACGTGCATGACCATCGCGGGGTTGTTAAAACTCAACACGCAGGGCGAGGGTATCACGAGGACGGCGAAGAGACTTTGGAAAAAGCCGGAGGACCCGTTTAATTGAATTGATCCTCGTAACCCTCGCTCTTCTTGAAAGCGCGCGCGCGCTTCGATCGTTATAAAGTGATGCGTATCAATATTTTAACGCTTTGTCCGTAAGACAGACGGCTATGTTTCAGCCGCAAATAATAGTCCCCTCTCACACCTCGATCGACCAAGGGTGCGGGATCTCCCCGTACTGGATACCGTACAGCTCGTTCGTCAACCTCAGCTGAAAAGAACCCGGGGTGAACGCCTCTTTCGGTACCTCGTAAACTTTCTCGCGGTAGGCGATCGAGCCGATCGGCTGAATCACCGCCGCCGTGCCGGTGCCGAATATCTCGTACACCTCCCCTCTCTCGAACGCCGCGGCGACCTCGCGGAACGGCAGCATCCGCTCGACGACGCCGAACTCCCCCCACTCCTTCGCGAGATCGATCACGGACTGCCTCGTGACCCCGGGTAAGATCGTACCGTCGTCGAGCGTCGGGGTGACGAGTTCCTTCACCCCCTCGGTGTTCGTCCACAGGAAGAAGATGTTCATCGTCCCCGCCTCGGTGACGTACTCCTCGACGTCGTACACGTACAGACTCTGCGACGCCCCGCCTTGCGAGGCTTCTCTCTGCGAGATCACCGTGCTGCCGTAGTTCCCTCCGTATTTGATGTTCCCCGTCCCCCCCGGCCAGGCGCGTATGTACTTCCCGTCGACGCTCAACTTGATCGGGACGAACCCGGACTTGAAGTACGGCCCGACCGGGGACATCAACACCAGGATCATCGCCTCCGAGCACTGCGTCAACCCGAGCCACGGCGTCGTGGAGAAGATGACCGGCCGGAGGTACATCGAGTACCCGCGTCGCTTTGGGATCCATTCTTTGTCCACGCGCAGGAGCTCTTTGATGCACTCCAGGAGCTGTTCGCCGTTGAAGTTCGGCAGGCACAGCCGCGAGGACGACTCGTTGAACCGCTTCATGTTCATCTCCGGCCGGAACAGCCGCGTGTTCCCTTCGCGATCCACGTACGCCTTCATGCCTTCGTAGCACTCTATCGCGTAGTGGAAGACGTGCGAGAACGGATGAAGGCTAACGCTCGTCGCCGCGACGATCTTCGGCATCCCCCATCCTTTACCCGCGCGCCACTTGATCTGCAGCATGTGATCCGTGATCTCCTTCCCGAAGCCGAGCTGCTCGTCCGGGCACTTCTCGCGCGGTTTCGACGTGTACTCCACCTTGAGGTTCGAGAAATCTATGTCCGCCAAAGGTCGCTGGGAGGAGGGCGACGGCATCGCGACCCGAGCTCTGGGTTCCTCGCGTCCTACGCGCGACACGTGCGATTACCACTCCTCACGACGCGCTCGGAGTGGTGATCGTTGGGCCTCGGTGCGAACGCGACGCGCTGCGGTGAGTCGGGGCGAAAGGAACATTCCGCCCGCCTTTGACCGCTGCGTGAAGAGCTGGACGCCGAAAGCACCTGAAAGCCCGAACCGGCCGCCCTAAAAACTTGAGCGCGTGGCGCCGCCGGCGGCGGCACTGAGCGCGACGCGTCGCACGCGATGAGTCGACCGCGGTCAGCCGCGGTCGCGCTCGCGCGCCGACTCGCGCGGATGAACGCCCCGAGCGCGTTCAGGTGTCTGCAAGGCTCCGCCGCGCCGTGGCTCCCGCGCGCGTCCGCCGCGGCGGTGCGACGAGACCCGCGAGAGTCAGATCTCTCCGAGACGACATTAACCTTCAGCCTCCGAGACGACGCGGGGAACGACGCGGCGCGGAGCCCGATGCACGAGTACCGCGCGCGCGTGCGCGCCGGTCGTCTTCGCGACGGCGACGCGCCGCAGACCGAGGCCCTGCGCGCGCTGCAGACGCTCCGGGACCGCCTCGTGTCGGACCCGCCGGGGTCGGCGAAGAAGACGTCGAGAAGCTTCTCGAAGGACGTCGCGACGACGAACGTCGTCCAGGGCGTGTACCTCCACGGCGGCGTCGGCCGAGGGAAGACGATGCTCATGGACATCTTTCACAGCACTTTGCCGCCGAATCTGAAAGCGATGACGCGCCGCGTGCACTTCCACGAGTTCATGCACGAGATCCACGGAAGGCTCCACGCGTTGCGAAGCGGCGGCGCGGACCCGCTCGCCGTCGTCGCCGCCGCCGTGCGCGAGGAGTCCCCGATCGTGTGCTTCGACGAGGTCGAGATCGTGGACGTCGCGGACGCGATGGTCGTTAAGCGCCTGTTCGAGCGCGTCTTCCAGCTCGGCGGCGTCCTCGTCGCGACGTCAAACGCGGCGCCCGAGAAGTTGTACGAAGGCGGGATCAACCGCGCCGCGTTCGCGCCGTTCGTCGACGACCTCAACGCGCGGTGTCTGGTCGTGAGCTTAGACGACGAGAAGAAAAAAGTCAGAGGCGTGGACTACAGGGTCGAAGGGTCGGTCTCCGCGAACGCCGCGAGCGCGGGAAAGACCGTGACGGGCGCTTCCGAGTCCGTCCTCGCGTTCGGCGACCGCGGCGGCGACGCCGCCGTCGAACGCGCGTGGAACGAGGCCGCCGCGCTCGCGTCGAGAGGGACAGCGCCGGAGCCGACCGCGACGCGCGTCTCCGTGCCTGTCGCGTCTAGGAGATTCCTGACCGTCCCGAAGATCAAGGGCACGTGCGCGATGTTCGACTTTGAATCCCTGTGCGGCGCGAAAAGTCTCCTCGGCGCGTCGGATTACGTCGCGTTGTGCTCGCGGTTCGACGCGCTCGCGGTGACGAACGTCCCGACGTTCTCCACGCACAACGAAAACGAGGCGAGGCGGTTCATTAACTTGATCGACGTGATGTACGAGCGGCGGACGCTCCTCGTCGCGTCGCTCGCGTCTTCCCCCGCGTCGTTGTTCCGCGGCGAGGGCGACGCGGATGACGCCGAGGAGGAGGAGGAGGAGAGCGCGCGAGCCGAGACGACGGGGGACGTCGCAGCGGCGACGCGGCGACGCGCGCGCAGGGAAGGCGAACGGAGCGGCGTGAACGCGACCGTGAACGACGAGGGCGGGAGCAGCGGCCGGTCCACGACGATGATAGGCTCCATGGAGTGGTCCGCGACCGGACGCTCGGGGGCGTCGCTCGCGGACCTTCAACGCGTCAACTTTACGTTTCGAGCGAGCGAAAGGTGCGCGTCGCGACTCGCGGAGATGGCGAGCAAGGCGTACGAGGCCGCGTGGGTCAGTCGCGTGACGGAGAGATAGGTTAGGTAGAGGGTATAGTTAGACGACGTCGTTTGTGATGGATGATACGCGGGAGACCTCGTGTGCGCGACGCTCGAAGCCGCGGCGGAGCGCGCGTCTGAAGCGCGAAATATCGCCTCACAAGTTGTGCAAATCGAGATTGCGGCCAGGCTCCCCGCCCGCCGCGTGCCGTGCCTGGCTTTATCCGACGACGATTCCGATTTATAGCGCCTCGACCTCGACCGCTCCCGTCACTTGCACGGCGCACGAGGTGTTCACGTTTTCAGCGCGAAGACGCGAACGCCACCAACACGACCGATCGACGCGGGCTTGAAGCTTAGCCCCTCGCGCTCGTAAGATCCCACCGAGAACGGGACGCGCGTCGACGAAACGTGGAAAATGCAGTCTTCGATGACGATTAATTCTGCCGCCGCGCTCGGAGGCCGGGCGCTGTCGTCCCGGCACAAATGCGCCGCCGCGCTCGCGCCGAAGAGGTCCCGCTTCACCACGCGCACGCGCACGGCCGCGATGCCCGTCGTTCAAGCGAACAGCGCGACGATCAAGGTCATCGGCTGCGGAGGCGGTGGCGGAAACGCCGTGAACCGAATGATCAAGAGCGGGATCCAAGGCGTGGAGTTCTGGAGCTTAAACACGGACGCGCAGGCACTCGTCCAGAGCGAGGCGGACAACCGCATTCAGATCGGTAGGGACACCACGCGCGGTCTCGGCACGGGGGGGAACCCCGAGCTCGGGAGAGCCGCGGCGGAGGAATCCATCAACGAGATCACCGAAGCCGTCGCCGGCGCGGACCTGGTGTTCATCACCGCCGGCATGGGCGGCGGGACCGGGTCCGGGTCCGCCCCGGTCGTCGCGCGCATCGCGAAAGACGCGGGGACGCTCACCGTCGGCGTCGTGACGCAGCCGTTCTCGTTCGAGGGACGGCGTCGACAGGAGCAGGCCAAGGCGTACATCGAACAGATGCGCGCGAACGTGGACACCCTGATCGTCATCCCGAACGACCGCCTTCTCGACGCGGTGAAGACGAACACGCCGCTGCAGCAGGCGTTCTTACTCGCGGACGACGTACTGAGGCAGGGCGTGCAGGGCATCTCGGACATCATCACGATTTCCGGTCTCGTGAATGTCGATTTCGCGGACGTCTCCACGGTGATGCGAGACAGCGGCACCGCGATGCTCGGCGTCGGTCAAGCGCAGGGCACGGACCGCGCGGTGGAGGCGGCGATGGCTGCGATTTCCATGCCGCTCATCGAGCACTCGATCGACTTGTGCTCCGGGATCGTGTTCAACATCACGGGAGGAAAGGACTTATCGCTGCAGGAGGTCAGCGCCGTGAGCGACGTCGTGACGTCGATGGCGGCGCCGGACGCGAACATCATCTTCGGCGCGGTCGTGGACGAGAACTTCACGGACGGCATCGCGGTGACGATCATCGCGACCGGGTTCGATCTCCCGGAGGAGAACCAACCGCCCCCGCGGGGGCAGAGGCGCGGCGACGGCGGGCAATTTCCGCCTCCGCCCCCGCAGAACGTCGGGGCGGCGTTGCCGTGGAACCAGAGGGGCGGGGGGGCGTCTCCGCCGAGAGGAGGCGGCAGCTGGTTGAACCGACGCTAAGACTTCACCGTGTGCATTGTAACGTATACGCATTCTCATTCTCACATCTCGTTTGCTAGGAATCGCGAGTCTTTGAATCGTTTCTCTCCGCGCCCTCATCCTTCCTCATCACTGCTCCGCGTCTTTCCGAAGCCACTTCCTCTTCTTCTCGCTCGTCAACATCCCGATGAGCTTATTCAACCACATCAAGTTCAGAAGAAACCCGCTGACGCACAAGAACGACAGCCCGTACCTGACGACCACCGGTATGTTCGCGTTCACAGCCGCCCTGCCGAACCAACACACCTTCGCTAAACCGATCAGCGCCCACGCGTACCCGAGGCACCGCACCAACACGAACGTCACGAAAAACATCGACGCGACGACGTACTCCATCCGATGCGCGGCCACTTGCCCGCGGCTCTTCATCCCGAACGCCCTCGCGACGTTGTCCAACAACGGCTGCGTGTACTCGATATCTTTCATCGCTCGGATGAAGTACCGCGTCGAGAGAAACGGCGTCGACGTCTCGCACGTGCACAGCCACCCCAACATGAGCGGGTACGCGCCGTAAGCGTACGCCCCCGCGGCGGCGACGAGGAACCCGACGTGATGCGCGAACATGTCCGCCCCTCCTAGGTCCGGGAACTGAAGAATCAGGTGGAACATGTCGTACATCACGTACGTGAAGAACGCCATCGTCGCGAGCTCGACGAATCCGACGAATCGGACGTCGCCGCTGGCGTACAACCACGCGCGATCCGCGATGTCCGCGCCCTCGAGCGTCAGCACGATCCTCCACCCGGCCCACGCGAGGAAGAACGCGTGGACGTACGACACGATGTACGACGGCGCGCACTTCTTGAACAATCTCTCGTGCGGCGTCTTCGCGGGCATCGCGCTGAAGAGCCATTGGAATACTTGGAACTGCGCTTCCCAGAAGAGCGTCCCGGCGAGGACCTTCAGCCCGACGGCGATCATCCTCCGCCGAACGCCGGAGGATACGCGCTATCTAACCCCCCGCGCGCGCGTCAGACGTGACCTCGCGCGAGCACCTCGCGACGGCCCGCGTCCCTTCAGATGGCGCGCGAAATTATTTGAGTGAGGACAGGATATCCCGAGGAGAGCTCGCGCTCGCGGTCGGGCGGGATCACGGGAATCTACAGTATCGTCGGTACAGTACGCGAATCGCGTAGGGCTATGTGCAAACACCGTGACTTTTTCCAAATCTTCTACCGCGTCGGGAGCGGCCGTCGACGTCGACACCACTACATCTCCACGGAACGTGTCGAGCTGGCGCGTCCCTCGGCACTCTCCGCGGCGACGTCGAGACGCGCGCGCAACTCGAGATGATGGCATCGTGCATCGCGCGGGTGGGAACCACCCGTGCGCTAGTCCACAGCCCTCGCGCTGGGGTCGCGAGCGAGCGCGCGAACGGAGGCGCGCGCGTGACCGCGCGCGGCGTCGCGAAGAGATGGGCGGACGCCGTTTCGATCGTCGGTCGCGGAAGGACCGCTGTCGCCCGCGCCGAGGGCGAAGGCAGCAAGAAGGACGACACGCTCTCGAGCCTCGCCGCGATTTTAGGCGAGGACGCGGAGGCGGAGGCCGCGGCGGCGAAGGCGGAGGAGGAGAAGATCGAGCGCGAGCTCGCGGCCGCGAAGAAGGAGAGAGACGCCGCGTTGGCCTCCCGCGCGGCGAACAAGGACAAGCCCGCGCCGGTCGTCAACCGCGCGGCGATGTCGAGCATGGACGACGAGGACGGCGACGCGACCGCCGCGCAGCGAGGCCTCGCGGCGCTGTCGTACCTCCTCCCCCTCCTCGACGGCCTGAAGTACTCGAAGTTTCTTCTCCTGCAGTTCCCGCTGTTCACGCTCGCGCTGCTGCCGTTGAAGCCCGCGATCGATCTGTGGTTCTCATTAGGGTTCCTTCAGATCATCGCGTTCTTCGCGCTGTACCTCGGCGTCGTGCAGAACCAGGCGATGCCCAAGTTCGTGCGGTTCAACGCGCAGCAGGCGATCTTGTTGGACATCCTCCTCATCGTCCCAGACGTCCTCGCGAGGCTCGCGTCCGGGCTCGGCGGCGACGACGCGATGCTCACGGGCGGTCCAGGACTGGAGGCGCAGGTGTTGATGTACAACACCGTGTTCTTGTACGTGTATCTCACCTCCGTCGTGGGCGCGGGGGCGAGCGGCCTCGGGAAGTCGGTGAAACTGCCGATCGTCGGCGACGCCGCGGAGTCCCAAATTAACATGCGCCCGTGATGACCGAGCGTCGCGCCGAGAACCGCGGCGGCAGCCTGTACGTGTACTTTGAAATTTAATACGAAAGATGACGCGCTATAAAACTACACCTCGACCTGACGCTTTGCTTTCTTTTCCGCCATCCTATTCCGCGCCGCGCCCTTGCTGCGATCCCGCCCCGCGGGTTTCTCGTCCTTCATGAACGACACCGTGCCGCGCGGCGTCTTTTTCCCGCCGCCGCGTTTCGCCTTCACGGCGTCGCGATGAAAGACGCCTTGACCGGTACCGCTTCGTTTCCTCCCGCCCGCGCCGCCTTCCTTCGCGCTCGGCTTCGCGTTCTTGTCGCCCTTATCCCCGCGCACGTCCGCGAGCACGGCGTCCCAGGACAGGCCGCCGTCGCCGTACCCGTCGCTGTCGTCGCCGCTGTCGTCCCCGTCCGCGGCGATCTCGTCGTCCTCGTCGTCGCTCGCAAACTTCGCGAGCGCGGCGTCGTTCAGCCCGGGGCCGTCGTCGTCGGAAAGCGGGACGTCATCCGATCCGGACTCCGCGCCGTCGTCGTCGCTCTCGTCTCTCGCGTCGACGTCCTCCCCTTCCTCTTCGTCCTCGTCCGAGACCTCTTCCTCGTCCCCGCTCGCGGCTTCTTCCTCGGACCCGGACGCGGCGGCGTCGCCGTCGTCCTCCTCGTCCTCACCCTCTTCCCCTCCCTCCTCGGCGTCGTCGTCGTACCCCCGCATGTCCTCGTCGTCGAAGAGCCCGTGCGCGGCGGGCATCCGCCGTCCCGCTTGCTTCGCCGCGGCGTACGCGGCGCCGTCGAGCAGCGCCCGCGCGGCGTCCACCTCGGCGTCCGCGGCGTCCTCCGGGAGTTGGCTCTTCAACGGCGTCTTCCCGCGTCGCATGTGCTCGGGGAGCTGCGGCGGCGGCGCGAAGAACGGGATCCTGCCTCGCTGCCAGTCGTACAGGACCATCTTCGCCGCGGTGTTCAGGTCCGGCTCGCCTCCTTTCAGGAGTCTTCCCGTGAGCCTCGCGACCTGCTGGAGGAAATCCTCGGGGGACTCCCAGGACTGCACCTTGTACGCGCGCTTGAGATAGTCCGGCTTGACGCGCGCGACGACGTCCGGGATGTGCTCCCACGCGTCCTCGAGTTGCGATATCCGCACTACGCCCTTGAGCACCGCGTCCGTGTCCGTGTCCTCGGTGTCGTGATAGACGACCCCGGGGCAGTCGATGAGAAAGATTCGCTTCGTGAGGTTGACATACTGCCACACCTTCGTCTCCCCGGGTATCGGCGCGGTGACGCAGACTTTCTTCGTCCTGAGCGCGTTGATCACCGACGATTTTCCGACGTTCGGGTACCCGATGAACCCGACGGAGATGTTCTGCTTATCCATCCGAAGGCGCGAGAACTGCCTCAAGAGCGACAGCACCGCGCCCTTGCCAAACGGGTTCGTCACCGACGCGTGAAACGCGAGCGTAGGGTACTCGCGACTCAGCGTGTGCAGCCACCGTTTCGTGACCCACGCGGGGACTAAGTCGACTTTGTTCAACAGCAAGATGACGTGCTTGTGACGTTTCATCGCGTCCTTGTTCAGGTGCGCTTCGAGATGATGACACCGCGTCCCCATCGGGTCGCGCGCGTCCAAGACCTGGACGATGACGTCCGAGGAGTCCACGACCTTGTACAGCTCACCCCAAATCCGTTTCGACTGCCCCTTCTCGAACAGGCTACCCTTCGCGGCGTTTAAGACGCCGTCGTCCGCGCGCACCAAGTCCCTATCGAGGATCGCCCCGGCGTCCACCCCTTCTTTGTACGCCTCCCCTTCCGCGGCCGCTCGCGCGGTGAGCGCCGCGAGGTCGTCCGTCGCGAGCTTCGGTCGCTTCTGTCGACGACCCGCGCTGAACGTCTCCGAGAACGGGGAGTTCCCGAGCAAGTTCACTCGACGCGCTCGGCCTTTCTCCGGGTCCGCGAGCAGGGACAGCGGCAGTTTCTTCTGCTTGATGAGGACCGTGTACCCGTCTTTCGACTTCTCAGCCATCTCCTCGCGGAACTCCGTGAGCTGCTTCTGCCCGATGACGCGCGTGTTTCCGAACCATCGTCGGTCCGGGACGATTCGCGTGCTCGGGAGCTCCTTGCTCTGCAGGTCCTGCTTGATGAGCTTGCCCTTCTTGTCCCTCGTCGCCTTTTGCTTGTACATCATCAGGCGGCGCACGGTCGCCGCGGAGCGCATCGACTGCGATCCTTTGCCTCTGCCGACCGTGCTCATGGAGTGCCCCGGCTTCTTCGCGGCGCCGCCGGAGGCGCCGCCGGGGGACTTAGCGCCCCCCGCGGGCGCGCGAACTTTCTTCCCCATCTTCGAAACGCGCGTGCGAGCTCGCGAGCGCGCGCGAGAGTGCGCGCGGCATTCGCTCTCGGAACGTGAAAAAGGCGGCTGGCCAGAGGCGGCGCGGCGCGCGCGACCGAGAAATTTTCCGAGACGAGGTCACCACTTCGTCGCGCGCCTCCGTTCACGCGAGGGTCATGCAGTACGAGGACGAGTACGAGGACGATGGTCTGACGTGCAACACCGCGCCCGGGGTGACGTTCTTGGACATGGACGAGCTCAAGGAGCACTACCGCTCGGACTGGCACCGGTACAATCTGAAGCGAAAAGTCGCGGGGCTTCCCGTCGTCGGGAAGGAGCTCTTCGAGCGCGTGATGGCGCAGGCCGCGGGCGCGAAAGAAGCGGGGAAGCAGACCGGGACGTCGCACCTGAAGCGCCCGGAGGAGCTCCCTCGGTCCGTGCAGAGGGCGAAGCGCATGGAGGAATGGGTCGAGCACCACAAGGACGAGGTCGCGGCCGCGCAAGCGGAGATCGCGGAGCTGCAACGACGGATCGACGCGGGGGAGATCTTGACGGACGAGGAGGACGAGGACGAGGACGACGAAGGCGACTCCGGGGACGAGTCCGGGTGGGAGTCCATGGACGACGACGATGCGCAGGCGGTGCTGGCGCGGATGGAGACGATGGCGAGGGAAGGGGGCGAGGACGACTCCGACGACGAGTCGGATTCGGACGACGCGGAAAACATGGAGCTCGACCTCACGAACGCGCCCGTGCAGCTCGCGGACAACGGGTACGAGCTCATAGTCACACGGGACGACGGCACCAAGAAGCGCATCGGCCCTCGGGAGCTGAGACGGTATTACAAGCAGCGCCCGCGCCCGGAGGATCAGAGGCCGATGGTCTTGGCGAACAAGGCGGAGAACCACGAGCGCGGACTCGCTCGGATCGCGGAGAACGGCGGCCGCGGGATCACGAAGTTCGACAGCCACGGCCGTTTCAACGCGCCGATGCAGATATCGATCTTAGTTCGCCGCGCGCAGAAAGCGTCGAGACGGTACGAGGGGATGAACATGATCAAGTCCGGGTCGGGGAACAAGAAGTTCGACATGAACGGGCAAAACGCGAAGACGAAGCTCCCGAAGGCGTGCCCGTATTAGACGACGACGTATGCGAGAGAGAACGAGAAAGGACGACGAGGGCGAGATGACGCGCGCGCACGTGTGCTCGTCTTTGTTACTGTAATATCAACTCGAACGATCAAAAGACGATCGCGATCCTACCCTCGTCGTCCTCAGATGAGCTCCAACGCGTCTTCCTCCAGCAGCCCCTTGATGAACCGGTACCGGATTAAATAGATGTCGCCCTTATTGAGTTCCACCGTGTTTGCCGGGTCCGGGTCGTTCGGGTCGAGCAAGAAGTCCCCGCGGTCTTCTTTGATCCGACAGAACACGTGCTTGTCCAAGTTCGGCTCGGCTACCATGTCGAACGGGCCGTCCTCCTCTTCGATCTGTTGCAACATCGACGTGTACCGGTCCGGCAGGTCCTTCAGCACGCTCCCGAAGTGCCCCTCTATCAAGTTCGCGTAGTCCTTCGCGTACTCCTGCTCCTGCGGGGACAGCTTCTCGTAAACCTCCGTCTCCTTCACCACGTGCACGACGTGCGCCTCGATCTTGTGAAGGCGCGTGCGGTAGTACGATCGCAGCATGAATCGCACTCGGTTCAGCTCAGCGTGCATGATGTGCGCGGTGAGGTCGTCCAAGCCCCCGCTCGCGGCGCCCCCCGCCGCCGCCGCCGCCGCGCGCGCGCTGCTCACCGTCGCCTCCTGGTGCTCCACCTGCTCGGTAACGCGCGCGACGAGGTCGGCTTGGAATTGCAAAATCTCGGGTGCACACTTTTCGTTCATCCACGCCCTCTTCAGCTTCGCGACGTCCGTGTCGTCGGGCTGCGTCATCGACGGCCCGAGGGCCTCCGCGAGCGCGGCCTCGTCCATGAGAGGTGCATCCGTCGCATCCATCGCGCCGCTGTCGCGCCCTTCTCGCGCGCTGCGACCTCGGAAGTGAGCGTCGCGCGGAAACAAACTTCGCTTCGATCAGATTTCGCGCTGAGCTTGAAAAAAAACCTTGTTTTTCGGCAGCCGCCACAGCGAAGCGACGCAGCGACGCGGGCGATCGACGCGCGTCACCGCGATCGAGCGCCTCAGGTCACGAGCGAACGCCCGCGCAGGCGTCGATCGAACGACGCGTCGCTTACCTCGCGCGCGATGGGGCTCAAACCCGTGGAGTACCGAGGCCGAATGATCGTCCCCGCCTTCGATCCAGAGGCGGAGCCCCTGAGCGACGAGCCCGTGGACCCCGCGCTGACGGTCCGCGAGCTGATGATTCGCCGGCGCAAACGCACGGCGGAGCTGTTCGATATGGACGAGCGACCGCCGGTGGACGAGGCGAGCACGAAGCTCAAGCTGGCGATCAAGATCGCGGACGAGTACGCGCACGTGCGGAACCTCCCCGAATTCGTCCCCGGGCAGGCGCCCGCGGCTCCGCCGAGAGAGAAGGTCGGCGCCGCCGCCGCGGCGGACGCGGCGAAGGTCGCCACGGTCAAGCCGCCGTTCGGGCACGAGCACGAGGAGGCGATCCCCGGGCTCGACGCCGCGAAGAAGGCGAAGAAGGCGGGGAAGGAGACGGACGTCAGCAAGCTGATCGACTCAATCGACGAAGACGAAAACGCGAAGCGCCTCGCCGCCGCCGCCGCGGGGATCAAAGGCGCGATCACGACGTTCAAAGGCGAGGCGGGCTCGGTCGTCAACGAGAAGAAATACCTGCACAGCGCGCAGGTCATCCCGAGGCTCGCGAGCAAGTGGCACAAGCCGGAGTGGCACGCGCCTTGGAAGTTGTACCGCGTCATAAGCGGCCACCAAGGCTGGGTGAGGAGCGTCACCGTGGACCCGTCGAACGAGTGGTTCGCCACCGGCAGCGCGGACCGAACGATCAAGATCTGGGACCTCGCGTCCGGGCAGCTGAAACTGACCTTGACCGGGCACATCGAGCAAGTCACCGGCATCGCGGTGAGCGACAGGCACCCGTACATGTTCACGTGCGCGCTCGATAAAATGGTAAAGTGCTGGGACTTGGAGTACAACAAAGTGATCAGGCACTACCACGGCCATCTCTCCGGGGTGTACTCCCTCGCGTTACACCCCGAGCTCGACGTGTTGATGACCGGCGGTCGAGACAGCGCGTGCCGGGTGTGGGACATGCGGACGAAGCTGCAGGCGATGTGCCTCACGGGGCACGACAGCACCGTCGCCGCGATCGCGTCGCAACGAGAGGAGCCGCAGGTGATCACTGGGTCGTACGACAGCACGGTGAAGCTGTGGGACCTGGCCGCGGGGAAGTGTCGGACGACGCTGACGTACCACAAGAAAGGCGTCAGGGCGCTCGCGTTGCACCCGAAAGATTTCTCGCTCCTGAGCGCGAGCGCGGATAACATCAAGAAATTCGCGCTTCCGCACGGGAAGTTCATGCACAACATGTTATCGCAGCAGAAGACTATCGTGAACTCGCTGAGCGCGAACGAGGACGACGTCGTCGTGAGTGGGGGTGATAACGGGTCGGTGTGGTTTTGGGATTACAAGAGCGGGCACAATTTTCAACAAGCGCAGCCGAAGGTGCAGCCGGGTTCGATGGAGTCCGAAGCCGGGATCTTCGCCTCGGCGTTCGACCGCACGGGGACGCGTCTGATCACCGTGGAGGCGGACAAGACGATCAAGATGTGGAAAGAGGACGAGGACGCGACGCCGGAGACGCACCCGAACTTGCCGTATCACCCGCCGAGGGAATTACGACGGTATTAATTCATTGTAGTAATAACATACGCCACCTATCGCTAACTCAAATGTCGGGAAGCGAAGCCACGATGCGGTCGAACTCCTTCGAGTACTCGCTCTCTTCCCGCATCATACTCCCCGGAGGTTCCCCCCGCGGCCCGTACAGCCTCGCCTGATTCATCTGCATCAGCACAGCGAGCGACGCGGCGAGACCCGCGTACGCGCCGAACACGATCGCTTTCCCCCGCGGAGACAGGTGCGCCGCCGCGGGGTTTGGCTGCGACCACCCCATCGCGCGCGATGCCACTTGGTACCACCCGCCGAGAATGATGAGGTAGACGATCGGGTTGTTGATCTGCCCGTCGTACGCCATGTACGACCCGACCGCGCACCCGGCGACGAGCAGCGACGGGTGCAGCACCGCGGCGACCTGCCCGCCGTCGAGCATCCCCATCGGGAGGAGGTTGAACAGGTTGATCATGCACCCGAAATCCGCGAGCGCGTGGCACAACTGCGCCGTCGTCTTTTCCGCCCCGCGTTCTCGCACCCGGTCGCGCGCGCGGTCGCGCACGTTCGGCGTTCGTCCGAGCCTCCGTTCTCGCGACGACGCCGTCTCCCCGCCCTCGCTCTCCGTCAGCGCGACCCCCATGAGGTACAGACCGAGCGCGCCGACGCCCCCCGCGAACGGCCCCGCCAACGCGACGAAGGCGTTTTTCCACGCCGACAGCATCCCCGCGTGCGAGACGTACGCGCCCATCAGCGGCACGAACACCATCGGCTGGAACGGGACGCCGTACCGCATCAGCGCGATCGCGTGCCCGGACTCGTGAATCACGATCTGCGCCATTATCCCGACGCCGTACGGGACGCCGTACAGCGCCGCGTAGGCGGCGGTGGACAACGCCAGCGACGCGAGGGAGGAGAGCTTCGTCAGCTTCAGCGCGCTCAGCGCCGCGAACTTGTACTTCCACAGGAGGACGAACGGGAGCGCGAGCGCCGCGCCGAACTTTCGCGCGGCGCGAATCAGGCTGCCGATGGTGCCCCCCGCCCCGCTCCCGCCCGGCGGGACGCGGCTGTTCGTCCAGAGGTGCCTTCGCGCGGACGGGACGAGCGCGCCCGCGACCCCGGGAGACGGGCGTCTCGGCACCTGTTTTCTCCATTTGAAATGATGCGAGACCCGACGCGTCGCGACGCCCGACGTCGGAGACGCGAGCGCTCCGGGGCGCCACGGCGTTCGGACGCCGAGAGTTTCGAGCGCTCCGCGCGCGGTGAGCGGCGCCGCGGTCGCTTTGACGACGGGTTGATGCGCGCGCGTCCCGACGTGCAGAAGACGCGTGGGAGACGAGCGGGCGTTCGTCGGGGCGCGCGTCCACGGCGCGCGCGGGCGGAACGCGCTCGACGCCGCCGTCCTCGCGAAGGCGGCGCCGCGCGACGATACTCCGACGGCGGCGAGCACCTCCCCGGCGAGGCCGGACGCGGCGAGACGACGCAGGGTCGCCATCGCCCGCGTGCTTCGAGCGCGACGCGTTATGGCGAGATCTGACGCGCGAAAACGACGGCGATCTGATGTAGAAGACAGCACGACAGAGCAGAGCTCGCGTGCACCCGCGCGCGTCGTCGCGGCGATGGGGAACCTCGGCGGAAAGCCCGCGCCCCCGCGCGAGGACGAGGTCGCGTCCACGTCGGGACAGGCCGCGCCGTCGGCGTCCGGGAGCGACGCGTCGGGAGCGACCGGGGACGCCGCGGTCCGCGGCGGCGGCGGCGGCCTGATTCGCAGGAGAGGTCCGGTCCCCGGTCTGCGGCTCGTCGAGGGCGTCGTGAGCGCGTCGGAGCACGACGCGCTCGTCGCTTGGGTCCGAAACACGCTCCGAGACGGCCGCGACGGGAAATTGCCCGGGAACACGTACGCGCCGATACCGGACAAGTGGCGGAAGCGGAACCAGTCGAGGGAGATGCTGCAGTTCGGGACGTACACGCACTCGAACCGCGTGGAAGCGCACGTCCCGGTCGCGCCGATGCCGTCGAAATTGTGCGAGCTCGTCGACGTCCTCGTGAACCGCGGCGTCGTCGCCGAGAGCGAACGACCGGACGCGTGCACGATCAACGTGTACCAACCCGGGCAGTGGATCCCGCCGCACATCGACAACCCCGCGTTCGCGCGGCCGTTCGTCACCGTGTCGTTGCTCTCGGAGCAGGTCATGACGCTCGGCAGGGGGATGATATGGCGCGAAGGGTGCGACGTGAGCGACGCGGACAACCGCGAGGGCGAAGAAGCGACGTTCTCGCTCCCCGTCGGCAGCGCGGTCGTCGTGTGCGGCGACGCCGCGGACGTGTACGAGCACGCGGTGCCGCCGGTGACGGAGGAGCGGATATCGTTGACGTTTCGCCGAGCCGCGGGAGAGGACGAGGAGGACGACACGCGCGCGCGGACGGAGAGCACGGAGAGGTACAGGAAAGAGTACAGGGATAAGAGGAAGGCGGCCAAGGAAGCGGAGGATATCGCCGCGGGACGGGCGAAGGGAGACGACCCGGACGTCGAGGGAGAGCCCGGCGCGACGAAGGACGCGCCGTCGAACGCGCCCGCGGCGCCGGCGGTCTTGAGTAAGAACCAACAGAAGAAGGACGCGCGCAAAGCCGCGCGAGCGGCCGCGAAAGCGCGCGCGAGGGAGGAGAAGGAAAAGGAAAAGGTAACCGCAAAGGAAAAGACTCTCGTCGCGAGCGTGGACGGGACGACGTTCGAGAAGAAAGAGAAGAAGCGGTCGTGCCCTCCGTGCCCGAGGGAGCTCCTCCCGTCGTCCCAAGAGGAGACCGCCGCGGAGGCGCAGACGGAACCGACCGCCGCGGCCGCGAGCGCGCTGCCGTCCGTCGAGCGCGAGCACGTCATGAACGTGTACGACGCCGTCGCGAGGCAGTGGCACGGAACGAGGTACCGCGCGTGGAGCGGCGTCGAGGACTTCATCGCGAGATGCGTGCGTCCGGGGACGCTCGTCGTCGACGTCGGGTGCGGGAACGGGAAGAACATGCCGGAGGTGGAAGCCAGGGGCGGGTTCGTCGCCGGATGCGACTTCAGCGTCGGCTTGCTCAACATCTGCGCCGAGCGCGGTTTGGAGGTGTTCGCCGCGGACGCGGTGTGCCTCCCGCTGCGCTCGAGCGCGTTCGACGTCGCGTTGAACATCGCGGTGCTGCATCACGTATCCTCCCCGGCGCGGCGCGTGAAACTGATATCGGAGACGATGCGGCTGTTGAGAGTCGGCGGCGTCGCGCTTTTCTACGCGTGGGCGCTCGAGCAGGAAGTCGGCGGCGTGAGCGGGCACCACTTCGAATCCCAGGACGTGCTCGTGCCGTTTCACAAGCGCGCGGTCGCCGGCGACGAGAGAGGCGACGACGACGCGGCGGAGGGGAGCGACGGGGGTAAAGTGTACCAGCGGTACTGCCACGTGTACAAGGAAGGCGAGCTCCCGGAGTTGTTCGCGCATCTGAGCTCATGGGTGAGGGTGACGGCGACGTACTTCGACTGCGGGAACTGGTGCGTCGAGGCGGAGAGGATCGCATGATAGAGAGACGGGCGGGGGCGCGAGGAACCAAACTTTATTAGTCTCTTTAGGACGTTTTAGGCGAAATGTGAGTCTGAGAGAATTAACTCGTCAAACACGGTTCAGTTTTCCCGATGAATGAAAAAAATCTTTCCCTTCCTCGGATCTCGAGATTCGCGCCCGGCGCGCTGTCCGCCAAGATCGACCACCGGTGCCGTGCCAAGCAGGCAGGCAGCAGGCCAACGAAGCGGAGATCGCGTCAGTGCGAGGGCGCGATGGCGACGTGCCTCCTTCACGCGACGGGCGTCGCGTGGAGGCGCCCGCGCGGGAGGGTCGCGGTAGGGCGGCATCGGCGGTGCATCGCGCGCGCGGTCGCGGCGCGCGATGACGACGGCGACGGGGACGACGACGCGCCGGGCCCGTCCGGTCGGGGAGAATCGATGGTGGAGCCGAGGCGACCCGCGGGACGGATAAAAGACGTCGCGAGTTCGCGGCCGACGGCGACGTTCCCGACGCCGCGCGACGAAACGGGCGAGGGCCTGCGTCGCGCGGTCGCGCCTTGGGTGGATCCGCGAGGGAACGCGGACGCGCCCGGGGACGAGAAGCCCGCGGACACCGAGCTCGTCATGGTCCTGGAGCGACGAGGCGAAGGCTGGAGCGAGGAGATCTTCCCGCACGTCGTGATGAAGCGCGTCGCGAGGGACCGGAGCGCCGCGGCGGTGCCGAAAACGAAACCACCGGACAGCGCGCAGACGTTCTTGATCGAGCAGATCGGGTTCTCCCCGGACGAGGCCGCGAGCATCGTCGCCGCGGCCGCGGCGTGGAGGGTCACCCGAGGCGGACGCGCGCTCGTGGATCGAAAGCTCATGCGCGCGGTCCAAGAAAATGCGAGGACGGCGGTGACCTTCTTAGTCCAAGCCGGGGCGAAACGCGACGACGTCCCGGATTTGCTGCGATCGACGCCACAGATTCTCGCCATCGTGCCGAACTCGGACTGGAACCGGCAGCTGCTCTCGTACATCGTGCGCACGAAAGCCCCGGGCGGGGGACGGTTCGGACCGGTGCGTATACGATACGCGAGGTCCAAGTCCCCGGACCCGCTGAAACCCTGGGTCGAGGACGTTCGAATCAAACGGCAGCTCGGCGAGTTATCCCAAGAGCAGCTATACATGATCGACGTCGCCGGGTTCGACGCGGACGTGAAGCCGAAGAAGACCGAATCGGGGAGGACGTGGGAGGTGTGGTTCGACGAGCTCGTGGATTACAGCGTCACGAGCGGGACGTGCGAGTTCCCGGAGGAGCGCAAGCACGTCGGCCTCGCGCGGTGGCTGGACCGCCAGAAGCAGAAGCATGCGGACGGTAAGCTCCCGAAGAAGGCGCGCGAGCGGTTGATTAATCTCGGAGTGAAGTTCGATAAGACCGAGACCGAGAAAGCGGAGGAGGAGAAACTGGCGAAGAAGAAAGCCGCGAAGGGAACGCGCGCGAAGGGTAAGAAAGCGAAAGATACCGCGTCTACGTCCACCCCGGGTTTGAACTACGACGAGACCGGCGGCGGCGGCGGCGAGTCGTGGGACGGGAACGAGACGTCCCCCGCTGGCGGGTGGGAGTCCGCGCTGGACTCGTACACGATCATGATGTTGTCGTCGTTCCAGGCGTACGTCAAGGAAGAGGGCGAGTACGCGGAGCCGCCGTTCGGGTCGCAGCTCGCCGTGTGGCTGGCGAAGACGCGCGCGCGCGCGGAGAGCGGCGCGATGCCCGAGGACGAGCGCGAGGCGCTCGTGAAAGCGGGCGTGGAGCTGCAGAACTTTTCGTTATCCTGGCTCATGGAGCTCGAGCAGTTTGCGGCGTTGAGGAAGCACAAGGTGACGCTGCACACGCCCGCGGGGCTGACGAAGTTTATCCGCGATCAACGCGCGCGCGCAGCCTTGGGGCAGCTCACGGACGCGGAGCTGAAACGTCTGCGCGCCGCGGGGATGTCCGGGCTCGCGGGCGCGCTCATGCTGGACGAGAGCATCTTGGAAGAGGTGGACGGCCTCGTGTTCGAGATCAAAAAGACGAAACCGGCGGAGGAGCCAGAGCCGGACATGTTCGAGACGATGGTCAGAGAGAACACCGCGGCGAAGGACGCGGCCGCGGCGATGCGTAGGGAAGCCAAGCGCGCCGCGAGGGAGGGGAAGAAGCCGTCCAAGCCGGCGACCATCCCCGCGCGGGCGAGGGCGAGGATGATCGGACCGCTGAAATCGCCGCTGACCTCCGCGGTGAAAGAACGGCCGCCGGCGAAGGAGCGGCCAAAGCCGAGACGAATCCCGGGGCGCGGGCCCGCGGTCTCCGCGTCGCAGGACGAGGAGACGGCGACGGAGACGGCGGATGAGGAGACGGTGACGGAGACGGCGGACGAGGAGGCCGGGATCGTCCCAGTGGAGGCTCGCAAGTGATCGATCACTTATAGACTCTGATGATAAAGTTATTTTTAGAGAACACGTCAGGTCACAGAACGCGTCTCGTCGTCGCGCACACGACGCGCGCGCGCGTCTTGGTTTTCGTTCCGCGACGCGCCGAAAGGCGCGGCGACACACGCGCGCCCTCCGCGCTCGCACGGTGGAATGAGTCAAGCCGTTCGCGCGCTCGCTCGCGTCCCTCGCGCGAACTCTCGTCGTGGCGTGCGTCTCGAAGCCAATGCGGAGGGCGCCCGTCGTTCGCCGCGCGATGTCAGGCTCCGCAAAGGCACCGATGGCGACCTGAGCGCGATCCGCGCCTCGGTGTTGTCCGAGGGCATGAACCCGCTCGGTTTAGACCCTTCGCGATTCGTCGTCGCCGTGGACGACGGCGACGTCGTGGTCGGTTTCGGGCAAGTTCGACCGTGGGAGACGCTCAGCGATCGCGCGGACATCGTCGGCGGCATCGTTCGCGGCCTCGGTCTCGCCCCGAACTGGCGTGGGAGCCTGCTCGAGGTCGCGAGCTTGCTCGTGACGAAAGACCGCCGCGGCGAGGGCGTCGGGAGCGCGATATTGCGCGAGCTCATCGCGGACGCCACCGCGGACGCTTCGAAGGAAACGACGCTGTGCTTGCTCACGTTGCGAGGGACGACGTCGTTCTACGAGCGATTCGGGTTTAGGATAACGGAGGAGGAGAACACCCCGAGGCCGTTGATGGCGGAGCGCGCGATCGGGAACGTCGTCGCCGGGGTCATCGCGAACGACGAGTGCGTGTGCATGACGCTCGAGCGGCGACGCTGACGCGAACAAACGCCGTGTAACAACAATGTAAACTCGCCCGCTCTCTCACCCTCTACACCCTGCCGCTGCTGCCGCCGAGCGCGCCGGCTATCCCCCCCCTCTCGCCGTCGCCCACGTTCGCGTACTTCGCGAACAAGGGGTGCTCGTGCACCATCCCGCTCTTCACGAGCTTCCCCAAGTCGACCGCCTGCGTCAGTACCCACCCTCCGACGAAAATTGTGATAAACTGGCCGAAGTAGAAACCCAACGCCACGATCGCGATGCCGAACACGGTGGACGTCCCAACCATGATCCCCGCGGCTCTGACCGCGGGCACGCCGCACAGGAGCATGCTGTCCGCGAAAATCCGTCCGCCGTCGAGCGGGAACGCGGGGACGAAGAGGTTGAACAGCGCGAGTTGGATGTTCATGATGACCGCGGCCCTGCACATGTCCGTCGCGAAGTCGCCGGTGTACGTCAAGTTCACGCTCCCGGCTCCCATGGCGAGGGCGATGACCCAGAACAGACACTGCGGGATGTGCGTCAGCGGGCCCGCGATGGAGACTTTCAGGTCGTCCGCGGCGTCGCCGCTGTGCCCGACGTACGCGAGACCGCCGAGGGGCCACAGGAGAATTTTGTGGACGTCCCCTCCCACGAGCTTCGTCGCCCAGCAGTGCCCGCCCTCGTGGATGAGCACGGTCGTGAACAGGATAGGTCCCAGGACGACGAAGTTCAACAGCCCGCTCTCCGTGCTCGCGGGGGGGATGAACCCGATGATTGTCGTCACGACGATGAACAGCGGGAACAAATTGTGTATGCAGATCGGGACCCCGAAGAGGGTCCCGACCTCGACGGACCCGTCCATGAGCGACTTATAGAAGGACCGGCCCTCGTTTCCGTTCGTCGGCGGGGGCGTCTCGCCCCTGCTCTGGTACCCGCTGCTCATGACGCTGGCGTGCGACAGGAGGATGGGCGCGACGAAGAAATGATGCGAGGAATGTCGTTTCGAAAGGGCGTTCAGTTCTTGAGGGGACTGGACGTTTTCCACCGCTGCTAAAGTACGCGTTGCCTACGCGCCGAGTCGCCCGCCTCGCGCATCATCCGTCCCCTTCCAGGTCCTCGAGCACGCCGACGGCGACGAGCGCGCGCGTCAGCGCATCGCGCGTGCGCAGCATCAGCCCCTCCCTCGCGCGCTCGACCGCGTCGTCGCTCTCCCCCGCCTCTCTCGCTCGCTCCGCCGCCGCGCGCGCCGCCTCCGCGGCGGCGGCGAGTCGCGTCGCCCCGGACGCCGCGAGGCACGGTTCTCTCTGGTCCCTCGCCTCGCGCGCGCGCATCCCGCACATCTCTAACATGATCGCGTGCGTCGCGTCGAGCTCGCCGACGCGCTCCAAACCTCTCGTCGTCGCGGCCATACTTTCGTCGTCGCCCGCCGCCGCCGGGAACGACGACGCGCAGAGCTCGCGACGCAGGGACAACGCGTCCGCGGCTTCGCTCAGGCACCGCCGCCATCGGTGGTTCAGATGCAGCACGGACGCGAGCACGCACTCGTGCGCGCGCGGGACGTACGACAGAAGCGCGAGCGCGAGCACCGCGGCGCCGTCGTCGTCGTTCACGTACCCGACGGTCCCGCCGCCGTTGAGCAGACGCGCGACGTCGATCGCGTCAGACAACGCGTCTTCGCACTTGCACCCGCCGACGACGAACCCTCGCGGTCTTCGCGCGGGCGAGGAGGACGCGCCCGCGTCGCGCGCGTCGCCGACGCCGAGCGCGGGGTCGTCCGGATCGCGAACGAGCGCGGGCCACGCGATCCCCGCGCGCGCGTCGGTGAACCCGCCGCCCGTCGCGCCCGCCGCCGCCGCCGCCGCCGCCGGCGAGTCCGCGTCCGCGTCCGCGTCGCCCTCGCCGCCGTCGCCGTCGTTCCCTTTCCCCGTCTCGAGCGCGCTCAACACCGCGCGGACGGCGGGTCCCCATCCCTGATGGCGCGTCGCGTCGTCGTCGCCGCCGCCGTCGCGCCGCCGACGTCGCAGCGCGCATATCGCCTCGCCGACGACGCTCGCCCGCAACGCGCTCCACGCCGTCGTCGGCGACGGCTGCCGCAGGACGACATCCTGGACCACCTCCCCGGGACCCGCGGTCGAGTTCGGGACGTCCATGGACCACGGCGGTGGCGTCGTCCCCGCGACCTCCACCGCGGGCGAGACTGGGTCGCGAACGAGCGCCGCGGCGACGATGAACGGAGACGACAGGCGGACGCGGACGCACCCGCGATCTGCGCGGACGGATTCCGCCGCCGCGGCGATCGCGCGCCACCGCCTCCGTCGCGTCGGTCGCGCGCGGACGCCGTCCTCGTCGTCCTCGTCGTCCTCGTCGTCGTCGCTCGCGTATTCTTCGCGAGCGGCGACGTCGCTCTCCCGCGCGAGCCGCGCTTCTCGTTCGAGCGCGGACGCGAGACGACGCGCCGCGGTCTCGACGTTGGCAACCGCCGCCCTCGCCGCCGCGGACGCGTCCGCGGCGGCGGCGACGGAGACGTCCGTGGACAACGACATCAACCACGCGTCCTCCGCGCCGCGCGCGCGCACGCCGGGGAGTTCCCCCGCGATGTTCACGTTCGCGTCCTCCGCCGCCTCCGCCGCCGCCGCCACCGCCGTCGCCGCCACGCCCTCGTCCGGCGCGAGCGCCTCCGAGCGCGCGACGCGATCCGCGATGGAGTGCGTCGCAACCTTGAGCGTGAACTCCGTGTTCACCTCGAACCGCACGAGCGGCAGCAGCAGCTGGTACGGCAGTCGCAGCGTGGAAGCGATCCACCGCGCGGTCGTCAGGCGCACGACGCCGTCGGACCGCGGGGCGCGGTGTGCGGCGCGCGCGATGCCTCTCGGGCCGCCGCCGTCGGGGTCGGGGGCGAACGCGTCGCCGCCGTCGTCGCCGAGCGGCCAGAGCGACGGGTCTTCGACGGCTCGCAGGAGCGTCGTGGACGTCTGCGCGACGTCCAGGAGGGAGGACCGCGGGAGGTGTTTTAAGACCTCGACGAGGTGCTCGTGCGGGAGGTTCTCCATGCCTCCTGACGTCTGTCCTCGTCCGCGTCGCCGGCGACGGCGCTATCAGATCGCTACCGAATTCGTTTTAATCTCGAGATCGGATCTCAGTAGTCCTCGTCCCGCTCCGCGCGCGCGAACCGCTCCGGGTGCGCCTTCTTCTCGTTCTCGTGCTCGTACTTCATGTGCGCCACCTTTGCTATCGCGACCGCGCACACGACGCTCCCGATGCCCGCTATCCACCTGTTATACCCGACGTACAGCTCGGGATTCATCATCCGAAAGAGAAGCGTGTCGGTGATCACGGGCTTCTGCGGCGTCGGCGCGGACATGACTCCCCGCGAGGTGCACCCGATGCGATTCCCGGCGCGCGCCTCGGCGGGTCCCTTCACGCGTCTCTCGCGAGGACGCTCGCGAGGACGAGGCGACGTCGGCGCGACCGGTTGTGACGGCGCGGGCGGTTCGCGGGAACGAACGAAAGCGAACTGAAACCTCCAGAAGCGAGAGACGGTTTCGTCCTCGCTCTCGACCCTGACGGGTCGACGCCCGCGCTCGTCGCACTTCCGCGCGCGCGTCGACGACGATGCGAGACGCGCTGACTCGCGTCGCGGCCGCCGCGCTTCGGCGCGCGACCGCGCTTCGGCGCGCGACCGCGGCGACGCGCGCGCTCGCGCGGTCGGGACCCGCGCGTCGATGCGCGCTCGCCGCCGCCGGGCGCTCGGCACCTCCGCGATCGACGGCGCCCTGGTCCGCCCGGGTCGGAGGGTTCCCCGCGCGCGGATTCGCCGCGTCCGCGTCCGGCGGCGGCGACCGCGCCGTCGGCGACGCGTCCGCGACGACTTCCGAAGTCGCGTCCGCGACGGACGGCGACGCGACCGTCGACGCGACGGAGCGCGACGGCGCGGAGAAACCGAACCCGCGGAAGGATCTGTACATGATGTTCACCTGCGGCAAGTGCGACACGCGGGCGGTGAAAGGGTTCTCGCGCCAGGCGTACGACAACGGCGTCGTCATCGTTCGGTGCCCCGGATGCCAGGCCCAGCACTTAGTCGCGGACCGATACGGGTGGTTCGGCGAGCCCGGGAGCGTGGAGGACTTCCTGCGCGAAAACGGGGAAACCGTCGTGCGAGGCAGGGAATTCGCGGGAGAGGAGAACGAGGACGGGACGTTGGAGTTCGACGAAGCTCAGCTCAGCGCGTGGAAGGAGAAGGTGAACGCGCGGACGCCTTCGGAATAGTCTTACGCTTAGGTCGTTACACGTGAACGAAAAAATATCCACGGTCGTGGTCTCGTCAGTCCGAGTAGTCCGAGTCGGAGTCTCGCGCGATCCTCAGCCGGTGCCCTTGCTTCTTCATCCACTCCGTGAACTCCGGGGTACCGTACAGCGCGCCGAGACCGGTGTCCGTCGCCTTCGCGCAGCGATGATCGTACTCCTTCTGCGACAGGAACCGCCCGACGCTCGCGGCGGCCATGCCCACTGGCGGCGGCGGCGATTTCGGCGGCGCCTTCGCGGCGGCTGCCGCCTGTTTCTTTCCGCGCGTCGGCGAAGGGGACACGACGGGCGCGAACGGCGTCTTCGCGCCTCGGCCGCGTCCGCGCGTCGCGCTCGGCGGCGTCGCTGTCACCGACGGCGGCGTCGGCGGCGGCGGCGGTGTCGCTCTCGAATCTTTCCCTCTCTTCCCGCGTCGAAACAGAAGCCCGCCGATGAACCTCAGAAGCCCGGCGCCGCGCGGGCGGTCGTCCGGTTCCGCGCCGAGGCCGGCGCCCTCGAGAACCGCGTGCGGCTCCTCCGGCTCCGGGTCCATCGTCTTCGGGAACGACCGCCGCTTCCGCCCGCGCCCGCGCCCGCGCGCGGAGGACCCGCGCGCGTCGCGTTCCTCCGGCGAGGAGTCCCCTGGCGAGCGGTCGCGGTCGCGCGCGCGGTCTCGGCCCCGCGATGGCGGCGGCGAGTCCCCGCCGCCGAAACCGAAACTGAGGGCCATTCCATACAAAACAAGTTCACCGGTCAGTTGAAAGGGAACGCGATCAAGTGTTGAAACCGGGAGATGGGTGAAAAACTTTTGTCGAACGCACCTGACTCGTCGTCTCGCGCCGCCGCCGGAGCCGCCCCTGCCGTGCGACCGCGGCGACGCGTCGTCGTCGAGGTCGAAGTCGTCCCCGCGCGCGTACCCGTAACGCCCCGAAGAAGACCCTCCGCGCCTGCTGTCCCTCCCCGAGGACGGTCGCCCTCTGCCGCTGCTCCCGCGCGCGGGACCGAGCCGCGTCATCCTGGATATCACCGGCGACACGACGGCGACGCCGACGCCGCACCCCGCGAGCGCGGCGCCGCACAGGGTGTCCAACGTGCTGAACAGCAAGAGCACGATCCCGATCGCGCGCATCGCGGCGCACGAGAATCCCGCGACCGTGGGCTCCACCCCCCCCGAGAACGGATCCACGAGCCACCTTCGAACGACCCAGAACCCGACGCCGGCGCCGACGAGCACGAGCGTCGTCGCGAACAACGCGAACGGAAGCCCAGCCTCGTCGGGGTTCTGCTCCACGACCGCGCGGAACACGAGCTGCGCGGGCTTGAGCATGAGCGCGACGTACCCTTCGACTATGCGCGACAGATCCTCCGTGGGGACGATCACCGCGGCGAGCGCGGCGACGACGGCGCCGCCGGTTTTCACGACCCGCCCCCCCGGCATCGCCCTCGACACGCGGAACAAGACGAGCAACGCGACGGCGAGGACGGACAGCGCCATGCCGAGGCCGTAGTACGCCGCGGTCCAACCGCTGATCGTGGGCGCGAACGCGACGAGCGCGGCGCCGACTACGAGTCGGAACACCCTCCGCAGATCCGGCCCTTTGGAGGACACGAGCTCGACGCGGTACTTGACCGTCGCGACGCCGTCGCCTCGTCTCTTCTCGCACCTCGGCGTGAGCATCACGTCGGAGACGTACGGCCCGAACGTCGCCTCGAGCGCGGGGTTGAGCGCGTGCGCGTGACCCCATCCAGCGCCCTTGCGCTGCCGTATCTTCGCGTCGCGGAAGTTGGCGTGCCGCGGTCGTTCCCCGGACGCGTCGGCTGGCGCGTCGGCGATCGCGTTCGGTTTCCCCGTCGCGGACGTCGCGACGATCTTACGCAGCGCGCAGTTGTTCGCCGCGAACCCGCCCTCGTCGTGGACCTTCAGGGTGAGGTGGTGGAACATCTTGTGCATCGCGATCCTGCCGTGCCCGGAGAGCTTCAAGATCCCCGGTCGGCGCGTCGTGCCCGTCACGACGCGCGGCACCTTGACCTTGGCGTTCGCGTCGACGACGCGGATCGCGTACACTTTTTCGTCCGCGTCGCGCGCCGAGGGCGTCTCCGCGCCCGGGACCGCGGCGGCGGTGGCGGCGGCGGCGGCGTCCGCGGTCGCGACCGTCGCGCCGCACGCGAGCGCGCACGCGAGCAGCATCGCGAACGTCAGCGCGGCGGAGGCTCCGCGCCCGCGGCGGACGGCGCGCGGCATCATTCGTGCACGTCCCCCTTCGCGCGCAGACAGGACGACGACGATCTGGGCTCGCGCGGCGCGTTCGACGCGACGCGACGCGCGCGGATCCGGGGACGCCCGCGGGCGATTCCCGCGCCTAGTGAGCGCCGACGAGCGCGACGCCGAGCGCGCGACGTCGCTCGCGGGGCGACGAGGCAGCGCGCGTCCCGAGTGGCCGCGGCGGAAGCGTTTCGGATTTCGTCGCGTGAAACCAGCAAAAAACAACGACTAAAGTTGGGCCCCTGCAGTGGCCTGGCACAGGACAACCAGAAACGCTGTGCGCGCTCGTGAAAGAACCGGAAGCTGCCAGCGCATCGCGTGCGCGTCGCTGGTTGGCCGACGTCGAAAAAAAAGGTGGCGCGCCCGGGTCGACGACGCGTCCATCGCGCGCGCTCGCGTCTCATTGAACGCTCGCGCGAACACACGGTCACAGGTGCGATACCCGCTCTCTCTCGCGCGTTCCCGATCGGGGCCCTGGTCGCGAAGCGCCGATCGCGGCGCGCGGACCGAGGAGGATAACGCGCTCGCGCGATAGTGTCATCCACCAACCGCTCGACGCTCGCTTCAGTTCGCCCAAACGTCGTCCGTCGCGTCTTCGGTCGCGATCGATCGCGCGCGGCGGTCTCGAGCCATCGCGTTCGTCGTCGCCGCGACGCCGCGGGTTTCGTGATCGATCAGCACGACCTTCACGTCGTCGCGCTCTGCTCCGCGCGATCGCTCGCTGACCTCGCGTCCCGCCCTCCCCGACTCGTCCCTCGGCAGACCCGACACCGAGAGATGTCGTCGTCCGCTGGCGCGATCGCGCGCCCCAGCGCGCGCCCAGCGTTCGTCCCCAAGGCGGCCGCCCGCCGCGGCGGCTGCCGTAGGGCCACTCCCGTCCTCACCTGCCGCGCGAGCGCGAAGAAGGACGCGGCGACGCTCGGCGGCGTCGCCGTCGCGAACGCCGCCGTCGTCGCGAGCGCGCGCGCGGACGACGAAGACCCGGCCGCCGCCGCCGCGGCGGCGGCGTCCGACGCCGTCGACGCCGCCTCTTCGGCGGCGTCCGATGCCGTCGACGCCGCCTCTTCGGCGGCGTCCGATGCCGTCGACGCCGCCTCTGCGGCGGCGTCCGACGCCGCGGCGAAGCTGACGGAGACCTTCGGCAGCTTCGAGATGCCGAAGATCGAGATGCCGGAGATGCCGTCCGCGCCGGAGATGTCCGCGCCGGCGATGCCCAAGGTTGAGCTCCCGGAGATGCCCGCGATGCCGGAGATGCCCAAGGTCGAGATCACCTCCCTGCCCGCGGCGCCGTCCGGCCCCGGAGCGGCCGACCAGGCCGCGGAAGCCGCGGCCGCGGCCGCGTCTGCCGCGGCGGCGAAGGCGGCCGCCGCGAAGGCGGCGGCGGCGGCGAAACTCAGCGGCGCGGGCAACGCCATCGGCGGCCTCAAGTCGGGCGCCGGCAGCGCCGTCGGCGGCGCCGCGAAGTCCGCGGGAGCTGCGATCGGCGGCGGCGTGAAGTCCGCGGGCACGGCGCTCGCGCCCGCGGGCAAGGCTATCGGCGGCGCCGCGAGCGCGGTCGGCGCGGGCGCGGGCGCCGCAGGCAAAGCCGTCGGCGACGCCGCCGGCGCCGTCGGCTCCGCCGCGTCTCAGGCCGCGGGCGCGGTCTCCGGCGCGGCGACCGCGGCGACGGACGCGGTGAACGCCGCGGCTATCGGCGCGGTGAAAGGGTTAGAAGCGGTCCTCCCCCCCGAGTTCGCGGATCTCGTCGCGCAGGCGGAGGTCGACGCGGACAAAGCCGCGTCGCTCGTCGCCGTCGCCGCCGCCGTGCCCGCGACGTTCTTCGTCCTCGGCCTCGTCACGAAAGGATACGCCGGTGATAAGAACGCGTTCGCCGTGGACGAGGCGTTACGCGCGGACAAGCGCGCGTTTCTCATCGACACGCGCTCGGAGGACGCGCGAAGGAACGAGGGCTCCCCGGATTTGCGCGGGAAGCAGCGCGGGAAAGCCGCCGTCGTGGAGGTGTCCCCGCTCGCGTCGAGCACGCGCGGGGCGGTGAGGAACGCGAGAAAGGTCGAGCTCGAAATCGCGGCGATGAAGGTGAAGGCGGCCACGAAAGGCGGCGCACGCGTGTACGTCATGGGCCCGGACGCGACGGACCTCGCGAAGGCGATCACCGCCCTCGGCGGGCGCCGAGCGTTAGTCCTTAAGGGCGGGTTCGACGCGTGGCGGAGCTCCGGGTTGAAGACGAGGATGAAGGGGTCGTATGATAAGTCCATCGTCGAGGCGTTCGGCGAGGACACGTCCGCGGCGGCGACGCAGATCACGCAGAAGGTCACCTCGCAGATCGGCACGGTCCGGACGCAGATCTCCTCGGAGCCGGTCTCCGCGGCGCCGTACCTCGGCGGTCTCGCGTTGGTGACGCTGGCGGCGCTCAACTACGAGACGGCGCTGCAATACGCGGGCGTCATCGGTCTCGGCTCCACGCTCGTGAACAAGATCCTGTCGTACGAGAACCCGCTCGATCTCTTTGAGGACGTGAAGGATACCGTGGGCGGCGTCGCGGGCGCGATCGGATCCGCGTCCTCGGCGGCGGCGGCGGCGGCTCCTCCTCCGGCGAAGAAGAAAGCCGTCTCCAAGGAGGACGGGTACGGTCCCGCGCCGGAGCCGAAGAAGGCGGCGCCCGCGCCCGCGCCGAAGCCGGTCGCGAAGGCGCTCGAGTCGTTCGCGGAAGTGGAAGAGGAGGTGGAGCCTGAGCCTGAGCCTGAGCCTGAGCCTGAGCCTGAGCCTGAGCCTGAGCCTGAGCCTGAGCCTGAGCCTGAGCCTGAGCCTGAGGTCGAGGAGGAGGAAGTCGTCGAAGAGGAAGCGGCCGAGGAGGAAGCGGCCGAGGAGGAAGCGGCCGAGGAGGAGGCGGT